GTATATATATATATATATATATATATATATATATATATATATATATATATATATATATATATATATGATGGGGCTATTGGAGTGCCAGCCCTGTTCTTTCCGCCCCCATCCCCTTCCCTTTCTTTACTCTTTAATTTCGTTCATTCATCTTCTTCCATCTCTAAGGCCCTCTGGTTTTCTTTCAGTTTAATCTGGGTTTATAGATCAGCATATTTGGTTCCAATCAATCCTTTTATTTTACTTTCAAAATTGTTCAATCGTCTTGTTTTATTACCATGATCTACGTATTTTTCAATGGCTTTTGTTTGGGAATTTGCTTTTTCATTCTTTTCTCCAATTATATTTCAAATAGATGGATTCATTATACTATTAATTTGAACATCTTGTTATATTACTGAATGAGTTTAATTCGAGATTTTGCTGTTTTGGTTTTTTTCAATAGATCCATTCGATCTTTAAAAATCAAATCTATAAGGCTTGATCTTATAGATGTCTTCATTTTACCATTGATTTGGTTCAGTTTCATCATATACATGATTTTGGCATTCTTGAATGAGATTTACTGGAGAATTTGCAGTCAGCTTTTTTTCCAATTACATGTGTTCGATATTTAAAGATCCAAGTCGATTTGATCTTGTAGATCTGTTCTTTTAACGATTAATTTGGTTCAATTTTTTTATTAACATGATCTTGGTGTTCTTGAATGAGTTTTATTGAAGACATTGCTGTCCAATTAAATTCATTCGATATTTAAAGATCCTATCAATTTGATCTACATGATCTTGGTATTATGGAATGAGTTTTATTTATGAATTTGCTGTCATAGATTTTTTTCATTCAAATTCATTTGATATTTAAAGAATGATCAAATCGATTTGATCTTATGGATGGTTAATTTTCTTAATGATTTGGTTAAATCTCTTAATCTACTTGATCTGGATGGTTTGAGTGAGATTCATTGGAGATTTCGCTGTCTTTTTGTTCCAATAAGATTCATTCTGTACTATTAATAGATCGGTTCCAACTCTCATTAATTTTCTTCAACTTTTTTTCCGGTCATTTATAGATTTGTTCCAAATACTATTAATTTTGTTCAAGTATATCAAGTATATGGTCTCAGTGTTCTTGAATGAGAATAGATCTTATAGATCGGTTAAAGTTTTTCGTTCAATCCCAAAAGACTTCTTATGCCGGACAACAATGTACAATCCTCTGTTACTTAGAGGAAAGAAGATGTTTTATGAATATTGGTCTCAGAGAGGATTGGGCCTAATTGGGCCAATGAAACCCAAACCATTTCAGGTATGTTTTCTTGTTACAAAATTCTCCAACCATTACAAATTTTTCCAACCCCCACGAAGTGTTATGAATAAAATTAAATTATTTAAAAAAGAAATTTTAGTCTTCTATTTTCAATAGGTAAAAAAATATTATACTCCGTAGCTTTTCTAAGTTCAGGAACATAAACCCTATTCCTTTCTCATTATTTCGAATGTCCTTCTACTCTTTCTACTCTCATCTGGATCTCCCAAACCCTATTCCTTTTCATTATTTCGCATTTCCTTCTGCTCCTTCTACTCTCGTCTGGAAATTTCTTCTCCTTTGCGAATAATCTTCCATCTCGCTGCAACTACAAAATGTGAGTAACCATATAGCTTATTTGGCATTTTTGTTTCACTGAAATTTTCTTACTTTTCTGTAAGTGGTTATGCTTGTTCATCCTTGTTTCTTTTCTGTTTTGTTGCTTTCTGATAATATGTTCTATGTTTTGTCTAGGATTCTTGATTTTAGGGATATGCCAAATTATCATAAACACGAATTCAAGCTCAATTCTAAATGTCTGGACATTAGGGATAAATTTGTGGAATTAATGAGATTCACTAGGTCAATGGCTTCTATGAATGGGACTGAGTTTGGAGGGATTTTTGAAGCAAGATGTATTCAGGGGTTTCCTCTTTTTGTGGTTAAGGTGGTGTATGAGGATAAATGCTGTGAGTTATTGATTAAGAGGGCTGATCTGTATATAATTGGATATCGGTTTGATGGTAAATGGTACCATTTTTGGGATTCAGATGTAATGTTGGATGGTTCAATTCGTGCTTTTGAGTATCTTGCTTATGAAAATGATTTATGTTCTGAGCTTGGGGCACATTCCCTTAGGTATGGAGTGGAATTAATGAACTATCCTGACTCTAAATCAAGAAAAAAGGGGTGTGAAATTTTCTATGTTCATATATCTGAAAGTGCTCGTTTCCTCCCTATCCAGAGTTTAATCTGTCAAGGTTTTTTAAGAGGCGGCTTGGTTGATTTTGAAAATCCTATACTTTCTGAAACTGTCCTATTTGAATGGGCAGAAGGAACTGCTGAAGAAATTGATGTAGTTTGTTATGTCTATGCTTCTAGGAAACCAGATTTCTTTAAATTCAAAGAAGCATTTGACTTTATGGGAAATTTGGTCCGAAATTGGGAGTGTTTGTCCAAGGCCTGGGCTATGTATTGTTTGTTGGGGACACAAGATCATTTCCAAACCCTAGATGTTAATTTAAGCCAATGCAGAATTAGGAATGTCCATTCATTGAGAAATATATTAGGTTTGCTTGCCAATCAGAAATTGGAAGAATTGCGCACCTTGATTGTTGATGATCCTGCTCTTGATGCTGCGGAAAATCACCAGCGAAGGGTAAATCTAAGAGCTAAAATTGATTCTTGGACTCAAGACAGGAACAAGAATGTTGTTGCAACTAAAAAGGTTGAGCTGTCCGGGAAGAAAAGCCGTTGATGTTTTTGCCTAGTTGAATATTGGCTTAATGTTTAGGTGATGGTTTTAACTGGAATGATTCAATATTTTGTATTTTGCTTAGCAGTTTAGATGGAAACTCATTTTATGTTTTTGGGAATTGATTCTAGATATTGTTTTGTATTTTTGGAAGACCCTCTGAGATTGTGTATTCTTAATGTTGTTGGAATGACACTTTCAGTTCTCTCTTTTGGTACTTTACTTTGTTGTGTATTACAATTATGAAAAGTTTGAGAAACAAATTTGATATGAATATTTGTGGGAGATGGGTCTGTTTTGTGGGTCTCTCTTTTTTTCTTGGTAGGAAGACACAGAAGATGAAAACTGTTTTTTTGGAAACTGCCTGTTCATTTTATTTGCTCCACGGCCATGTGCATGCTTAGAGAAAAGGAAGTAAAACTTACCTCATTATCCAAAATTGACTTCTTTTTCTTCATAATTTATCAAGTTTTTCATGTGGGCTCTTCATTTGGAGCCAATCTCCTCAACAAAATTAGTTAAATATTGATCTTACCTAGAAATTACTCCATTGTATTGTACATATTTTGTTATTATGAGCTATCTACAAAATTGCACCTAGAAATTACTCCTTTGTATTATACATATTTGTTATTATGAGCTATCTACAAAATTGCGTGTTGCTTTTATGGATGGATAGAGGCTGGGATTGGTTGGGTTTGAGGATCTATCTTGAAATGCCACATTTATTTCTAATTTTAATTGAAAAACGATAATAAATGTAAATTTCCACAAGTGTTTTTGTGTGTTTGTTGAACCCATTTTGTGTGTTTGTTGAACCAATATTTTGTGTGTTTCAAGCTAAGTCTCAACATACATCTTTTTCTTCAATTACAAACTGCTATTTCTTCTTCCTTGATATATAGAGAGGCTAACATGAACACACTGCCTTGATTTAATTAGTGAATCATGAACACATTTAGGTTTCATATCTTCAAAAAAAAGGAATTATTTATCATTTCTTTTGTTTATGAAAATATCACGGTACAACAAGTTATGAACATTTTTCCAATAAAAGAGTGTTCATATATGCTGACTATCATTTTTCCAACTAATAGTGTCATTTCAACTTATATTAAAAGCGCTCTTAACTTTATTGTGAAAAAAGTTTTTTTTCTTTTGGCTCTGTTCCAGAGTACGGAAATATATGCTGACTATCATTTTCATCCATCAGTTTTTTTTCTTTTGTATCTGTCCCTTACACTGTTTTTTTCTTCTGGATCTGTCCCGATCATTGTATTTTTCATAACTATCTCACGTTTAAGATTTCAGAACTTGCTGTTTTTCAAATGCAGCAGATTTTTTAATTGTTGTAATAGGATGATGTATTAAAATTGCTTATTGCACTGAGCTTATACCTAAATTCAAATGCATCATTTTTTGATGTTCATATACTATTGTAAATAAAAAATATGGGTTGCATAATATGGTTTAGGTGTCAAACTTTTAAGATTAATGTGATCATGTCTTTTTGAGATTGATTCATATGCTCTCTCCTAATAGCATGCTTTACTTCCTCACTGGCCTTTTGGCTAGCCATAACACAGGATTAGGATCATGCCGGTTAGTACTTTTTGGATTTTTTGTGCAAAATCACCATTGCACTCTTCCAGGTATGTCCCTCAGAGTCCTTCATCTTCCTATGTAACGTATGATTGCTCAACGAAGGACTTAAGATGGCACAAGAGCCTTATGAGATTAAAGTTATATTGAAGAAGAGAGCTCGAAATTCCATTGCTCTTTTATGTGTCTAAAATGTATTATAATAAACTAAAGGGTATGTAATCTTACACAAAGAGGACATATACAATGAGGACTTTGGAGAACTGCCTGGAGCTAGCCTTGGTCTTATATACCAGGGGCATGCTGTTTTGGGATGTTTGTAACTTGGTCTGTTTTGGTTTTATGTTGAGGAGTTCCTGGTGCCATGGGAAAACTCAATGTTTCACTTGGTGGGACTGCGAAATTGCACTGCAAATCCCCACATCTGCGCAGAGCAAATGGGAGACTTTGGGCAGTGCTTGGGTTGGAATTGGAGAGCTTTGTTGTTGTTGTGTGTGTGTGTGTGTTTTTTTTTGCAGATTGTGAGACTCTTTTGGAAACTTCCTTGATGTCATCGTGTGACTGGTCATCATGCAGTTTTGGGGTGGAAGCTCTTCACAAAGTTGATGAAGGGCTGTCCATGCCGCTGTGGGTCTCTGTGCAGCGTATGAAATGAAATGTAGTGATGAATCTTCATTGATTGGACTGCCAAATGGAGCTGAAATTTGAATCCGAAGTTGGGGTGGAGCCTTGGGCAGTATATTGTGGACCTACTGCCCGGGAAACTTTAAGCCAAAGCTACTGCATGGATGGACACTTGCTGTAGTTCTGAAGTTTCATTGATGGTTTGTGCTGATTCATTGGTGGTTTGGGCAGTAACTTCAAGCCAAGCAAACCAGCATTGCCTCATTTGTGGAGTGTGGCTTTTTTGAGGGCTGTTTGGGTTGATTTGGCTTGATGATGAACTGCAACTGGAATTCGAAAGAGACCTTGAGCAGTATATGAACTCTTTTGGGACTCTTTATGAAGTTGGAACTAAGACCTGACCCTCCTACCTACTGCTGTTGAATATGCCGCTGGGATTTGCATTCCATTGGAAAGTGATTACTTGTGCAGCTGTTTGGGGTTAAGGAAGGTCATCTTGAGGCTGGTTTTATAGGGTTGAGGAGCTGTTGGTCAGAATATTGCGTACTAATCTCAGGGTTGAAGGTCGTGGGTCTATTGCCAATCAAGAACCTGATATTAGAGGTTGAGACAAGTTGGTCACCAAGTTGAAAAATGACAAGATTGAAGAAAAATAATATAGAGTATTATACTTGATTTATTGAAGTGTTTTGTTTTATGGTTTTACTTAGACCATGTAAGAGTGGATAGTAGTAGATGATTAAACTACACCATGTAAGAGTGGATAGTAATAGATGATTTTATGGGTTTATCTACAAATACTTATTTGGTTTATAGGTTTAGCCTAAAAGCTTAAATATATGTCTAGGTTTAACACTATCGGTTAATGATAAATTTAAAATTCAATAAATTTTAGTACAATGGTCTTTTGTACCAAATATGTGGTTTACTCTGAAGTTTTCCAAAAAAATGGATTTAATTGATACATTTTTATATTCTTTTCAATTTTAAAATACATGAATTTTAGTTAGCATGTTCTGTTTATGTCGTATCTAACATTACATATTATATTTACTTTTATTTTATTATTATTTACTTAAAACAAAATATTAGCAGATTTAAAAATAACATGCATTCGACCCCGTGCGTTGCACGGGTTAAATACTACTCCGTAGTAAGAGTAATAAACATAAAGCTAGTCATTACTCCGCAATATTAGTTTGACTGATAACATAAGTTAATCCTTCTAAATTCTAGATATGGGTAATCCTCATGGTTTCAATTTTTTAAATTTAGTGCTATTTTTTAACCATAAATTATGAAAAATATATTTACTATATAAAAGCTGATGGAAAATTCATTCCAATTTCATGGCTCAATTTTTCCGCTGGAAATGTTGTTCAAATGACTAATAATATTTTGGTACACATGGCAGCTACACATTTAATCTCACTCCAAAAACATATACAATCACTTGTGGACAAAACCAATTTCAGTACATGGCATCTTAATATAATAAGTCCAGCCAATTAGTCCACAAATGAAACCTGCCACTGACCCAACTTCACAACATCACGCCAGAATGAAACTGGCACTGCTCCAATTCATGTTTTTTTAATCATCGGAATTTTCACTCATGAGATGTTCAAGGCAGAATTAGACCAACGTGTGTATTCAAGATAATGCCCATTTCAGGATTAGACCACTGTGTATTTCTAGGAGTAAAACCAATTCAAATCCCATTTCAAAGCTACTATAAAGAGGCTCAGATATACACTATCTATATACTCATTTTAAGGAAAAAGGATAAGATAAACGCCATGGCTACTTCTTGCCAGCTAGGTAGCCACGCCAAGTTACGTATTACTTAATTTTAGTAAATAGAATAATAGAAAACATGTAATATCAATCATCACAGCCTCTTTATTATTCAAATTAAGCCAGCTTCACAGTCAAAATATATACCATGGCTGCAAAATTATTCCAGCTTCATCACAACACAGGGAAATGTACAATCAGAAATGGACAAAATCCAGGTATCATTTGCAGATTTAGACCAGTATGTATAAGTGCAGGAAAATGCAGGTTAGACACTATTATATTATTCACCATCAGTTTAATGGTCTAAGGCAAGACAAAGTATGCTCTAATATACCATCAGCCATGTGGACACTGTAAGGGCAGAATTGAAGCAGAATGTTGGGCATGAAAATAACCATTTCAGATGAGGCTCAGTAAACACTAATAATATACTCATTACAAGGAAAAAGTTTATGATAACGCCATGGCTACTTCTGCCTAGCCAGATAGCCATGCCAAGATACGTACCATCTCCATAATTTCAATAAACAAAATATGAGAATACATATAAAACCAATCATCAGTCCCTTAATTATTCAATTTATTCCACCATTATACACAAGGCATACCATTGCGTTATAAAGAGGATAAAATCACTTAAGGGGACCAACTATAACTATCTTTATAAGGGCAGAATTAGAGCATTATGTATTGCCAGGAAAATAACAATTTCAAAGCTAATATAAAGAGGCTCGGATGTGCTCTATTTATATAATCATTTTAAGAAAAATGGTTATGAAAATGCCATGGCTGCTCCTGCCAAGTTAGGTAGCCACACCCAGATACATTTTAATTTCCAATATTTCAGTAATTAAACAGAATATGAGAAAACATATAAAACCAATCATCACATGCTTCACAGCCCTTAATTATTCAAATTATCCCAGCTCCATACACAAAGTATGGCATGACTGCAAAACAGAGGCGGATCTATAGCTTTGTCATGGGGGCACATGCCCCCAATCAATTTTTAGATTGGATTAAAGAAATGCCCCCAATCAATTTTGAAGTGTTCCCCAGGTGAATTGTCCCAACTCCCAACCCAACTTTTTGATATATCTCAATCCGATTAAAAGTAGCCTTTAACATTACTTTTCATTTTTTCCAAACAAATTCCAACTTTCAAGTAAGATATATGTGAAGATGGACTATTATCTTGAAGTTTCTTCTAATTTATTTACGAAGTATTTAATAATGTTAATGTATTAATTCCTTTGTCCCAAAAAATTGACTTGACAGAGAGATTATAAAAAATAAAATTATGTGGTTAAAAATAGTACATAAGAGAGAAATTGTGAAGACCACAAACTTCTTTCTAAAAAGAAAAAGTTGAATTTTTTTAGAAGAATGCAAAAAGTAAACTTTTTTTTTACGAAAAAATGGAATATAAATGCCCTCCTGATATAATGTATTGGACTACAAATGTTAGATGCAGATTCCTTTATGGTGTTTTTAGTTTTCATAATTAAATTTTACACAATTTTTCTTTTTAGTGTGAAATGATTATAATATGACAATATGAAATTGAAAATTTTTGAATGAAATTTGATAATGTGAAATGGTTACTTTCATACATTAGCCCATCTAGTAGTGTTAAATAAAAATTGGGTTAAAGGAAAAATCAAAAAATTAAAAGGATGAAGCTTAGAAGTAAAAACTAACATAAGAATAGAGTCTATGAGTGAAATATTTAAGATATGATAATTAAACTAATGTATTCCATATTTTTCTTCTTTAATTTGGTACTCAGTATTATTCATATTAATTTATTGAAAGCATTAAATTTAATATATTGTTTTTCTCCATTTTACATTCGTTTCATACAAACAACTTAAGAGCGCTATCCAGACGCTGATTTTTTTATGAGCACTGCCTAGACCCTTGTATTTATCTTACCTCCATTCGCCGAAGGTGCCCCCAGTCAATTTTTTCCCTGGAGGCAAAAATAGGATGATATCACTTGATTACAAGTGGTAGAGACCAAAACAGTCATTTCCTGCATGGACACTTGTTTTTCCAGTCTCGATTTTTAAAAATACTCCCTCCAGGAAAAATTAAGTCCATTAAAAAACCAAGGTAAATAGGTACGCAGAATGGTCAGCAATCAGCATAATGGAGAACCACCAAATAAAGTGGCAAAAAACCAAGGTAATATATTACCCATGTGCTGGACCCATATGTAGCAATGTGGGAAATATTTTTACTACCTCCGTCCCGCTATATTCGTCCACTTTTGACTTTTGAAACTGTTCATATAAGCACTTTGACTCATCAAATTCTCTCAATGTGTAAGCCTAAATATAGTCATGTGTGATCTTGTTTGATTTGTCTTAACATATAGATTATTAATATATAATTTCTATAATTTTTTAATATACAAATTACAAGATAAAATGAATTAAAAAAGTGCATTGGATGGTGTGCAAAAATGAAAGTGGACAAATATAGTGGGATGGAGGGAGTAATAAATATGAACTTTTTTTTCAATCGAAAGTTAATTTAGTAGATGAATATCTGGCCTGTTCTTAAAAAACATGTTTTTAGTTAAGGGTAACTGTGTATGGTGAGGCGATGTATAGGGTACACTCTCGAGCAGGTTTAAAAATAATAATATGTACTCCCTCCGTCCCCCATAGATCTTCCCAATAGTCATTTTTCTTTGTCCACAATAGATCTTCTCATTTCATTTTTTAACAATTAAAATACCACAACTGCCCCCACTTACTTTATTTATTACATCTCATCCACCTCATTTAATACACTTCACCCATTTTCATTAAGGGTATTATGGTAAACTTTTACCTTTTTTCAACTCTCCTTAAAAATCATCAAAAGTCAAAATGAGAACATCTTAAGAGGACGGAGGAAATATTTCTTAGAATACTTTAGCTAACACTGCAACGAATGTAGTTTATAAAGAGGTTTTTGAGAGTATCTGGTTGGTCTTAATGTATACGGAGTGCATTTTACTATCCATCATTCTCATCTTATCTTTTGAATGTAGTACACTCTAAAACTTATTTTTTTAATGCTTTGTATGTCTAATTTAAAATTGAATGAAAAATAAGATTTATAAATGAAGCTGCGTACATATCTACTATTTATAAACTAATACTCCCCCGTCCCACAATATTTGTCCATCTAAGCATTTTGACCCATCAAATTCTCTCAATGTGTAAGACTAAATATAGTCATGTGTGATCTTGTTTGATTTGTCTTAACATATAGATTATTAATATATAATTTCTATAATATTTTTATATACAAATTACTAGATAAAATGAATTAAAGAAGTGCATTAGATGATGTGTAAAAATGAAAGTAGACAAATATGGGGGGACGGAGGGAGTATCCAGCAAGTTAAAATATTTTATATGTTTTTTCGTAATTAGGATATGTTTTTTCCGTGCATCGCACGGGTGATGTACTAGTATGTATATAAAGGAAAAACAAAAGCGGGTGGAAATAAAAAAAGAAGAAAATGTACAACGTTTCTTCCTTTTACTTTTGAATTCCATTTGAAATGGTCTTTTCAATAATGTTTTTCTTAATTAGTTCTCAATAATTATTAATTACTTGAATGATTCTTTATAACTTAATTTTAAGCGTAATTGGGGTTGGTTTGTTTATCAAGCAGCAATTTACTTTATTTGAAAGAATTATTTTAGATATTTATTCATAATTTATATAATAAAACAAAAAATCTTCTACTTAATTTTTTGCCATTTGGTACTCCCACTGTGCACAAAGAAATTTCTCATTCACTATTCATATAGGATCAAATTTTATTCACTTTGTTGGCTTGTTTTCGTCACTTATTTGATAAATAATATAATAATGTCACTTTTAGTTTTATTTTGTAAATCTTTTGATATAGATTTTTTTATTATGTAATTTTTATTTTTAATTTTACACCATTCTTATATATAAAATGATTTGAATTATAAAAGTTTATATTGTTAATTATTAGTCTAGAAAGTAACTAGAATAATATCTTGCTTATCTCCTTTTGGATGACCTATTGGCCAACCCCTTCTGTTTGGTGCCTTTGATTCTTTGGATGATGTTGGATTTCCTTACTAGCAGTATTCAAGTACACATACTACATTTTCTTCGTCTTGACTCAAAAGTCCCATACCCAAACTTAGTAGTAAAAAAAAAAATCCTAAATAGGACTAAAACATATCAAATGTATTTAAATAGGACTCCAAAACTTAAATCTCCCAAATAAGACTTAATTTGCATCGCCATACCCAAAATACCCCTCGCCATTTGTGACACAGAACCATTTTTTTTTTTCACTGGTCGCGCTACATGTCCACAAAACCACAAATACTTGAACCACATGTCATGTCCACATGTACATTACCACAGTACAAATTCTTATTTTGTAAATAAAAACATGGAGCTCCTACATTAGTACTTTCTCTAAAGAAGGAGTAAAAAAATGAAAATATAAAAAATAGAATTTCCATGTTTTTATTCTCGAAATCTGAATTAAAATATGTTTACATTACCAAGCATGACCATTTACATTACAATAAATGCCTATGTAGAGTGTTACCACAATGCGAACTCATATTTAGGGAATAAAAACATGGAACTCCTATTTTGGCACTTTCTCTATATTTTATTTCTTTAAGCATTAAGTGATTAAATACAAAAGGATAAATGTGTTGCACAAGGAAAAAAGAGATATAGAAGGAAGTTAAAAATTCATGTACAATGAAAAAGAGAAGAAAAAAGGGCAAGAAGAAGGAGAGAGAAAGAAAACAAAAAAAACAAAAAAAGGGACGAAAAAAAAAACACAGAAGAAAACAAAACAAAGAAAACATACCAAACAAAACCAAAAACGAGAAAAAGAAACTCTCGATCATGGAAAAACAAGAGAAAGGAGATGGAGGGCAACAAGGGTATAATTGTAATGTTTGGTCCTATTTTGAGGATAAAAACATAGAAGTCCTATTTTAGATATAAACTCTATGTTTTAGTCCTATTTAGGGTGATTTCTGAACTTAGTAGCACATAGCTTCTTGTTTTATGATGTGTTAGGTTTGGTGTAAAATATTTTCTAAAAAAATATTGATTTCGTTTTCTGGTGTTTGGGGATATTAGTGGAAGGAAAATATTTTCCTACTAAACAATGGAAAATATGATTGAAGAATAATTTTTTTGAAATTATTTTTCCTTTGAAAAATATTCTCTAAGGAAAATATTTTACTCCCAACAAAGTACAACCGTACTTTAATTTGACCATTCTTCTCTAGCTGTTCATTTTGAATTATGGTCTCTACTTCTTCGAGTCTCTAATCTCTACTCAAACTTGTACATTCCAAAATATTAAAAGTAATTTACTTAAATAGGACAAAAACATAATGACTTTCTCAATATAGGATCATATATTTTTATTTTCCAATGTATGACTTTTGGTCATTATGAATTAGTCATTATTCAAGTAAATGTCATTCATTACTGGACATTATTTCTCCCAAGGAATAAAGAAATTTAAGTCTTAGATTAGGAAAGTCATTATGTTTTAGTCCTATTTAAGTCTTAGAAGTACCCTTGTGTAGTAGTTATTCTAGAAGGAAAAGTTTGTAAGTTGGTCCAAACATAGGAGTATTTCGTGTACATTGTCAACTAATTTTTTATTAATCAGATTATTTATCTTCAGTGTATAGTGTTTTTATTTGCATGAATTTATTACTCCCTCTGTCCAATATCTTTCTTCTCATTTTCCTCTTTAGGCCGTCCCATTTAATTCTTCTCATTTGCGTACACCTAAAGTTACACTTTTTCCCTTCTTCTTTTACCATTTCATTTTTCATTCAGACCCCCCCAATCTTCTTTAAATTTCTTCATTATCTTCTTCTCTTCTCTTCACTTTTGATTTTAATGTCTATTTCAATTTTGATTTTGTTAAAGAAGAGATTCAATTTTGGACAAATGTGGGACTAGCACTCGAGAGAACAGGCACACTGCTTTGGTTTTGGACATATTCTGATATTCTTATAAACCAAAAAACACTGAAATAATAGAATCTCAAAAGTGAGGTATAACAAAAAAAAACAACTACTTACCATCACTCCAAGTCAACTTGATGTCAAGATCATGATCATCTTCCAGTTTGTTAAATGAGCCACTTCCAATCTTGAACACTTCGTCGCACGAGAGATGATAATGTGTGCCAAACAAATCTACATGAATAATGAGGGACGAACCCATCGGCACTGCAACTACACATCGAGAAAGTGGTACTCTCCCATCATCCTTTAATCGTACTGAATCCTTCTCAGTCCTTTTGAAAAGCACACTCCGAAAATAGTTTCTCTCGAACTCAGTTGGGTATTCAAAGTTGCTATAATGCGCAATTGCACTTCCATAGACTATGTCAGGCCCAAAATGATCACCTTTATTCTTGACAAAGATCTCGATCTTTGCTTGAAAAGCTCTTGAGAAAATGGAGTAATGCAATGCACAAAAACCCCTTTCTCCCGGAAAAACAGAACATATTTGGGTGTCAAATACACGGTCATGGCTAGCAAAGCCTCTACTCTGAAATTTACCACCAACATCTTTCAGATCGACCTTCAATTCAAGCATGCTATAATCATCAAGACTCATATGCACATCTCCCAATGGTAACACTTTCTGTGAATCTTCTATTTCCACACCATCATCACCTGCCCTCTTGAACAGGTAGTGAGTCTTCTCACCAGAAGACAACTCAACAGTGCCAAAAATTTTCAATGCCGATCCCATTTTTTTACGGCCGATAAAGATTGAGTAGAATTCTGTGAAACTTGATGGTCTCAGCATACTTTCTGGGTCTAGATAATACCTAATTGAAAAAAATATAATTATAAACCAATAAACACTGTAAAAAGTGGCTGAGCTAATACACCCTCCATCATTGGAAAATGTTCTCTTTGACTATTGCGAGTTTTAAGATGGTCAAAAAATTATTTTGAGAATAGGAAACAGAGATGTTGGGAATGTAAATAGTGTTGTTGGCAATGTTAAAACGTGTTGTAAAAAGTGTTCTAGGACGTTAAGAAATGACAAAGGAAGATTATTTAAAGACGGAGGCAGTATTATGAAAGTGCACAAAAGGAAGAACAACAAACCTAGGGTTGGCATTGTTGGATAATGACCATCCATCATCAGACTGAAGAGAAATGACAAAACGTTAGATATTGAGCGGTGTAAAATAAAATATATCAAACTAATGCAATGCTCTCTTACTGCAAAGTGTTGCCTTTTAACAATACTTTGTAGTGCTAGTACTAGACACAATATGAATGTAAACAAAAATGAAACCTTAAACTGACAGCGACACAAGTACACCCCCCCCCCCAAAAAAAAAGCCTAGATATTTGCAACCTTACCTAGAGGCCATTGTTGCTAGACCCTTGATGCATGGTTACATTTATTGCCAAAAGCATCATTAAAAAAGGAGTAATAAGCAGGAGAAGTTTAGCATGCCATATTAATTTAGTCCAGAAGCTAAAGCATTGTTAAATGACTATTTTGCAATTTCATTGGCAATGGGAAAAATTAAATTCAAAAATCAAATTCATCATCTGTAACAATTTTATCACTCCTAAATGTATCTTGAGTGTATAGTGATTCATAATTTAGTGGCTTAAGCCCCTTTGGTCTTCTTTTTGCATAGAGTTATTACGATCAGAGAACAAAGTACCTCGTTTTTGTGCACACTTAGCCTCTGTACATGCGGAATCAATGCTACATACAGAATAATCGCAAAATCACCATCCACATCCACTACACAATCACCTGCATGTGGACCATCCTCATTCAACATAGTTATTTTTTCTTTAATAGGCTTGCTTGTGTTGACGTCCATCAAGTCAAGCTCAACTTCAAGTGATGAATATGCAGGCACCCCCAACAATTTTCTTGNTCTTTTTGCATAGAGTTATTACGATCAGAGAACAAAGTACCTCGTTTTTGTGCACACTTAGCCTCTGTACATGCGGAATCAATGCTACATACAGAATAATCGCAAAATCACCATCCACATCCACTACACAATCACCTGCATGTGGACCATCCTCATTCAACATAGTTATTTTTTCTTTAATAGGCTTGCTTGTGTTGACGTCCATCAAGTCAAGCTCAACTTCAAGTGATGAATATGCAGGCACCCCCAACAATTTTCTTGACAGGAGTTCCTCCATTTTAACTGATACAAAGCCATTCTGCTTCTCAAAAAGAACACACGGTTCTGAATCATAGTTTCCACAGATGTTCTTATACCGCATAACAATTTTTCCAGAAATATTAACAACTAGGTCCTTGTTTTTGCTAGAGAATCGACCATCCACTTTGCAAAGGGCAGCAAATGGCATTTTAATATAACTCAAGGTAGCAGAGCAAAGTGCATGCTGGAATTCTTTTGATCTTAATTCTTCAACATCGCCTTGAGTTGTACTCCCCACCAAAAACTTTTCTCGAGCAAACGAATGGGTCGATTCCCCAATTTTGAGATAGAGATCAACTTCTATACTTGTTCCTTGCAATTCCATCCAGAAATCTTGAGAGCCAGTAATCCAATCAGGGAAAATATCAGGCCTAAAGAGAACCAAATTACCACCACTTGGGCTTATGTAATCAGCCTCTTCGGCACTTTGTCTGTAAACATCAAGATGCACCTCTTTTCCAGTAATGAAATTTTGATACTTAACCCGAATTATACCACATACAAGAAGCGGTGTACCTTTTAGAGCTTCCTTGGGTTGTACATGTAGTGAATGCACATGAAGTAAAGGCCCAGCTATAACGTGTTCTCTGCCTTTTTGTTTTTCGGTTTCTCGTGAGATACTGATATCACTAATAGCTGTTTCCACGAATCCGAGGATGTTAGGGTTAGGGATGCGGAGTGACCTCGCCAAACCTGGGCCGCAATCGATGAAAAGCTTCTCCATATCTCGTTCTGTAGTATTGGGGTGACGATTTAGAAGCTCCATGACATCCTTATGCGAACCATAAGGGTAATGTTTCATGAAGAGATCCATAGCTCAAAGAAAGATTCGATGCAGAATATTGTGTTGAAATATGAAATCAGAGATCTAAAACGTGGGTTCAAAAAATTCAATTCAAGGTTTTTGTTTTGATGAAGAAAACCGGATTGTTTCTTAAACCAACGGCGACGAACGAAAGAGTTTTCTAGTTTCTACACGGGCGATGCAAGGCCAAATAGTGCTGGCACCAATATCCCTCTATTTTCAAAATGGTTTTAAAAACCTGCATCTATGTCTCCTCTCATCAATTTCCGGCCATTTTTTCGACGAAGCAGGGGGCATTGGTGCATATTTTTTAAACCATAGGAGATATCGGTGCTGATTTTTATTTCTCGCAAGTTTTTTTCCACTCTTTCCTTTTTTTGTTTCATCTATTAATAAACTTTTTTTAAAACTATTTTTATAATGTTCTTAAAATTTAAAGTTATTTTTGTTTGAAAAAATTAACATATAATGCACATGTACGTCTCAAATTAACAAATTTTGTTTTTTCTGAATAAAAAGTACGAATTAATTTTTTTAGAACTTCAAAAAAATGAGGAATAAAATAAGAAACAAAAATAAAAATGAATATCCTTTTTGGATATCTCAATTCAAAAGACTTTTTTAGGCATGTCTAAATTTTTTTGTATAAGACTTTTTTTTTGTATTTTAATTTTTTCATTTCAATTTTCCATATTTTTTTCTGGGTTTTTTTGAACTTTCAAAAAATTATTTTAAGTAACAAAAATTGAAAATGTTTAATTTGAGATAAATGTAATGTATATTACTTTTTTATTTCTATTTTTATTTCAAAGACAATGAATTTCAAAATTTTTCAAACATTATACAAAATTGAAAATATATCTTATAAATAGAAGGTATCTCGGAGTATATTTTTAAAATATAAGGTACCTGGTAGTTAGTTTTTCAAAATAGAAGGTATCTCGGAGTATATTTTGAAAATATAAGGTACCCGACAGTTAGTTTCTCAAAATATAGGGTACCCAAGAGCAGTTTTCTGATTTGTACCCCAAGTTTTGTACCCCAATTTGTACCCCGCAGTTTTGCACAAACACTTTTTGTTGGTGTAAAACTAATTTTTGTTAAACGCACCAACATTTGTATCTGTATGAATTTTTTATTAACGCACCAATACTTGTGTCGGTGTAAACCATCGAAATGTTTGTACAAATCTGTGGTGTACAAATGAGGTATATTTTTTGGTGTAAGTGTAGCATGGTCCTTTTGGGAATCCTTAAGCAGTCGTACTCAATACGGAACTCTTATTTTATACACTTTCAAGTTTCAATAGAAAATAGTCAAAATACAATCAATCCTAATAGTGACAAACATAACATTATAAGATGCAAAAATATAAAATTTTAGATTAATCAAAAATAAAATACTAAAGATGTCAATGTACAATGACAAATGTTGCTTTACAAAATGTCAAAAGTTCATTGTACTCGGTGATACATGTGCATGCATTGAGCCCACAAAGTCACTAATTATGGAAAGAAGACAATTAAAATAAACAAACACACAATCTCTTCTTTGTTAGCTCTATACCAAAAAACAAAAAAAATCCACCCCCACCAATAATAATAAAAAAGAATCCCAAAAAAGAAACAAAACAAACAGAAAGAGTTTGGATTGAAGAAGTAATAGCTAGACATGCATTGACATCCATGCATGCATGAGAGTCAGCACTAGTGTCACTGCATATCTATTTAACTAGACTCAAACTCGTGCGTTGCACGGCCAAAAATAAAAATTTAAAAATAACGGAATGTATTGAGGTTAGAATTCAATAGGACTGAATTAATATATGAATATATAACGAAAAATTTGAGAGGATGAAGTATACAATGATATAGATATTGGAAACGTTACATTATAAGTTTTGGAAGACTTCTTTATAAACTATGTTGGCAGTTTGGTTCATCTTAGCTGGGTCTTCATTGCATATCAAGATCTTTAAATCTCTGCGATTTATGACACGTGAAAGCGCTACATAAAGCTGGTCATGGCTGAATACCAACTTCTTCAATAAAAGCCCAACATGCGACAATAACTGTCCTTGATTTTTATTAATTGTCATTACATAGGAAATCATAATTGGGAATTGTTTCCTTTGAAACTTAAAAGTAATCCTGGTATCTGACGGTCTAAGCCGCAACCGTGGGATAACAACTTCTTCTCCAATATTTTCCCCCGTAAGCACCGTAGCTTGAATAAGATGATTGCCTAGTCGAGTAACAATCAACTTTATCCCATTGCACAAACTTGATTTGAAGATTGATCAATATTCCTCAACAACATGATTGGTGTTCTGATCTTTAACTTCAACTCATGGTTTGGCACACCAGAAGCTCGTATGTTATTCAGAAATTCAGGAGAATGGATATCCGTAAGAAGTCTACGTTTAAATTTGATGATTTACACACTGCATCAGAACTCAAGTAAGTTTTTGCTTCTCCGATGTTGTTTAATGACGTCATGTATTCATTTATTTCATCCACGACTTATAGTGTTGGTGCCAAGATTGCTTGACTTTGCAAATACGTTGGATCATTTGCAATATTGTGGAAGTCTGGATAAGTTGCTTTTACTATAGATGCAATAGGGTCATCAATAGTTTTTAACAACTTATCTTCTGGGATAATTACCTCCCAATTCCATCGTTTTCTCGCCCAGCAAGACCATCACCGATACTTGCACTCCACTCTGCAAATTCTCTCATGCTCTCAAAGTTGTCATCGCGAGACATGTGTTGTAAGCGCATGTTACTTGTCAAGCGTATGACCGTGCAATATTTCCACAAATATGAAGAGTTAATCGTAGCATTGACAATGTCTTGCCTTCTTCCTTTGGGTATGACGGGTAGAATTTGTCGAAAATCTCCTCCAAACACAATCGTCTTTCCTCTAAAGGGAAGATTTGAATTTGATGGACAAACTACACTCATTACATCACGTAGAGTTCGGTCCACGGCTTCAAAACAGTATTTATGGGTCATTGGAGCTTCGTCCCATATTATAAGTTTGCTCATAACCAATAAATCTGCAAGAGGTGTTTTGTGTTTAATGTTGCATGTGGAATTTTCATGGGGAGTAATTGGAATTTCAAATCGCGAGTGAGCAGTTCTTCCAAAGTGTAGTTGTATTACCTTAGTTGTCTCCAATAGATTTCTAGTTGTGGTTATAGACATAACCCCGTGATCATCATCTCCTCCGGCTAGCATGAGACCACCCACGGGACCCCCAGCATCAACATGCAATGGTAACCTACAATATACTCCCTCCGTCCATAAATTATCTTTACATTACGCGTTACGATGTTTGACTAAAGTTATTTTCAAATCATTTTATATGAAAAATGGTATAGAATTGAAAAATAAAAATTACATATTAAAAAACTATATCAAAAGATCCACAAAACTAGAGGTGACATGAATATATTATTTTATCAAATGAGTAACGAAAATAGGCCAACAAGGTGAATAAAGTTTGACCCTGTGAATAGTGAACGTAAAGTTTATTTGTGGACAGAGGGAGTAAGTTTCATTAGTAGATTGTTAGTAGAAGAAAAAAAATTCAGTCGGAAAAAAAATTATATAAACCAAAATTACCTTGCACTGAATTCATTGACCTCAGCGGAATTGCCATCAAAAATCATGTTGGTTATGTGGAATGAAGTTGACACTGTCACAGTACCTACACAAAGAATTTTTATTTCGTGACACAATTATAAAACTTATATTGCAATTAAAGTTTGAGGAATTCTATTTTGCCCATTAACGTTTTGCTTTGCAAAAACTCAAAAGTAGAATCACCGGTTCTTGCACATTTTGGGTAAAACAACCCAAAAATCTTTCCACATATTCTCTTCATAGGGTACATCTCAAATGATTACCCCTAAAATTTTCACATACTTAAGCAAAAGTGAATGTTTAATGTTATTACAACATTTATTATCAAATTTTTTTCATACTCATGATCTTCTAGTGTTATTTCCATCAACTTTTGTTTTTTGCCCATTCTTATGTGTGTTTGAACTTTTGACCGGCCAACAACTTTCCCAATCACAACTACATTTATTTTCTAGATGAGTTTGTGTGTATGAATGATCTTTCAACAATGTTTGTATATTATGTTACTTTGATAATTTGTTTAAAAAATAATCTAGTACCAATCAAGATTTGATCGTTCAAAATCAGTTGGTTATGAATCGTCGCAAAAGATTTCAAATCAAACATGAAACGTGAAAAATCACTTCCATCCAATGTTTTGACTTGTGTTTTTGCGTAAAAACCCAAAAGTTTCTCATTTGAGGTGGTTTTGACGGATTGAAATTGTCATGAACAAAAACATCCCGAATCCCATAAACACCATTCTCTACAATTTGATTCTCAACCCGTTTTTTTTTCGGTTTTTTGAAATGCGTGTGAGTCCTTGTGCCCTATACAAAGTAAAAGAGTTTAGATTAGAAATAGTTAACACTTAAATTACGATTAAGCACAAAAAATTGGGAATGTCATACATGTTCATCATGAAAAACGACCTCCATTGAATCTCTGACTTTGGTCCAAACGGGAACAAAATATACACGCACAGCCCATAACTTGAACATCAAAGTCGGCCGAGTGTTGCCAAGCTCGCCAATGGGAGACCACATGCTTAAAGAAGACGTTTGAGACATTTGATGATTTTTTTGGATGGTTGAGAAGTGAATTTGAAATGAATGAAGTTTACATCATAATGCTAGAGTATTTATAATCATGCTCCATGATATATGTAACCATGCATTAATTGCTTTAGATATTAAAAATCTTTAAAATAGATGGATTTGAAACAAAATAGGTTTTTTTAAAATTACCTTTTTGGAGCCACCAAATTTATGTTATCAATGAAACTTTATGGAATATGGCAATGAATAATAGACATAAAGCAAAAAAGTAGATTTGATACTCCCTCCGTCCAAAATTAAACTTTACAACACGTCCACCAATGTAGGCCGATTTCTGTCTACTGATGCAAGCCCATTTCTGTATACCAATGCAGGCCCAAAATTGATCCAAGGTCTACTTACTTTTGGCGGAAACACTGTTCACCAAAAATGCACCTAGCATTGTATATAGGAGGATTTCCGTTAAAGAAGTCAATGAATAGGTGGTGTTCCATTTCTTCTTCAGGTGGCTAAACAATTGTACAACAAAAATAGTTAATTATTCTTATTTAGATGAGTTTAAGTTTGAACTCATACTTTAAAGATATAATACATGTTTTATTCATATTTAAGAGGTTTTCTTTTTGGAATATCGGGAATGAATGTCACACCAAAATGTGACGGGGTGTCCTGGGCCTCAAATTAATTGTTCCTAGCTCAATTGAACTTTGTTAAATTTTTCATCCCGCCCTAACTCGAGCATACCTCTCTAGTCCCTTGAATTGCGCCTCCAAGTTGATTTTGACTTTGGAGTCAAAATTTAGCTCCAAAGTCAAAATTGAAACTCAAAGTTTAACCAAAAAGTCAAACTGGACAAATACACTAAGACGAAGAGAGTATGTACATTCTACACAGCGTGTTTATAAACAAGTGTTTCAAAATGTGTACTTTTGCTCGCATTCTATCCCTTCAATGTAATACAGAGTAATATACTACCTCCGTTCCAAAAAAAATCTTTCATGTTCTTTTTTTTGTTGAATAAATTCTCAAAAATTCAAAAAAAAAACTCAATAATTATGTGTTCTTCCTAATTAATTCCTAAATTACACTAATAAAAAGATGGTAATAATTAATTAAAAATAATACCCAATTTCGTTCCCCGACTAAGTGACATCAAAATATCGTCAAAACAACATTTAAGCTTATACTCCCTCCGCTTTTTAAAACCTTCCTCTTTTATTTTTTTGTTTTTCTTAAACACTTTATTTTTCTATTAAAAACTACTTTACTCCCACTTTTTCATATCATACCTATCACATCATGTCTTTTTCACTAATAACTAAACTATCGCATCTTACTTTTCCACATCACATCGAGAACAAAATAAAAAAAATCAACTAAAAATACAATTTCCTCAACTAACCAAATCTCAATATAAAAATTCATTAAAAATGGTTTCCCATCTTCGCTCAAACACCATAAATCAATTAAAAAAGAAAAATTCTACTTTAATGCTAGACTGGACATTTTTTTAATTAACGATTACCATCTCAATAATTAGTTTATTTTACTAATTTAAAAAAAACACATTACCATTTTTTGGAAATTTTTTCTTTTTTTTGTCAAAATGTAACTGTTTGACCACATCATTTTTTGTGTGGAAAGAGGAGAATAGAATGACGTGTTTGAATAAACTAGACTCGAACCCGTGCGTTGCACGGCCTAATTAAAAACTAAATAATGAGTGAAAATATTGTTGTTGGAATTCGATATAATTAAATAAACATAAGAATATAGAATGAAATATTTAAGTGCATGAAATGTGAATGATATAGATTGTGAAACTATTACATTATAAGTTTTGGAAAACTTCCTTCTAAACTACATTGGTGGTTTGGTTCATCTTATTTGGGTCTTCATTGCATATCAAGATCTTTAAACCTCTGCGATTTGTGACACGTGAAAGCGCTACATAAAGCTGGCCATGGCTGAAAACTGACTTCTTCAATAAAAGCCCAACATACGACAATGATTGTCCTTGACTTTTATTAATTGTCATTCCATATGAAATCATTACTAGGAATTGTTTCCTTTGAAACTTAAAAGGAATCCTGGTATCTGACGGTGTGAGCAACAACCGTGGGATAACAACTTCTTGTCCAATATTTTTCCTTGTAAGCACCGTAGCTTGAATAAGATGATTGCCCAGTCTAGTAACAATCAACCTGGTCACATTGCACAAACCTGAAGATTGATCAATATTCCTCAGCAACATGATTGGTGTTCCAATCTTTAACTTCAACTCATGGTTTGGCACACCAGAAGCTCGTATGTTATTCAAAAACTCAGGAGAATGCATGTCCATCAAGAAGTCTACGTTTGAATCAGACTTACACACTGCATTAGAACTCAAGTAAGTTTTTGCTTCTCCGACATTGTTTAAGGACGTCATATATTCATTTATTTCATCCACGACTTCTAGCGTTGGTGCCAAGATTGCCATCTAAATATTTAGTTTATTTTACTAATTTAAAAAAAACACATTACCATTTTTTGGAAATTTTTTCTTTTTTTTTTGTCAAAATGTAACTGTTTGACCACATCATTTTTTGTGTGGAAAGAGGAGAATAGAATGACGTGTTTGAATAAATTAGGATACACTCATCAATACATATTGTAAATATATCTAGTCATCCCATAATATAATAACTTTAAGAAATTTAAAAAACATTCAAACGGGGGGGGGGGGGGGGGGGGGTGGTCACAACCAAACACTTAACAACACAATAATTGCAAATGTCAACCCAAAGTTTAGGGAGGGATGCATCACATTGTAACACCTGTAAATGTAATTTATTAGTTCGGGGTTCATCTCACATTAGAATCCAATGTCATTGAATGATCCGAGACGCTTACCGTGTTCCATTTCAAAACTTGATGACCTACCCTCTGCCAACCCTCCTTGCCCATGGCCCAATCCCCTTCGCGCAAGAGTGGTGACTGTAGCCAATCGGCAAAGGGGAGGAGGGCCATGAGTGCAGAAGGTTTGTAGGGGGTTGGGGGTTAGGGATAAAACCATCGATGTAGGTAGGTGCCCTGTGTCATGCTACGACATTGGATTCCAATGTCACATGAATCAATGTGATATTAATTTTGGAAACATGAAAGAAACTCACGCCCCGTTTGGTACACGAAATTCAAACTATGGAATTGGAATTGAGAGCTCCAATTCCAATTCTGATGTTTGGTAGCACAAAAATGATGTGGAAATGGAATTGATAGTGCAAAAAGTGAACTGGAATTTTGACAAAATTCAATTCTGTGGAATTAAATTCGATGGAATCTCAATCCAATTCAATTCCAATTCCGTCAATTCCGTATACCAAACGGACCCTCAAAATACTCATAAAACAAATTCTAGAGCTCGATAATACTCTAAAGAGACAACCTGTTTCACAAAAATGATCAAAAAATAATGTAATTCATCCTTTGTTATGCCTTATACTGGGCTGGCTCCCTTCGCCAACACCAAATTTACACCTCTTCACTGATCAACCACATTATCAATGCATTATTACACTAGTTAAGACATGAGTTATCCCCCTTTTCTTCTCATTTCAGATTTCCTTTCGGACTATCCTACTTTCATTTATTTCCTCGACAATTATCAACCACACAATTTAAAATTCTTAATTTCTGTGTAGAGTAAAAACGGGAGAATAAAAATTCAAATGAAAATCCGGCCATTTGGACCATCTTACAATAACTCTCTCAAAAGTTCACATGAATTTAAAACTGCTCTGAAGATGTGTCCGACTCAATGGTGTGACTTGAACGAAAGCCAAATCAGCATAGACATAACGAAAGGATGAACTCTGTTATCATCATATCTTTTTTTGGACATGAGTAATCTTTGTGTATTCTTGGGAGTATTCTTGTCTAATTTTTTGTGTAAGACTGACCAAACTTGGGAGTATTCTAGTGTAAGACTGATCAAATTTTGGAGTATTTGTGTACATTTCGCAATATTTTTATTACTCATATTATTTATCTTCAGCGCATAGTGTTCAAATATTTAATTTGGACTACATTTTGCACAACATTATTACATTTCAAGAATATATTATTACCTCGTCTTCGTCTAATTCGGTCCGCCCATAGTTCGGATCAGGTTGTTTCCGCTTGAGGCTTGAAAACGCAAATAAAAAGAGTTAGCAACAAGAGAAGATCCTCAAAAGTTCAGTAGCAGCCCAAGAATCACTCCACCAGACAGAAAAAGCCATTACCTCTTTTTTCTACAAAAGTCAAACAAGGTAACAAACAAATGCATCTACACCTGATATTATTAAATACAAAACAACATAAAATGCAACACTAGTATAATCCCAACTCATTGAGGTGCAGCTGTATTGATTTAATGCTTGGAACTTCATAAAATGTAGGAAGTAAAGGAAACAATATGTTCTACTTTGATTTAGTCCATCATTTTGTTTTGGGTTAAAAATGTTTTTAGTCTCTGTAAAATACCCAACTTTTGTTTTTGGTCCCTATAAATTGTTCTTTTGTTGAAGTCATCGTTGCAAAATTTTTTATTTTGAAAATATTCCTTGAACGTAATTAACACTTCCAATTACTTAAGATAGCACATGTATTTCATACTCAACATTCTAGTCTTGCATTTCTAATTATCTTTAACGCAATTCTCAAGCCCTAAATTGTATACTTATTCACATTACATAATATAATAAATTTGAGAATTGGGGATGTAAATTGATGGAGGACACAATATAGGACATGGGAAGAAATGCAAGACAAGGATGTTGACTAGTAAACAATTGTGTTATCTCAACAAATTAAAAATCTTAATTGCGTTAAAGGACCATTTTCAAAAATAAAAATTTTTGTAAGAATGATTTAAATAAAATAATATTACAAATTTATTTTGGAGACTAAAAACAAAAGTCACAAGGACTAAAAATATATGTAACCCTTTTATTTTCAAATGAAAATAATGAATGACTGTCAAGACTCAAGAGCTACCCACTCTGCGAAATGCTAAATTGTCGTCCATCACATCCCCACAAATGAAACAAGTAAAACTTCAGTTTTGTTGGCTGTTGAGTACACCAATTCAAGTTTAAAGATAACTGTGGAATTATTGTGTGCATCAAATTTATTGATTTTACTTACTATGTTACTCAGTGTTATTTTATGGCTATACTCATGTTAGGCTTCCTTTTGCATGTGCATTTATATAATGTAGTACAATTAAAGAATGAGCTACTTTGTCTTTGCCTGACTCACTCCACCCATCCTGCAATCCTGTAACAAGACAAGAAACCCAGTAAAGTACATTGTGGAATGAATTGGGGTTCTTTATCTTCCAACTTTCCAAGATTATTGACATTGCTTTCTCATTAAAAAATGGCTTCTTAGTCAAAACACACACAGATCAAGAGACCCAACCACTTCATTTACCTCGCCTTCGTCTAAATCACTCCCGCCATTGCAGTGATCATGTTGGTTTTCGTTGATGCTTGAAAAGGCAAATAAACAGAATTAGCAAGAGAAGATCCTCTTGGGTTCAATAACATCCGAACAAGGAATTACCCAATTTTTCCTACTAATACATACCAGAGTGCAAGGTAGCTAGCAAACAAGTGCATCTATACCTTCATTTTATTTTAAATACAAAACAACAAATTCAACCCTTGTATTATCCCAACTCAATGTGGTCTTGAGAGTCAAGAAGTATGCAACCCTGATACACTTTAACACTCGGAACTTCATAAAATGTAAGAAGTAAACAAAATGATTTTTAAATGAAATTAATGATAAGACTGTCAAGAGTCAAGACTTACCAACCTTGTGAAACGTTATATTGTTATTATTAATCAAACTATCAGACAAATGGAAAATGAAGTTCTATTTCACTTTCATTGACTGTTGTGTATAACAATTGAGGTCTAAATTAACTTTGGAATGATTGAGTACATCAAACTCATTTATTTTAATTATCTTTTTACTCCATGTAATTTTATGTCTAAGCTCTTGTAACATGTTAGATTTCCTTTTGCCTGTGCATATATATTACCATTAAACAATGAATTACCTTGTCGTTGCCTTATTCTCTCCACCCATCCTGCAATCCTGCATCAACAATAACCGCAAAATCATCACCAGCAAACCCAATACCCTGTGCGTTGAATCGGTAATCTTTATCTTTGATTTTTCCAAGATTATTTTTTATTGCTTTGTCATCGAAACATACACAGCCCAAGAGATCCGACCATTGTGTATGAGAACATTTGGTTGCAGAAAGGTGTCAGACATTTGTAAATGAAACATTTTTAAAAAAATGTACAAAAATTATCCCGGGTTTGGAACTTCTAACAAGAATACTCCCAAAATACTCATAAAACAAATATTGAACAATAATACTCCAAAGAGATTCTGTGTTGCAAAATACTCCTAAAACAACATTGTTTATCCTCTATTATGTTTATACTGATAGTGATTTGACTAATTCGCCAACACCAAGTTTATACCATGCCATTGATCAACCACATTTTCAGATCATTTGTTACACTATAGGACATGAGTTATCCTTACTTTTCTCTTTTTGGATGTCCTTTATGAATTTCCCATTTTCATCTAATTCCTAAAAACCTATGAAGTGTCAACCGCAATATTTAGATTTCTAAAGTTTCATGTCATGTCAAAGAGGGAAAATAAAGAATACAAATGAGTACCCCACAATTTGGATCGTCTTACAATAACACACTCAAAAGCTCACATCTATAAAATGCTCACACACTGAGGCCGAATTGGAGGGGTGGCATAAACATAGTAATATCAGCGTCACCTAAGCATCCAGGCACCCTTCTACTCCCACCATGGGAGCTCCCCTCGCCTTATTTTGCACACCTCACCTAGGCCTTGCCTTGCCTTGCCTAGTACAGTACTATTTATTTACTCCAGTGTTATTTTATTTAAGTGTTTTATATCCCTGGCTCTAGTGCTTGGTTTTTCTAATGCTTAATAAATTATTTTATTTCCAATTTAATGTTTATTCTCCTTTATCTTCCCAAGTAATACTTTGTGCTTGATTTTTTAAATTTTAAATGATTAATGTATTTCCAATGTAAGTCGGTAACACTTTTTTCAACTTCAGCTGTTTTTTAGGAAAGTACCTGAGAGTAACTTTGGTAATTAAACTTTGATGTATTAGAAAAATTCAAACTTACTAATTACAACAATATATAATTTGATATATTTATATTAGTGTTTTTAATGTATAGCAATTCTCCTATATTGTGTGTCGCCTACGCGGTCGCCTAGTCGACTAGGCGTCCTGGCAGTACCCCAGAGCCTTGCCTCGCGACGTGATAACTGTGGGCATAAAAGAAATATCCAGATCAACATAGACGTAATGAAGGGATGAACTTTGCTATCGTTGAAGCTTTTGTGACATGGATCTTGGGAGTATTATTGTGCAGTATCGATTCTGGAAAGAGAGGTGTATAAGATGGTCCCAACCTGGGTTGTAAATTTCCAACTAATTTTTATTGCTCGTATTATTTATTTGCACAGCGTTTTATAACGTTATGTCTACACACACTTCTGGCTTCTTTTTGCACAAATTTATTACAAATAAAGAATGAATTACCATGTCTAAATCGGAATCCCTGCCCCCATCGTGCAATCCTGCATCAACAATAATGATAAAATCATCGACAGCAAACTAAATATGTTGTGCAATGAATAGAAACTCTTTATCTTGCATTTTCCCAGGATTATTGTAATGGCTTGGTCATCAAAATATTGCTTCCTAGTCAAAGTACAGACAGACCAGGAGCAGACCAATTGTGAATGACAACAGAGATGGTGCTGTCATTAGATCCTTGATGCATTTAATGCCCGAAAATTCTTTGAACAAAATAACCAATGCCAACATTTCAGAAGCACTATTACATATAAGCTCCCCTAGTTACCCTTTATCATCAAACTAGATTTTGTAGCTGCTTTAAAGAAATTCTTCACTCATTAATCATAAGCATCAATGCATCATTGAATACTACAAATAGATTAATAATATAGCTTACTTGGTTTTCATAATTGACCCGTCACGGAGTGAGAGCCTACCATTGAAGATAATCATAAATAAAACAATTGTCCTACCACTTTAGCTAAATGTTGCATAAAATTATGGGGCCTTTTGATTTCCTTAAAATGAATGATTCACAAAGAGGAATAAAAGATAGTGCTTCACCATTCTAATTGTTAGGGACTTAGCACTGAATTCTTTGAATTGTGAACTATAAAATTTAGTATTGGGTTGGAAGCATATGACCAGGCTATAATACTCCATTACTCCCAAAACTAAACCAAACAAATCAATTAGGTAGTTCAACTGAATATCTTATTAACCTATCATTTGTTACAAAATAATCAAATGTGGGACTCGAAGTCTCTAACATTTGAGACACAGGCACACTGCTTTGGTTTGGGACATATTCTTATAGACAAAAAAAATTGCAATAACAGAATTTAAATAGTATAGTACAACCAAATAAAAACAATTACTTACCATCACTCCAAGTCAACTTGATGTCAAGTTCATGCTCATTTACCTTTGTGCTAAAGGAGCAACATCCAATACTGAACTCTTCCTTGCATAAGAAATGATCTGTCAAAGACGTGTCCCTAAAATCTACTGCAATAATGAGGGACGAATCCATTGGCACCGCAACTGCACATTGAGAAAGTGGTACTCTCCCATTGTCCTTTAATCGTATTGGATCCTTCTCAGTCCTTTTGAAAAGCACGCTCCGAAAATAATCTTCTTTGAACTTAGTTGAGTAGTCAAAGTCACTATATTGCGCAATTGCACTTCCATAGATCTTGTAAACCCCGGAATGAGCACTTTTAACTTTTAAAGTGATCTCAATCTTTGCAAGACAAGCTGTTGAGAACATGGAGTAATGCAACGCACAAAACCCATCTTTGCCCGGGAAAACAGACCAGATTTGGCTGTTATAGGATATATCAGGTTTATATTCTCCAAGGTCATAAGTAGCAAAACCTCTACTCTGAAATTTCCCACCAACATCTTTTAGATCAACCTTCAATTCAAGAATGCTTTTCTTCTGAAAACTCATACACACATCTCCCAATGGTAAAACTTTCTGTGAATCTTCTACTTGCACACTATCATTACTTGTCCTCTTAAACAGGTAGTGAGTGTTATCATCAGAAGAGAATTCAACTGTGCCAAAAATGTTCAGTGTCGCCCCCATTTTTTTACGGCCGATGAAGATTGAAAAGAATTGGGCTAAACATGATGGTCTCAGTATACTTTCTCGGTCTTGATCATCGCACCTAATTGAAACAATAAAGTTATTAACAAAAAGTGGCTAAGCTAATATATTGAAAGGGCACAAATGGAAGAATCACAGACCTAGGGTTGCCATTGTTGGATGATAACGATGTGATATAAGACTGAAGAGAAATGAAAAAATGTTAGACAAAGAGTGATGCAAAATTAAAAATATATCAAACTAATGCAATGTTCTCATACTGTAACGTGTCACCCTTTAACAATACTTCTATGGTGTTAGTAATAGAAAACAAGATGAACATGAACTAAAATGAGACCTTAAGCTGACCGAAGAAAAAACCCCATTATGTAGTCCCAACTCTGTTGGGATCTTGGGGGGTCTGGATGTGTGCAACCTTACCAACAGAGAGGCCATAGTTGTTAGACCCTTGATGCATGGGTACATTTAATACCAAAAACATCATAAAAGGACAAGTGGATAAGTTTAGTATGCCATATTAGTTTTGACCTTAAGCTAAACACTGTCAAAATGGCTAATTTAGTCCATAATTACTGTAAAATCTGTAATATTTTTACTACTACTGCATATATCTAGAGTGTACAGTGTTTCATAATTCAGTGGCTTAAGCCCCTTTGGACTTCTTTTTGCATAGAGTTATTGCTTCCAGAGAATGAATTACCCCATATTGTTCCCCATCACTCCACGCATTGCCCATATGTGGGCACGAAAACAGTCCTGCATCCACAAAAACCGCAAAATCACCCACATCCACTGCACCTTTCATTGCATAATCACCATTCCCGTTGAACACTTCTACTTTTTTGTTGACAAGTTTTTTTCCTGTGTTGAAGTCTGTCAAATCCAGATCAACTTCAAGTGACGAATATGCAGGCAACCCCAACCATGTTCTCGACATACACATGTTTTCCTTCATTTTTACTGGTTCAGAGCCATTCAGCTTCTCAAAAAGAACGCACGGTTCTGAGTTATAGTTTCCACAAGTGTTCTTATATCGTGCAACAATCTTTCCAACAACATCAACAACTAGGCCCTCATCTCTGCTAGAGAATCGAACATTCACCTTGCAAAGGGCACCAAATGGCATTTTAATATAACTCAAGGTAGCGGAGCAAAGTCTATTACGGAATTCTTTTGATTTCAATTCTTCAACATCGCCTTCGGTTGCACTCCCCACCAAAAAAATTTCTCGAGCAAACGAAATGCTCTTACCCCCATTTTTGAGATAGAGATCCACTTCTATTGTTGTTCCGTACAATGCCATCCACAAACTAGAATAAGTAAGGAAAGGATTACGCCAACCAAGAGTTAAATAACCACCACTTGGGCTTATGTAGTCGGGATCCTCGGCACTTCGGTTGTAAACATCAAGGTGCAAGGGTTCGTCACTAATGACATCTACATACTTAACCCGAATCTTTCCATATACAGGGAGTGATCCACTTTCTACATCTCCTTTTGGTTGTACATGTACAGAATGCACATGAAGTAAAGGCAAAGCTTCAACATGTTCTCTGCCTTTTTCTTTTTCGGTTTTTCGTATGATATTGATATATTGAGCAAAGTCATCCAGGTAGCTGAGATTGTCACGAGTGCGGTAGTTCATCTTTAAGCCTGGGCCAGCAGTGAGGAAAAGCTTCACCATATCTCCTTTTGTAGCATAAGGGTACCGATTTACAAACTCCTCCACATCTTCCGTAGCAAAAAAAGGGTATTTTTTCATGAGATCCATAATGCAAAGAAATATTCGCTGCAGTAAATTATGTTGAAATATGAAATCAGAGATCTAAATCGGAGGTTCAAATCAAGTTTTTCTTTTAATGAAAAAAAACACACAGATTAATCTGCCCCTACATGAAATCAAACCTAAACCTAATTGTTGTGCTGATAACAAAACTAATTCGCTCGTAAGCAGGCTACGAGCGAATGGTTTCCCAGGCGATGCGATGAAGAATGAAGAGAGAGGTTGGGAGCAAATTTTTGGGAAGCCTTCATCAGTCGTACTCACTACTGAATACGGAACTCTTATTTCGCTAGCATGTTCCCACATTTGGGAATATCGGGAATGAATGTCATACCATAACGCGACCGGGTGCCCTATTAGGGCATCCACAATAGGAGATGTTCAAGTGTGAGCTCCACTTTGAAAATGTTATTCTAGCATCTCTCTCAATATCTCATTCTTTTAATGGTAGCATCTCATTTGGATGCCTAAATATATATTAAATAAATTTAGTGGGTCCACTAAAATATACTCCGTATTTATATTTTTTTAAATTATAAATATTTAGTTATATGATAAATTACGGAGTATTAATTTAAACAAAAATAGAAAATAAAACCTGAAAATATATTATTGAAAAAAACTACTCTTTATATTTAAAAATTAGCTTGTTGTCACCTCAATTGCAACTAGGAGTCGTGGTGTTATGGCTGATAGAAAAAATTGCATAAATCTTTATTAAAAAAATTCTGATTTGCAGCTGTCAAGAAACATTTGCTTAAATATTTAATTGAATTACAAAAAATGACCGTTGGAAAAGCATTAAACAAGAGACTCATTTAAGAAATTTGCCATAAAAAAAATTGAATACATATGACACATGGCGCACAAACATTAGACCACAAAATTAAAGAAATAAATGCATGTGATATTTTCCTCTCAAGCATCGGTGCTTCACAAAGCATCTCCCTTTCTTTCTCTTCCTTGAACATCTCTAATGGGCACCCACCTACAATAATAGCATCTATGAATATCACACTCGCTCTCTTCCTAGCATCTCTTATTAGCATCTCATTGGAGATGGTCTTAGTAAGTAAAATTAACCTAACCTTTGTTAAATTCCTTATCCCGCACAACTCCAACATACTTCTTTTCAATTGGGCTTTCAAATTAATTTTAATTTTAAAATTAAAATTTAACTCCAAAATCAAAATTAACTGAGAAATTGAAATAAGCAATTGAAGGGGTATAGATATGTGAAGACGAAAAAGTTGAATAAACTAGAATATCAAATTTTGACTCATTTTAACTCAAGTTTTAGTCATCTCTTATTTTTTTCAAAATTTTCAAATGATTTCCTATTTCTTTAGCATTTTCTTTTTCTTCTTCTATATCCTCCGTCGTCTCTAGGATTAAATTTTTTCAAGAATTAGTTAACATGTCCAATTATCCTTCATCAAAAAATTCCAAAAATTTTTTCAAGAATTAGTTAAATTTCAAATGATAAATTTAAAGATTGTACCCTCAATCTTTTAAATTTGTTTAAGTTTTTTTATATTTAAGTATTTTTTTTGGAATAAAGGTCAATGACTCTAATTATAAAAAGTAATGAAAAATAATAAAAAATTACATATTACATTTAAAAGATTATTCTTCATATTAAAGTAAGAAGAAAAAAATAAAAACACAAATAAAATTGTATCTATAATCAATACTCCGTATTATAGGTATTAAAAATAAAAAAAATTGCATTTTGGTCTTACCGGTCTGACTCGAAAACTATCCAATCTTTGATCGAAATTGGACAGAATTTTACCGGTCCTTAACATTTAGACAGTAGATCGGTCTGAAATTTTACTGATCTAGCCCAGAACCAACTGGTCTGATTCGGTCCAATTTTCTGGCCCAACTCAGATTTTGTACATTAATTGAAGCATCACCTACTACAATAAGAGTGTATGGGGCCTGTTTGAGAACATTGTTAGCGTTTTGAAAAGGTTATCTAAGAACAGCGTTTTCAAAGTAATCTGCACATCCTTCCGGCTCCTAAGAGAAATCTGCCCTCCACAAGAAGGCAGAGGACCTCCTTCTTGAAAAGATCAAAGAGAAAAAACGATGGCCAACGTATCTCGAACGATTAAAAATTTATCCAAAATGCTACCGCTAATCTTTATCACTGTTTTCAAACAAGCCCATGAATTCTAATATCATCAGGTTTCAATATCTTTTTTTGGTAATACCAAAAGAATATTGAATTTGATATCATTAAAAATCATAAAACCTTCCAATGAAGAATCTTGATATTTCCTAAGTTTGGAAGATATTAATATGAATGCTTGATATCTCTCCCAACTATCATTAAATATCATAAAACATTCTAATAAAGAGTCAATATCTTCTAAATCTAGAAGATATTAATATTAAAGCTTCATATCTCTCAACTATCATTTCTCATCGGCTCCCATTGTACCACCAATCACCTATTCTTCACATATCGCTAATTAAATCATGATTTTAAATCTCTCCAAATAATTTAATTTCAAATTTAAGAAACCATATCATTTCTTCCAATTTTTAAAACTCATTTTTCATACCTATAAAACTTAGGGATGGTTTTTGAACATTCCCGGATACGTAAGGTTGTTGCCTTCTTGATATTGATCAACGCAGTACAAATTTGTGGTTTCACTAACCATATTTTAATCGAGGCCCAAAATGGATGGAGTTAAAGTAGGGATGGCAACGGGTCGAGTTCGGGTCGGATAGTACTATACCCGAACCCGACCCGACTTTAAAAAACGAAACCCGAACCCGACCCGAAACCCGACTTTTTAAGCCAAAACCCGAGCCCGACCCGAACCCGACATTCCAACCAGAAACCCGAACCCAACCCGAACCCGACTTTTAACTAATTATCAATTTAGCGTACCTCAATAATTTTAAAAAGATTACATCTAATTTTTTTTGTGTCTCATTTTTTATTAAGAAATTATAAAAAATGATCATAAAAGGCATATTTGATATAATAGCACTTTGTCAAGAGATTATATGTAGTGCACATTATATCCATAGATAGGCTTTTATGTTATAAAATCTTCGGGTTTGAGTCGGGTCGGGTGCGGGTTCGGGTCGGTCGGGTAAAATAATAAACCCACACCCGACCCGATGTCGGGTTCGGGTAAAAAATTTCGGGTCGGGTTCGAATTATTTTATTCTCGGTTCGGGTTCAGATATTTTAGTGGTCGGTCGGGTCGGTTAAGCTCCGGTTCGGATTGAATTGTCATCCCTAAGTTAAAGTGACACCTATTTTAGGTGTCATATGATGACACGGTCCAATTAAAGATCTACTGTTCTATTCAAAAAATCGATTGTTCGTACCGCTATCTCAAATGAGAACCCTCACTTCAGCTTGCCCCAAATGCATCCCACATTCCCGTAAATTGAACCCCCAAAAAATAGTTGGCTTTAGAGTCAAACTCTTTGATTCCAAAGTCAACTATTTGTTGGAGATTCAATTGACAAGAGTGGGTGTTAGTTTGGACCAACCTAAGGTGAGACCAGGGGTTAGCAAGCTAAAAACCATCAATTTTTTGAACGAGATACCGTATTCCCCTCAATTGGACCAATGTGCTATTATCACACCCAAAATGGGTGGAAGTATAACCCCACCCAATGAAAAAATAAATTTTACCACAAAGTGGAGGAAGAAAGTAGAGTATCATCATCTCTAAACGGTCAAAAAAGCCAAAACACTGCCATGCCCAAAAACTCAAAATCCAGAGCACATAAGTCATGATTCATTTCACCAAAAACTACACCACAAACAAAGCTATAAAATCTCGGGGAGCAATTTTAGCTCCTAGCAGCCTGCTTTTCTTTGGTTTTCTGAATCTTCAGCACCTTCTTCACAATCTTTTGTTCTTCCACCAAAAACGCTCTAATGATCCTAGAGACCAGAAACGCACACCCACAGTGAGATAGAATCATCATGTCATCATTTTATTATTCTTAAAAAACATTAAATCTTGGCATGATGAGTTGTTTTTTTATAAAACCATGTACAAGGAAAGAGCTTAATGATGGCCAATTACACAGAAGAACTAACCTTTCCCTTACAGCACCACCTGATAGGACTCCCCCGTATGTGCGGTTAACAGTCCTCCTGTTCCTGGGTAATCTAGACCTCTTGTACTGAGCAGGCCTCAAGCGAGGAATCTGAGATAAAGATTGATTGATATGAGAGGAGTTTAAATATTCTAGAATACAATACAAAAGTTTTTGTTACACTAACAGAGAATAGATGACACATTAACCAGCATAATCATATAAAAGTGTCAAATACTCCCTCCTCAGGAAAAACTTCCCCATTTCTTTTTTTCTTGTCCTAAAATAAGGTTTCACTTTCTTTTTGAAGAAATGAGTGTATAATTTACATAACTTCTCACTCCTCCGCATCAGCCTGACCACTCAATTTCACATTCTTTAATAACCGTGCAAGGCCAAATGTGAAACATTTATTTGAGGCAGACGGAGTACGAGGCTACAATGAAACTGTGCTTCCCAAGCACATATGCCTCTCAGAAGTCAGAACATGTACACATTCCTCTTTTTTTTTTTTGAAGAAATGGAATATCATGGGTATCACACATGGAGTGGGTAATGAACTAGATTGGCATAAAATTTTGAATAACAAATGGAGGATTGGAAGAAGGGGTGGTCAGGTGTGCTGCACTGCAGTGCACTTCAGATGGCATTTCCAGACCACTTACGCATATTCAGCTGGGTGATGACAATTCCCTGGACAAACAGTAGAGGGGCAAAAGGGCCTGTGTGGCAATGTAGAGCATCACTTTTGTGGGAAAGCTAGATTTAGGGTTTATAAAATGAGGAAGGCGTAAACACTCCAAGATTATGGGCTATAGGGCTTTTGTGAAAAACCCACCAATCAGCATAGGCTAAGATCCTTTAACAGCATAAAATTGCCGTTATATCATGAACAAATCTAGCATAATATTTAAAGTCAAACAGCTACTAACATTTAAGCTTGAATAAATCTAGATAAATTGGATATTCGGATCACATACAACAAACAACGAACCACACAAACTTGAACAATCCAATACATGGCATACGCACATTAGAAGCTTAAACATCAGAACATCTATATCAGAAATACGATAACTCTAATCAACTTGATAGAGATGGGGAAAATATACGCATACCCCTTGGATCCGCTTTCCAGTTACAGGGCACTTGGGTCCATTAGCCCTCTTTTTTGTGCGTTGATACACAAGCTTCCCACCTATTAATAATATTTACCAACATGAACAATTAAAAAATCACACTTTGAAAATCAAATTATCATGATTACGACTTTGCAAATCAATATACATTTCAGAATGCAACTCTCTGAAGTTACAAATTTAACAACTACATAATTGATAATAACAATGAATGAATGGAATGGAGAAAATACCTGGTGTTTTGACAACACGTTGCTTATTAGATTTGGTTGCATAGCTATGGCGTGTGCGATAAACGAGCCGCTGCACCATTTTTAATCCCTTTTGATGGCGGTAGCTGCTAAGGTGAGTTGAAGGGTTCGGGAGTTAAAGTGTGTGGGAAAGAGATTATATGAAGTACGTAGGGATGTCAAAGGGTAGCTGGAACCTAGTGTGCCACGCCCATTAAAAAACTTGTTCCCAACCCATACCCATTTACCAAAAGGTCCTGATGTTATATACGAAGTACCAGATTAGACACATTGGGTCTCCGTACCAGGTCTGATATACATGTGATAAAAGTGTCTTTTGTATCGTATATATGTATAATTGATAAAAAATGAGTGCAAATACCACAAGAGAATAATACTCAGATTGATTAAAAAACAAGACTACCACTTTAAAAAAACATGACCAGTATGGCACTACGGAAATAGTGCCATTTGATCAAGAAACAATTTCACACTCTACATAATTGTTACATCCTTTGATCATAAAATTAAGCAAACATCCAACTTTGTAAAAAGATAGTTACAGATTATTCATAAAACTTAGAAAACATATACCCCTTATAGGCCTTTTCTACCAAAAATATGCAGCAAAAACACAAAGAAAAAACTCATGACAAACACAACTTTTGAAATGATCTCAACTTATGAATTTGGAAATAATTATATCACCATCAACATATATATTGTCTTATGGTTACCCGTAAATTAAAATTCTCACTTGTACTTTCTACTTCTTATTTGGTGCCTGCTACTTGATGGAGTATTAAATAATGGAGGTTAAAAGGCCTATACAGAGACATGGCGGAGGTTGCAAACGAAAATTTATAATCAGATATCATATTGAGGAACTGTCACTGGCGATATCTTCACATTTCAATCCACACACAAAAAATCGAAATATAAAACGTCGAAATTCAAATTTTTCAGCCAGAACAAAAATGGAAACGCGGTTGCATACGAAAATCATATATCAAATGACCGAATATAAGAACTTAAAAGTGTCAGCCATAAACCAAAAACTGAATAAATTAAGAAGAAGAAGATGATGATAATGAAAGATTCTTACCGAAGCACTTAGCGAAGAATGGCGATGATCTGGGATTCTGCGAAGCTGCTATCTGCAACTAGGGCTAATTTGTAAGTTGAGCAGAGGAGACGGAATAATAGAAAGGGCCTAGTCATAGACACCCGTGGGCTCATGTGGGCCGCTTAATTGGGCCTCTATTATGTAAAATTCTAGACATAATACTGCATCCGTCTCACTTTAAATATCTTATTTTGATTTACGATATTTGACTAAAAATTATTTTCAACGCAATTTATTTGATAATCGAAGTAAAATTTTAAGTTAAAATTTGCATATTCAAAAACTCTATGTGCTTTAGATATGACATAACTAAATTTTTCTATCAGATTAGTAGAAACAAAAATAAGAAAATAAAATGAATAGAGTTTGATCATGTGAATAAAAAACAAGCAACTTTGGATGAAATATTTGTTAAGAGTAGAGAGTATTAGATAAAGAAACAAGCAACTTTATTTTAGATGGATGAAATATTTTCTAAGAGTAGGGAGTATTAGATAAAGAAATCTTCAAAGAGTGTATCTATGGTGCATCTTGGACGCATACTATTTTTGTGGGCCTTCTCATATTTTTTTTCTTAAAAACATATGTTTGTTTAATTAATAAGAAAATGCTTATTTTTCTCATATGTATGTCCATGGTGGACCTTACATCCACGGTCCACCATATAAATTACCATAGTCCAAAATAGAGGTAAACATATGGGAGTAACATTTATCCGAAAAAAGGGGAAGCAAGTTTTTTATTTAAAAAATAGAATTATTGTGAATTGACAATATGATATTGTATATTGGTATTTCATACTATTTTTTGTTTTATATGTTTGCATTTTTTACATTTTATGTAGTAGATTATATTTTGAAGATAAAAATATGAAAGTCTCATTTTAATTTTTTCTGAGTTTTACACCTATTTTAGTTTTTTTTCTAGCACTCCCTTGGCCCAATCTCTTTACAAAATTGTTTGACGAAGTTTATGAAAAATGTTAACAGTTTACTCCCTCCGTCCAAAATTAAACTTTACATTACGCGTTACGATGTTTGACTAAAGTTATTTTTAAATCATTTTATATGAAAAATGGTATAGAATTAAAAAATAAAAATTACATATTAAAAAACTATATCAACAGATCTACAAAACTAGAGGTGACATGACTATATTATTTTATCAAATGGGTGACGAAAATAGGCCAACAAAATGAATAAAGTTTGATCTTGTGAATAGTGAACGTAAAGTTTATTTGTGGACGGAGGGAGTATAATACAATGTGAGTGCTTACAATTTTTATAAATAAGAGAGAAGTTTTTCTAAACATAACTTCAATTCATTAACATTGTGTTTGGTTTAAGGAAAAAGGAGGTGTGAGAATTGAAGAGTATAGAAGGAATTAGAATTAGAGATGAAAATGTTTTCTTAATTGCTTCTCGACCGTAGAAAAAAGATAGTTGTATTTAGATGCATGGTACTACGTAAATAAATAATTTAAAAGATTTCATATATTTAGCCCTAATTCTATGAGGGTGTTTGGCAGTGCGTTGCTTTTAATAATTTAGCTTCTGCTTTGAGTAAAAAGGATTTTATTCTGTTTGGCAGACCAGCTTCTGCTTTTCACTGCCACTATTTTGTACACAGAACACCGTTTCGGAGAAGCAGGTATGAAATGCTTTTGCTTTCAGCTTTTGTGAAAATCACTTTATCCAAAAGTTAATCACTCCCAAACAAGCTCTATGTCATTGGCAATGTCATATTAGAATATACATGTCAAATTCTTAGAATTACACGTGTCATGTTTATAAAGAGAGGAGTCTCAACTTTACATGTAAAAAATACTGGATATTAGTTATGCACCTCTTGAAAAGTAGTTATGCACCTCTCGAAAAGTTCAAATGTCCCAAATAAAAAGAAAACAAGTTAAAAATCAAAGAAGCATTCAAACTATAAAATAGGAAAAATTATCCTAAATAAGAGTAAAACATAGAAAAAATACCAAAATATAACTTTCATGTTTATACTTTTGAAATATGAGTTCACATTGGTAATGTATGGGTAATGTAGCACTAGCACTGTACACGTGCACATTACTATACTCTTTGGTAATGTACATGATCATATTTGGTAATGTAAATGCATTTTAACTCCTATTTCAGGAATAAAAACATGAACCATATTTTCAGTTTTTACTCCCACTTTAGTCTTTTTCCTATAAAAATATACTCCGGGGTAACATTTCAAAATGAAATTATTAGTAGGGAGTACTCCTACTTTAGTCTTTTTCCTATAAAAATATAACATTTCAAAAATATTAAATTTCAATCACTTTATAATAGGGAGTACTTCCTCCGTCCCAATTTATTTTGCTTGTTTTGGTTTACGATGTTTGACATAAATTATTTTCAAATCATTTTATATGAAAAATGGCATATATAAAAAAAATAAAAGTTACATATTAGAATAATGCATCAAAAAATCTACCATAATGAGTACACCATAATGAAGGGCATGAAATAGATCACTTGAAGGGCAACAAACAAGTGCAGTACACCATAATGAGCATAAAACAATGTATTTCCCTTGGACAATAAACCAGTACTGCACTCCTAAAGACATATCTTGGCTAGTAGACTAGAATGTTGAGCCATTGTACCCACAAAATGAGCGCTGCACAAACGCATACACATTGAAATAGCAATGAGGATTCAGTCTTTGAAAAAAAATTACCCAATTTTTTTTGGAAATTTATTATGTTTGAAGTAGGATTGTTGAAACTAATAGATTTGGGCCCAATTCTACCCCAAAAGTTAACTCAAGAGGTTGAGGTACCCAAGCTATTAAATAGCAGCACAATATAAGCTGCATAGCCGATGTGGGATGAACAAGTCAACACGCCCCCCTCACACGAGGCGCAGATTACTGCGGGCGCGGTCCCAACATCAATGGCTTGGCTCTGATACCATGTTGAAATAATAGACTTGGGCCCAATTCAACCCCAAAAGTTAACTCAAGAGGTTGAGGTACTTAAGCTATTAAATAACAGCACAATAAAGGCTGCATTGCCGATGTGGGATGAACAAGTCAACAATGATCAATCTATTGACACGAAAGTACTTGTTAAAAAGTATCCCAAATCAGAACTTGAAAAGATGGAGAAAAATAAATCGATATGTAAGTTCTTGAGTTGAACGAACTAATCGATTAGATTCAATCTTTTACGTAGTAATATGGTTCAGCCCATTAATCCTTAACCAATCCTAAATTCTATCAAAATGCATGTATATGTCAGAGTCCTAGACAAAATATGCCCAAAGGTTACCTGAACATCGTAGAGCTTGATGTAGAAACGAGAGGCATCAATGGAGAGTTTCGTCTGCAGAATCTCAGCAATAGTGGAGCTGAGCTTCCCATTGACGCCTGGCCCGAGGCCGCCTATGGACATCATCTCGCCATAAGCAGCCGGAGCTTCGCTGCCGGAAAATGAGATGGGCACACCGGCGTTCAGCAAGACCATCACATACTTCAAAAAAAGAGCCAATTATTCTCAGAGGAAATTCGTCGAACACTTGGCGTGCAATTTAAAAACTAGTGAAAAGCTGAGGAAAACATAGAGAGAAATGGAGCTTCTTACAGACTCGGGCTTTCCGATGATTCTCGCGACGGCTTTGGTGGCGTCTTTGAGAATGTCGGAAGCCACCACTGCGTCGACTGGGACGTTGGTGAAGAGGCTCAGGCTCGGCATTTTTGCCCCGGCGGGTTCTTTATTCAATTATTTTGGCCTTGAAGTGGGGAAGTAAGCTTTTGGTTTGGACTTTAGAGAAATTTCATAAAATTTATTCTTCCCTCTCATAAAATTTTTGTGTTTTTTAGTGCAAAATAGAGAGAAATATACTCCTTATTAGTTACTTTGATTTAATGATGGCAAAAGTTTGTAATTTAAAACCTTTGTATCAAATGTTACACACATATGTTAGTGTAAATTACGACATCTTGTAAATTAAATGTATCATTTTATTTTAAAATACATAGTAATTTTTGTGGCACATACCCTCCATAAATTTAACTTAGAATTTGTAGTTAGTTTGCTTTTTATAATGTGAAATTGGGTTCTAGCACGTACGGAGTATATTCTAACCCTTTATGTGCATACAAATGGTGATTAGCTACAGTTGTTCCATTAAATACTTACACTATAATTTTTTGTTGTTCTTTTTTTGATAGAATAAAATATATATAATGTGAAATTGGATTCTAGTCGGGATTTATGTAGCTTTGGCATATGAACATACTCTAGAATTGTGTAAGAATTACTCAACGTGACATATGAGGCCATAATCAAATCATAATAAAAGGTTTAACTATCTCAATCAATTAAATAATTTAACTCAAAATTTTTATTTAATCTACCATCATTGTTTTAAGGGCAAGGTTCTAATGACATTAATCCATAATGTCATCCTATGACATGAGCTCCATTTGAGGTTCTCCATTTGAAAAATTGATTGTCCATACCCTCTCTAGCACCCCGGTAAACCCCCCAACTCGGCCCGAGCCGAATCAACCCCTCCTCCCACGTCAATTGCACCCCATAAGATGTACTTGACTTTGGAGTTAAATTTTGACTCTAAAGTCAACTACATCTTGTGGGGTGCAATTGACGGGTGAGGAGGGATTGGTTCGGGTCGGGCTGAATTGGAAGGTTACCGGTGTGTTAGAGGAAGTAAGAACAATCAATTTTTTGAACGGAGTATCGTAGGGATCTCGGGTCATCCCATGACATTGATTTCCAATGTCATGAGAACCATAGTGTTGTTTTAAATATGTTTAACACGATGACAGGGCAAGTTCATACAACTACCAGTATGGAGTAACAAAAAATGAGAAAAATCCACCACATTGGTTTGAAAGAATGATCATCCAAAAAGTGTGGTCAACAAGCACAATTCTCACTTGGAAACCAAAGAGCACAATAGTGATCATTTTAGGTCATACATGTGCAATAACCCACCCTTAGCTTCCTATTAGGACACTTACACACAGTACAATTCTTGTTGATAGAAATAATCCCAAGTGGGGAAATTAGGAGTTTTGAGAAGATCAGTAGAAGATGAAAACTTGGATGGTTTATTGGATCTTTTTCACATCTCTACTACTTGTTGTTGCAGTTTCTCTTGAGGAAAAATTGCAATTCCAAGAATGCCCTTTTGAGGAGATAGACTTCCAGCCTTGTTTAGACCAAGGCAACCAATTGTCTGCAGAGGCAATTTGGTCATGCTGTGAAAGCCTAAACCAAGCAATTCAAGTGGGAGATTTCTGCATTTGTAAGCTCATTGGGTCTCCTAAGACCCCTTTGCTTAGCCACTCTTTGGTTCTCACTATGTCAAATTGCTTCATTTCAATTCCTCAATGGAACCAATGCAATGGTAATTAAGCCATTCTTTTCCCCTTTTTTGGTTTATTTATGTCTTCTTTTTTAATTTAACATACTATTCGTCCCTAAAAGAAAGTTTTGACTCGATTTCACGACATTTTTAAATACTCTTAAAATAGTTTAAAAGAAAAATAGTGTCACTAGTCACTACAAGCAATTTACTCCGTAATTCTTTCTTTTTTTATGAAAAATATGGAAAGTTTATAAGAATTACCAAAATTTAGAAAAACAATTATGGGAGTTAATTTTTTTAGAATATTTAGTAAACAATTACGGGAATTAGCAAAATGCGCTTAAACATCTTGTTTATGATTTTTACCTCATTTTGTACCCCAAGGTTTTAAGCTAATATTAAATGTAAGTGCAAACATGTATAATGTCAGTGTTATACTTACATTTCATGCCAAGGTAAACCTTTGGAATATAAAATGAAATACTCCCTACGTTCCTAAATAGATTACAATTTTTTTCTCTGCTCTGCTCTCGATAACTTTTGTTTGTTTACGTAATTTCATTAAGTATTTGATAAAATAAATATTCTTGTCACCTCTTGTTTTGTTGAACTTTTGACGCAATTTTTTAATATATAATTTTTTATATTTTATTAATATAACAATTTGTAAATAAAATAATTTTAAAAAATAATCAAATAAAGGACGGAGGGGTATAAAGTAGGGTGAGAGTATCATAAGCCAAAGTTAAATGAACCGAGTCTATTAGGCCCCGTTTGGTACAAGGAATTCAAATTGTGGAATTGAAATTGAGGACTTCAATTCCAATTTTAGTGTTTGGTAGCATGAATATTATGTGGATTTGAAATTGATAGTGCGAAAAATGAATTGAAATTGATGAATTCAATTTTATGGAATTGAATCATATGGAATCCCAATTCTAATTCAATTTCAATTCCATCAATTCTGTATACCAAACGAACCCTTAATTAACTTTGAGTAACGGGTTGACTTGAATTTGATCATAAATAGAGCCGGTGCCTGTACGTGAACCACCACCACCACCGGACAGCCCTTTCTCAACAGCAAAGTCACCGCCGGCGGCCACTCCAGTGACAATTATGCTGCCGCCGGAGCAACCAAATTGGCCGCAGACGCAACCCTCATCTGGTCCACAAAACCCGACCCCGCCACTAATATTGCCGCCAAACAACGCTTCATCCTCTTCCACATCGGTCTTGACTACCAGCAATAATCAACCGGCGGCCGCCGTTATTACCCCGGTGCTGGGGGTTTTAACATCTTCATGCGGCGGTGGAAGCAACAGCCACCACCACCACCGTAATATTAATAATGATGAGATTTGGCCATTATTACAGTCAAGAAGTTGGTTCTTGTTGGTTGCATTATTGTTACTTCTTGTGTTTCCTCTTATATGAATAAACTAGTTTTCTACCCCGTGCTACGCACGGACTTGTTATTAGGACTCGTTGTCATAATGTTATTGATGTGATAGTTAAAATTTTTGGTTTATGATTTAATTTTCTTCCGTGCTACGATTGGCATGTATTAAACGGTTGTGTATGTTTTGGTTTTGTAGGATTTTGAAAGACTACATTCTATCCCTTTGTTTTGTGAAATATGAAAAATGATATTATTCTATTTTGGGGTTTTTAATTTAATGTTGGTGGTTAAAGAAATTCATTTTTTGCAATGATTTTAGATGTTCATTTTGGATTGTACCGGTTGATGTTTGTTTTGGTGTTTTGATTGAATCGAGAATTCCGAAGGACGAACATCAATGCTTGGTGTCTGCACACGTTGGCATTTAATGTTTGAGGTCGGTACGCGTTGGCATTTAATGCCTTGTCACGTATGACACGTGTCAACACTACAACCCCTAAACTATCTTTTACATATATACATACATATGTATGTATGTATGTATGTATGTGTATATATATATAAGAATATAAATAAATGGTGGATTCTTTTATTTGTATTATGTAATAGGATAAAAAGTTTGAAATAAATTTGTATTTAATAATTATTTATATTTGATAAAAAAATTATAATACTATTTTGAAACTTTGATAATAATAATTTTCTTTTTGTTCAAGAATAATGGTTATTTAGTGTAAGAAAGTGAAGGATTTATAAAAATTTAATATAAGTTATTTATTGTAAGAAGGTGAAGTTTTTATAAAAAATTTAATAATAATTAATATATACATGTGCCACATGACATGTGGGGAGGTGTAGTGCCTGCATCACATAAACAATTTATGCAAAATTAATGGTCATCAAATAAAATAATAATGAAAATTGTTTTAATTAATAAAAATAAAAAAATCTCAAATAGATCAATTAAGAAATGACACATCATTAGATAATGCATATTTCTATGTGCCACATGTAATCCTTCAATCAAACTTTTACTTTGTTTAGTTTGCTGAAAAAAATATCATAAAATAAGTAATGTAATAAAAAGCAACTAAAATATGTTATAAATTTAATAATGATGCACGCGTGATAAAACTTATATGTAATTAGTTTTTTTGATATGATGGATAATTTTAAAAATTATAAGCAACATCTTTTTAATCAATAAATTATATACTCCCTCTGTCCCAAAAAGTTTGTTACGTTTAGAAAAAACTGCGTCCCGTAAAGTTTGTTACGGAGTACATTTCTATTAAAAAATCACTTTTACCCCTTAGTTTTTCATACCCTACCTATCACATCATACTTTTTTCCTAATAATCTACTCATCACATCCTATTTTTACCCATCACATCAAGGTTATTTTTGGAAAGTCAATACCAAAATATCTCTCCCTTAATTTCCCAAAAAGTCAAACCGTCCCATTCTTTTTAGGACGGAGGGAGTACATAAATTTTTTGAAATTATAAAATAATCGTGCATATTTTTAAGATACGTCAAAACAATAAATTGGTTTTAACATAGTCGAAAGTGAAGAGTTTATAAAAAGTTAATGAAAATAATAGTTTTTTATTGTTGGAAAGTGAAGAGTTTATAAAAATAAAAATACGGATTATTTAATACAAAATTAACTCACATGCATGGATGGACGTACATGTGTCATGTGATATACGTGTGGCATGGCACGTGTCATTAGTATGCACGCGTGGCATGACACGTGTCATCACCACAACTTTGAAACCCTCTTTTACATACATACATATATATATATATATATATATATATATATATATATATATATATATATATATATATATATATATATATATATATATATATATATATATATATATATATATATATATAGGATATATAGGATACGTAGTAATACACTAATTTGTTTGGTGAATGTTTGCTTCATTTCTTACACATTGGAAATTTGGAAGAGGTTTGATTGTTTAAAAGAAACAGTGCTATGTGGACTTCATATACATCCACTTTGATTTTTACACATCATTCAATACACTTTTTTAATCCATTTTATCTTGTAATTTACTCACTCCGTCCCTAAGCGTTTGTCCACTTTCATTTTTGCACACCATTCAATGCACTTCTTTAATCCATTTTATCTTGTAATTTGTATATTAAAAAATTATAAAAATTATATATTAATAATCTATTTGTTAAGACGAATTAAACAAGATCACACATGACTATTTTTAGGCTTACACATTGAGAGAATTTTATGAGTAAAAGTGCTTAGATGAACAGTTCCAAAAGTTAAAAATGGACAAATACTCAGGGACGGACCAAGTATATGTTAAAAAATTATAGAAATTATATATTAATAATCTATATGTTAAGACAAATTAAACAAGATCACACATGCCTATATTTAGTATTACACATTGAGAAAATTTGATGAGTCAAACTACTTAGATGAACAGTTCCAAAAGTCAAAAGTAGACGAATATAGCGGGACGGAAGTATTATTTCTTTATTTTGTTGCCCAAAATGTTTCTTTGTACTTACTCCCTCTGTCCCAAGTTAAATCGTCTGTTTTGACTTTTGAGCATATTTAAGAAAAATAAAAATAGAATTAATTTTTCCGAAATTGACATTACTTTTTAAAAGAGGTGATGATAAATGATAAGGTGAAGAAATGCGACTTATTTTAGAGATAGTTTAGGTATTTTATTTTTAAAAGTTTATGAAAACAACTAACAGACAACTTATTTTGGGACAGAGAAAAAAGATAAATAGGCAATTTAAAATGGGACGGAGGGAGTATAAATTTGCAAAAGTGATTATCTTGACAATAAAATCAAACTCAGAGATACGAAATATTTTTCAGCTCATACTTTTTTGTCTCTTGATCTAGAAAAAAAATGAAAATCAGAAATTCTTAAACATTACAAAGTGCTTTTATCCAAAGCAAAAGCTGGGATTTATTGTCAAAACCTATCCGAAACCACGATTTTATTATGAGCAAGGAATTTTAAAAAACGGATTTTGGACAACTTCATCCACTGATGATCTTTGTCAAAGTGATGAGGTCCTGCGTCGAGCTCCCATTTGGCCCTACAGCTTTATGGACAAGGTCCTTGTACACTTCAGCTTGCCCTTTGAGACCCTTCCCAAGGTCACTCCTTAGGACCAATTCAAGGGCACCCTTTGTCCCATCCTTGGTGAAAACCCCTCTCTCAACCTTCACCCCAATTTTCCACGCTCTCTCCACCATCCAAGAGTTGAGAAAATGATCCCCAAAGAATGGCCTACAAATTAAGGGCACCCCGGCCGTGATGCTCTCTAGGACCGAGTTCCACCCGCCGTGACTCACGAACACGCCAACTGACCCGTGTCCCAAAACCCTCACTTGAGGCGCCCAAGGGACTATTTTCCCATACTCTTTTGTCCTTTCCATAAACCCTTTTGGCAAATTGCAAGTCAAGTCCTCCCTAAGTGACCATAGAAAAGGGGTCTTGGTCTCCTCCAAGGCCTCTGCCACCGCCGCCAGCTCCTCTGGCGGCGGGACCGAAACCGTCCCAAAGGCTAAGTACGCCACGGATTTTTCCGGCAGGCCGTCGAGCCACGGGACGCAGTCCTCGTCGGCCTTCGCGGAGAGCGGCGGGGGCGGGGACGTCACGTTGAAGGGGCCCACATTGAGGAAGTTGGAGAGCTTTGTCTTTAGGAGGCTCACGATGTCGGGGTCCAAGTCGCGGAAGGAATTGATGGCCACCGCGGTGGCTCTCGGCAGAGCACGGCCCATGGTGTGTATCATGACGGCGAACGGCGAGTCTAAGTTCCCGGCGACGATTCCGCTTTGTATGTCACCCAGGCGGAGTTCGGGAAACCCGGGAATGAATGTGACAATTTCATCTTCGCGACCCGCAATTCCTACAAGTGAACAGAATAAAGTTCTCAATTTCATTTTCACTAAAAATAAATTGAGTAAATTCCATAATTGGTCTTTTATAACAGGGAGTTTTCATATTTAGTCTTCTATTTTCAAATATTACCCCGTAGTTCTTTTTTTAAGAGTACCTTTCCACAAATGGTCATTTTTTTGATCTTCTTCCGTGTTAGTGTTAACTTAAAGGATAAAAATATAATTTGACGTCAACATTATGTCCAGTGACGTGTTCTGGTATTGGTTAAGCGGATAACACAAAAATAATGACTATGATTGTGAGCTAAGATTCTGACGAAAGATCAAATTTGTAGACTATAGTTGTCGTAAAAAGCGACTGTAATTCACAAACGACGCAAACGGAACAACCTTTGGAATTGTATATGACAAAAAAGATATACTCCGTATTATCATAATTGTGAAATTACACTTTTAGCCCTCAAATTAACACTAACATGATAAAAGATTAAAAAGGACTATTTGTGGAAAGGTACCTATAAAAAAAGTACCACTTAGGTAATATTTGATAATAGAGGACTAAATAAGGAAATCCCTCTGTTATAAAGGACCAATTATAGAATTTACTCAAATAAATTGAACCGTATTCTCTGGGACGGATGTGGTATACGAGTATAATCATAGAACATTGAGGATAATTATGCCCTCATCTGAAAACAATATTTTCAATTAGTAATAACATTTTAGATAAAAAATTAATGGTGTATATTAACTTTAATAACTCTACAACTAAACAATGCCATTAGATAATATTTTCGAAACAAGATACTAAATTTTCTCATATACTCCAATTTGACTTACCATGATTATTACGGAATATTTACGAATTAATTAAACAGAGGATTTTTCTTTTTTCTTTTTTTGGAAAAGAGAATGCATTACACATTTTCTTTCTCTCTCGTTTTCACTATAGATCAAAATTGATGTATTTGATGGACAAATATTGATTTTGATTAAAATTTAAAGGACTAAAATTAAATATTTAAATGAGTACTCCGGTCTAAAAAAAAGAATTTTATATTTGATTTTTTAAAATCACCAATAGATCATATATATTTGGTTTTTTAAATTGTTTGTTGTTGTTTACGGGATTTTGATATATTACCTTACTTTATGAGTACATGTCAACAAATAGTCTATTTTTTGACCTTTTGTCATTTTGGTGTTAACGACTTAGTTTTGTCATGTTGGTGTTAACAAATACTGGAGTAGTCTATATTACCTTAGTTTATGAGTACATTTGTCATGTTGGTTAGACAAACAACATAACAATAATACTACGGTAACTATGATTATGAATTAAGATTTTGATGAAATACCACGTCTATAGATTATGATTGTAGTAAAAAACGATTGCAATTCACAAACGTCGCATTAGAAACAGCCTCTAAAAAATGTGTATGACAAGACATATGAAATTACATTTTTAGTCTTCAAATTTAACATCAACATGACAGAATATTTAAATAAGGCTATTTGTGAAAAAAATACCCACAAAAGATGAACCATCGAGACAATATTTGATAATAGATGAATAAAAAATCTCTTGTGAAAAAGGATTAATTATAAAATTATTTTAAATTTGTTGTCAACTTTTAGTTGCACCATAGAAATTCATGGAAGTAGATTCATCATTTGAAATAATTAGACACCATGGAGAGCATGTTCTCTTCATTTGGTCCAATTTTCTTAAGGTCTAATTTGCTCTAGTCTGATCTGATTTGATTCTAACAACAATAATAATAAATAATACAGTAAATAATAAGAATAAAGAGTCAAAGAGTCGAATTAGAAACTCACCAAATTTGACACTAAATTTGGCACCAACTATTTCACACATATATCATACACTTCTTATCTTTGATGTACAAAGAGTTAGTTTTTGAGCATCTATGAAATATTTGGTGTCAAGCCGATAGCTTTTTTTTAATATAATACTCACTGAGTAAGTACATTAGAAACTTAATATATATCATACTAAATAGGATTAAAACATAAAAAAGTAACCAATAAGAGTTTCATGTTTTTATTCTTGAAATAGAAATGCGCAGTATGGTAATGTGTTATATCCAAGCCTGACCCTATCATACCCTCCCCCATGTCCCACACCCTTGCAAAAACCAAAGGACTTACGTTCAAACATTATGATCCGTTTTAGTGAGAATTCCAAGTCCTTCAACCCGAGCAGCCAGAATAACTTCGGACCCAAGGGTTCCGCAAACTGACTCCCAATCCGTCCAACCCAACCCTAAATATCCAAAACTCCTTTCTATTTAATTCATTTCAAAATAAAGTTTTTATTGCTCTTATTTTAACCCCTGGCCGAAAATAAGAGTGTGCAAACTAAAACCTTTTTGTTTGTTGTTATCTTCCTTCTTTTAAGCCTTTTAATAAACAAATAAAACCTTCTCTCCCTTCCTTGAATCCCTGGCCAAATATTCCTCTCAATCCCAACACAACACCCACAAAGAGCCAAAACCATGACCTACCTCCAGCCCCTACTTTCCACACATGTTCCCTCACAAATAACTCAAACCTATAAGTCCAAAACCACCCATTATATCCCTTATCCATGCCCCCTTTTATTAGCCAAAATACACTTCACAATCCCAACACAACATCCACACAGAGCCAAAACCATGACCCACCTCCAGCCCCTACTTCCCACACATGTTCCCTCACAAATAACCAAAACCTATAAGTCCAAAACCACCCATTATATCCCCTATCCCTGCCCCTTTTTATTATCCAAAAACAACCCCCCATTTTTACCCAAATAATATCCCACTAAACCCCACAATGTTTCCCACTGATTTGTGCTACATATGGACGAAATAGACCCTTCCAAAATAGGCCAAGTAAAGCTTTTCACAGCCTTGGACTTTCCTCACATGTGGCCGACATGCACACCCCAAAAAAACAGCCAAAGGAAACCCTCATCATAGTCATTAATGCACTCATTTGGATGCTGATCTAGGAAGGCAGTAGGAAGCTTCTTTGTTATTGTTTTCTTCTTCATTATTAATGTATTCTTTCCCCTTTGTAGTGTGCATATATAGCTCGGCCTTATGGCCATTGTAAGCACGCAGTTTTGAATTCAAAAAAACCTTGTTTACTCTTTTGAGTATTCTCTTAAAATAGTGTGATGCTATTTTAGCCAAATTCCTAATTCTATATCTTAAGAGTGGTTCTCTTGAGTGTGAGTTTTAGGTTCTAAATATTTAATTAAGTGTGTCATATCTTGATTGAATTCTAGATTCAAACCTCAAGTGAAAATAAGAGTGTGTCATATCTTTTAACACCAACTTGGTTTATCCCTTCACTTTATTTCTGCCCATTTCATTCCTCTCCATTTTCTTTTCCTAAACCTCTTCTTTTTTCTTCATAAAAAAACACCAAAAAGATCTCCAAAACACCTCCCATATTTCGCCCCATATATTTCCGTGTTCATTTCCTCCACAAATTCACACAAAATTAGCAACTTGATAAGACCCCGTTTCACCCTAACATAATGTGGTTGTAATGTGGCACTATACATGTGCACATTATTATACTCCGTACTTTTTGGTAATGTAAATGCATTTTAACTCTTATTTTGAGAAAAAAAACATGGAAGATCTATTTTAGTATTTTTTTTTCAATGTTTTACTCCTAATTTAGTCTTTTTCCCAAAAATTAAAATAGAAAATGGTTCACTTGTCACACCCAAAAATTTATGGAGTACTTTCTTTGTCTCGATATAAATTTGATGATTTAATTTCTCCCAATTTGAGATTTGTTTTTAAAAAAATGACTTAGAAGCCTTACCTAAAGAATTTGAAGTAGATTTTTAATATATATGCTCGTAAGTTTTTTCTTTAGGATGTTATAGTTCATTTGTACATCTTCATGATAATGTATTTCTTCAATTTGAATTCTTCGATTCAAACAAGAAAATTTTTAGTTCGGATCTCACTAAAATAAATTAGTATAAAATGATTCAATTAGTTTTATACGGAGTAAAACTTTCAAAAAAATGATTTTATCATATTAATACGCAGTACAAATTAAATTCATCCAATTTAGATATAAAAAATATACTCAGTTAGCTGGAATTTGTGAATAATAAATGGAAGTTAAGAGATGGGGACAGATTACCTTTCAGTCCAATGGTTTGCCTGATGAAGTCCGTATACACGTGGAGCAGCAGCGAGCCAGCACCGGAGGTCCACACTGGGACCCACGAAACGCCCAACTCCGCCGCCACGTCGCCGGCGAACGACAAGAACGCATCCGCCACTACGCACCCGACCTTCCGGCCGGACTCCCTCTCCGCGGCGGCCACGCCTTCCCTGAAACTCCCCGGCGCCGCCTTCAAGAACATGCCGATCTCCACCTCCGGCCCTCTCCCGCCGGACACGTGCCCTTCCGGGACGCCGTCGGGCACGTCGCGCCGCTTGACGTTCCCCGGCGTCCCCGGGGCAGCGAACACTTTCGCGTTGGATCTGGGGGTGCTGAAGAAGGTGAACGTCGTGGCCGGCGCCTCCGTGGCGAGGCGGCGCACGAGGCCGAAGAGTAGGCCGGGGTGGGTGGCGAAGGGGAAGGCGAGAACTGCAACGTGGCGCTCATTTGAGGAAGGCTCCATTTTCGGATCTTGTCAATGGTGGTTAATCTACTCCTCGTGCATTTATCCCCTTGTGTTGTTCGGTTGTTGCCTATAGAGTGGTGCACAATATTCCATGCCTCACTTCGTTCCACCTCACATATGCTCCCTTCGTACCCAATTTGATTACAAAAATTGCGGGTTATGAAATAAAATTTTCTATTTTTTTAAATTATTTTATTTACAAATTTGGTATATCAATAAGATATCAATTTGGATGGTGTGCCAAAAGGTAAGTGGACAAACACAGTGAGACGGAGGGAGTAGTAAAGATATTAATGATTAAAGTGTTACTTATCATTCTAAAACTTTTTTCGCATCTTGGTTTTTTATTGAGATCTGGCAACAGTTGTTTTAAATTTAATTTATTTGATTATAAGACGTAAGTACATACAATTTAAAAGTTATATATTAAAAAAATATATCAAAACTCTACAAAACTAGATTTTACATATATGACTATATCATGTTACTACGTATTAAATACGGAGTACTTAATAAAATAATAAAAATAAGTAAAATTTGACCGTGTAAATAGTTACTGAAATGAAATGATGAGCTTCATCTTCGAAGGACCAGTCCGACCCAATCGGACGGTCACTAAAAGAAAATAAATTAGACATTAACCGTGTAAATAGTACTTGAGCTGAAAGTTTTGAAACGGATGGGTACCACTCTCCCCTCAAAATAAACTTTTCTTTTTAGTTTTCATGAATGTTATGAAAAGTAAAAATATTTGATTAAAAATTTTTATTTAATAGAGAAGAAAGAATTAATGTGAACTACACAACAATCCAAACAAGTTTATTTTTTAATAATTTAAAAAGTAAACAAAATACTACCTCCGTCCCACTATATTTGTCCACTTTCATTTTTACACACTATCCAATACACTTCTTTAATCCATTTTATCTTGTAATTTATATATTAAAAAAATATAGAAATTATATATTAATAATCCATATGTTAAGGCAAATCAAATAAGATCACACATGCCTATATTTAGGCTTACACATTGAGACAATTTGATGAGTCAAAGTACTTAGATGAATAGTTCCAAAAGTCAAAAGTGGACGAATACTCCGGGACGGAGGGAGTATTTTGGATGAAAGAAGCATGCTCCCTTTGGGTCCGTTGATACACGGAAATATGGAATTGAAGGTGTAATGCCTCAAAATAAGCCTACAATCAAAATATGCATCCAATAATAATTTATTTACAAAGTTTGTCAATTAAAAAAGTACAATCAGATTTTAATGCGAAGAAAATTGGACCAAAAAGTGTATCTCGATCGGGACTAAATTAGTCTCAATCAAGGAACCTGTAGACGCCTCCTCCTTCACAACACTGATCACAAATCATCAATGACGCACATGTCTTGGCTTCTTCCCCAACCTTAGGCCTATATAAGGCACCCCAACTCTCTCTGTTTTCACCAAATCATCTCATTTTTTTCTTTTATTCTGTTGCTCTGAGTGTGGAGAACACAGTGGTGTTGTCCATATAGTGAGAGGTCATTAGAGTTAATAATAATCGTCCTGAAAGTCACTATCTAGAGATCTCAATTATAAATAAAAAGTTTGTGCCTAATAAACATATGACTTATTTGGAAATAACGTTTGAGATTAGCATTAGTATTTTAGATAAAATTTCAATGGTGCAGATAACTTTGAAAATGTTAACGCTAAACGTTGTCTGCATGTAGTTTTTTAAAACACTAACCCTAATCGCTATCGTTATTTACAAACGGACTCATAAAGTGTCTGTGTTTGTCTTTGTGTATGATTGTAAATTGATAACCAAACGTTTGATTACCGTCCGCATCCGTATTCATTTGTTAGAAAAATATCTGCATCCATTAAAAGCAGTTATTATCTGTATCGATTAAGGATATCCAATTGGTAAACACATATGAATTTGGTAATCATACATCCAATTCGTTTATAATCTGTTCAGTATTGAAATCCGTTTAAATAACCGTTTATTCGTGTGTTCGATCCGTTATATATAATTTTTCCAAATTTTTATTTTTATATTTTGTTTCTCTATTGATATAGCAGTATATCAGATAATTTTATATGCAAAATATATGTGTAGGCACATAAAAATATGCGTAGACATATAAAAAATGCGTATTGTGTAGTTATTTTTATCATATGAATTTATTGTAGAATATAATAAATTATAAAAAATAAGAAAATAATTATACCATAACAAATTACAATTGATTTAATAATATTTTGATTATAATTTAATTGAAAATTAAAATATTATTTAATTTGATCTTAAAAGTTAAAAATTGGAAACAGATGCAAATATATCCGATCTCCGATCAATGCGGGTGCGGTTTTGATTTTCTGTATCTGTCAAGATCCGAATTTGATATTCGACAAAAATAAATGAATACGAATTTAGTAATAGCACATTTGATTCGATTAATACTCTATCCTTTTACACATTCTTTACTTTGTGTTTGTCTCTCATACACAATTGTTGTACCACTACATTAGTACTCCCTCCGCCCCACTGTCTTTGTCCACTTATCTTTTGGCATATCATCCAATGCACTTTTTTAATCTATTTTATCTTGTAATTTGTATATTAAAAAATTATACAAATTATATATTAATAATCTATATGTTAAGATGAATCAAACAAGATCACACATGAAGTGGACTTCGTCCTACTAGTTACACTAATGGCTCAGGATCTCACCTCCCGCCTTATCTCTCCTCTGTCAGTCTATCCAGAACACCTACTCCGGTAATGAAGAACATACATTACATTGGTGCCATTCTCACTGAATATGAAACCCCTATAACGTTCAACTCATCTTCTCCGGTTGTATCGACCCTAGACTCTGATGTTTCAATGCATACCAAATGATTACTGACTTTCCATTTCAGCGATTTACTTTTTTGATTGCTTTACTATTATGATCAGTTTCGCCAATCAGACTTTCAATCCCGCACTCTCTAACCCTAAACCCGTTTCCGCATCGGGTTTCTCTAGCCGGGTCTTGAGCTTCACCTCCCAATTCGGATCGCAGCCGCTGAAGACTCTCAAGGGAGGTAGAGATTGCGGCTACCGGCTGTTCTGGGCGGATCTGAGCCGTGGGGAAATGGAGCTGGTTAGGAGATTCAGCAGAGGGTGTTTCTTCGACCTGTCTAAGACCAGGTCGGAGGTTGAATTAGTGTCGGTTGAAGGTGGGGAAGATGTTTTCCACTCCTCATCTGTAGATTCCAAGGTCCAGCCTGAACACCTTGTGATCATGGTCAATGGACTTATTGGGAGGTAATTTGTGTATGTTATTTCATCTCACATTGTAACATATCAGAATAACATTATGATAGATCATAGATTCCCTCTGCCTAAAAAACATGAGCAAAAACCAGACATAATGTGTGCAATGTGATCACTCTTGTAGGTTCTCATTAATGTATTTTTAGTCTTTGTCTGACATTTATTTAGAATAGTAGTTGTCTTTAATGTAGCTGTTCCTCATTGATGATTCACAATTGTCATTAAATTCAGATGGATGCTCTTCAAAGGGTATACATGTATTCTTGTAGTTTCAACTTAAGAAAGATGTAGCTAGTTAGCTAGCATTTGGTAAAAATACGGATTTGAGACCATAGGGGATTACTTTTAGTATACTGTTTGTTTCTTTTGTTCACCATAAGTTTCTTAGAAGTGAAAGAGTGTTCGGAATGTTAATGACTGAGGATCCTACGCATAGAGTCAATTAATAATTGTCGAAATTTATTTCTACAGTATGTTATTTCTGGTACTCCCTTGATGTGATCAGGGTGACATGGATGTGATTAGTTTTAGTCTTTTGGTTTGAGAAGAAAGTGATAGACTGATAGAGATGATATGACTCCAACAGCAGCACGTAATCGATAATTAGATTTGATATCGTCACATGTTGACAATGTTTTATTTTTGGGTAAAGTGACTAAATAAATATGGCACATTAAACTTCCTTTCCATACCGTTTGTGTTCAAATGATCATATGTGTTTTTAGGTCATCATCGTCGTTGACATTGTCATTCATTATCTATACCATAATCCAAAGTAGTTGAGGATGATGTCATTAATATACAAATTAAAAAGCCAATTTATCATATTAAATCAATATTCAATAAGCACTATAATTCATGCAATAATGCATATTGTCAATGTTTATGTCAGACACTCATTAGAAAGAATGAGATAATAATACAAATCATCCTCATCATATATTCATAGGCTATTTCCACATGCATGTAAAAGAACAAATTTTATGCACTATGTATACAACAACACACCAGTTAATTTTACACATTTTTTGTGTGTATTTTACCCAGATTTTTTTTTTATTTATGAATATCCCTTCTTGTTTTTTCTAGTGCTGCGGATTGGAGATATGCTGCCAAACAATTTGTAAGAAGGCTCCCTGAGAGAGTTGTAGTTCATTGTATGTTCATCTTTCCCTTTTTCAGAACCAACTTTTAAATGGCATTATATTATTTTGTTTATAGAGAAATCTGTGTGTGATATTTTGAGGGGAAAGGGAAGGATGATGGTGTTATCATGGAGAGCGTTGCTCATTTAGCTTAACAGATGGGTGACTTGGAAGAAAGTCAAGAAACATTGCATGTGGGAGATATTCGAGGTTGAGCAATCATGAGTGTATGCCTGTATGCCACAAAATGCAGTTAATAATCTGCATTGAAAGCTTTAGTATAAATAGATATGTTTATTAGGTCTTGGATTAGCTAGCTATATGATTGAATTCAATCTTTTTTGCATGGTTTGACCCATGTGCCTTGTACCCGTGTGAGTGACCATCACAAAGTTTATTGATGACTAAAAGACATTGAGAAGTATAGTACACATTGTTCATTTTCAACCATAGTTCTGGAAGGTCAGAGGCAGGGATCGATACTTTTTTCAAGGCAAGAGGTGGTTGTCCAATGGTTGAACAAGGTGGTGTAATTATAATATTATAATGTAACAGTGTAATAAATTTAAGGCAATAAGTTTCAAAATCACGTCATAAATGGACCAAAGAACCAAAACAATGATAACTGAGATAATGAAAACGCAACTTGAAAAAGAAAGAAAACAAACAAAAATTAAGAAAAGTACTCAAGTATGCAGAGTAAAACACAAACACACAAAGAGAGTAGGGGTATGGATAGAAAAGCTACACCCAAAGTAATCACTAATCTGATGCCTGCAGAAGCAGAGGATGGGTGGCGTTGACAGCAGTGGTGGTGGTGGGTATTCAACAAACTCGGTTTGTGAAAGTTCTGATTCCTTGTCTTTAGATGGATAAAAAATTAATTTAACAGTTCAGCTGCCTTTGCTTTCTGTGCGTGAGCCGTGAGGTGTTGAAGCGATCCACCTCTCGCCTGGGGATGAAGGGGCACCTAGCCTCTTCTCCTCTTGCATGAAAAACTTCAGGCATTGTACCTTAGCCTCTCTGCCTGGGCAGCTCTGCCCTGCGACGTGCGCCCTTCATAACTATTTCAACTAAATGGTTAAATTATTTGACTATGTGCAATTGGCATATCTGAAATATTATCTTTTAGTCTAGACACTTGTGTTTTTCTAATAACTTAATTCTAGACAATTCTGAAAATTTTGTGGCCCCAAAATACTTGCTATAGAAATGTTCTGCAAAATCCTCCTAGAAGCTAACTAAATCGAATTTTGTTACTTGTTTTGTACTACTAGGCAGTGAATGCAATTATTCACGGTTGACTTTTGATGGTGTTGACCGAATGGGTGATAGATTGGCCGAAGAGGTATTTTGCTAAATAGCTTTGCAGTCCTCGCATTAAAGTTAATTACCTCTACAGGTTTTGATCAAATTCACTTTATCAAAAGTGTCCCTTGCTGATTTGGGATTTGTATACATTCTCTGCCTCTTTGTAGTGCAGGTGGTGGATGTTGTTAAACGCTGGCCCGGCATGCACAAAATTTCCTTTGTTTCTCACTCTTTAGGTGGACTTGTTGCACGATATGCTGTTGGGAGGTTATTTGTGCATCCTTCAGCTGCAGAGACAACAAATGTAGATGGACGAGATAAATATGACGATGGAAGTATTGCTGGGTTAGAGCCCATGAATTTCATAACTGTTGCAACTCCACATTTGGGTTCTAGAGGACACAAACAGGTATACTATTATTATAATCTTTTGGACATCTTTTTTTAAGAAGTGTTTGCTCCATGTTTCTAACAAGTTACTTCCTTCATTCTAGCCGTTTCTATTGATTGGAATTGTATCAGTCTTTCTTATTTTAGGGCAAGCACATCTACTTTTTGGGGAATGATAATCTGGAGCTAATTACCAAAACTTAACTGAAGAATTTGTGTGCGATTTAAAATGAAATAAAGAATGGAATTAGGAAGAAAGAACAAGGTGAGAAATGTAGTAGATTTTATGCATTTTTGGTTTGTGAGGAATAAGGGAAAGAAATGCAGTCTATATACTTCCTCCGTCCCACCTTTTTTGTGTCTGTTTCCATTTGTGTTTGTCCCAATTTAATATACTTCTTTCCATGCATGTAGCTCACAATATTTTTCTTATGAAGTACACAATTTTTACGAAATTAAAAGTTGTTCTCAATCACACTAAACACATTAAATAGGACAGATAGAGTAGAAAGAATGAGACCAATTAAAACAATGATAAAAAGAAGTAATAACAAAATGCAATTATAGGCTAGTATGTGCATCCATGCTCTGTTTGGGCCTAGATGTTCACCTCTTTAATAGCTGTTAGTTGTCCAAAATTCGGGTTCAGGTGTAATGCAGTGTATCAGTATATGAGTGTGGGGCGAACCTCACTTCTTTAGTACCCTTGTGTGCGGGTTAGGCCCAATTTAACATGGTATCATAGTTTGGTTGGATGGTGGTTTTTGGGATGGCAACCTGCTTGATGTTTGGGACAACCCTTTTGATGGTCAATTTGGACCCATTTCTTCACCCCTCAATTGTCTAACCGGCTTGAGCTGAAGGAGGTGTGTGCTATCTGCTAAGTATCCTACATTGGTGGTCTATCTAGTGAATATGGTTTAGTATAGAAGTGTGAGGTTAGCCTCACTTATTAACAATTTTTTGGGGGTAAGTAAGAGTCAAATTGATAGCTCAGGGGTGGGGATGGGGGTGGGCGTGGGACAGAATAAGTGTTTAACCATATATGTTCATTCCCAAACTCAGTTGGTTGTCATTATTGTTGATTAATGTGTGATTTTTCATTGTTCTTCTATTGTCTTCCTTGTTGGTTGATCATCAGCTGCCTCTTCTCTGTGGTCTCCCTTTGTTGGAAAAACATAGTTGGTTGTCATTATTGTTGATTAATGTGTGATTTGTCATCATTCTCCTATTGTCTTCTTTGTTGGTTTATGATCAGCTGCCTCTCCTCTGTGGTCTCCCTTTGTTGGAAAAAGGAGTATCTCAAACCGCACACTTGCTTGTTGGGAGATCCGGAAAGCATCTCTTCCTCACAGATAATGATGATGGCAAACCTCCTCTTCTTCTTAGAATGGCTAATGACTCCAACGATCTCAAGTTCATGTGAGTTTTTGTAAATCTTGTATTTCTATTTTCCCATTCCGTGATTGGAAATAAGTTGATACAATTATCTATCTTTACTAATTTTGTCAACTATTACTATATTTTTGTAGATCAGCACTACGTGCTTTTAAACGGCGTGTGGTATATGCAAATGCAAACTATGACCGTATCCTCCAGCTTGATTGTATTTATTCATGGAGTTTAATTCAATATTGTTGATAAAGGGGACTGATTTTTTTAACACTTTATTTAATAAAGTAAAAACACAAATGCATATGCATACAAACACATACTCTCTCTCTCTATCAAAGCACACATGTGTGTGCATGCACACATACATACTTTACAACCCTCATTGAATATCCACCACACCTACCACCACCATGTGTCTCAACCACTTATCGTTAGGTACTTCTTGAAGTCAAAACAACATTTAGTTCATTGCAAACCATGCTAGTCAAACTAGGAAATTCTTTTAGGGACTGTGTATGGTGCATGTATTGTTCATGCATTGGTGTGTGTATGTAGCTGGAATGGTTGATTTGGCTGAATATGCCAAATTATCCAAGAAGTGTTTATAATATACTGAATGTTTGCAGAATAAAGAAAATACTAGCAAAATTTGGAGTTGAGAAGTGTCATTTTCTTTATTTTCAGTCCTATAAGACAAAAGGCAACTCTTGCACATGTTTTTTTTAAATTACCAACCAAATATGCCGGCACAATGAAATTAGTTATGCTTTGTGAAAGAAACTGGCTATAAGTCTGAAATGCTGAAAAGCATTGTGCACCAAAGGAATCCTTTCCATTAAAGAGGTGACTTTGATACCAATTACCATGTAGAAACAAAAGGAGACTGATTTCGTTATTCTATAAAAGAAACACATGTTGGTGCATACAGGTTCTATATTGTACAACTGGAGGATACCAACCTAGAATGCACCAATTTCTTAAATTGTTCACACACAATGTCCAACAAAGCACATACGCATGTGAATGGGATTACACTCAACCCCATTTTAATCGCATAATATTCCCTTCTTCTTCCCATTATTAATAATTTTCCTTTACTAGTCCTTAAGATGTTGTTGGATGGAGGACGTCATCAATCCGCCGCCAAAGTGAACTTCCAAAGGTTTGTATGCTTCCCTCCCTCTTCCTCTAGGCCTAGTTTGGGAGTGGGGTTTCAGGAGCAAATGAAGGGGATGGGTGATATTAATTTTATACACTTTTTCTTACATTTAGATGAATGGAAAAATAACGCAGGAAGTTCATGATTTAACTAAAAATATACTCTCTTGATCCCTCAAAATAGTCCTATTTCAGGATTTATTTTGATCTCATAAAGAAGCCATATTCAACAGTTAAATATAATAAATTTAGTCAAACCAACAAATAGATTTAAAATCATATCTATAATTGATAGTTATCAATAATTGTACCTTATTAAATTAAAATCTTATACTTTGATGAAAAAGGACTCCTTTGATTGGGGGGGGGGGGGGTGGAGTGAGTAGTTAGTTTTACTTATTTATATTCTAAGACACCCCCCCCCCCAACACAAGCACCCACACACCTAAAGTTGCCTAATCAAACACGGACTTAAAGTTTAGTTGTATTTTGCATTCCCTATATATCTTCTCATTTGAAAATTCTTGTAAATTTGCTTTGTCTTCAGGCCAATATTCTTGTCAAGGATACAAGATACCCACATATTGTACACGTGGCCCAAGAAACTGCAGAAGTCAAGCATATAGCATCTTCTGCCACTGTGACAAAAACCATTGATTTGGAAGGCTTGTTATTATACCTTGCACTTCACGTTTTATTCATTTACAAGTAGTCCATTTGTGCTTTTTAGATTGGGTTAATGTTAGAAAAAAAATATCAATTACAAGACTCTGGTAGAACAGTTTAATAGACTACTAACAGTTGATACATAATACTCTTTCCGTCTCAAAATAAACTTCTCACTTTCTTTTTTGGTTGTCCCAAAATAAAGTTCTCAGTCGTTTTAAAGAATGGAATGAGTGGTCCATATAATTTGTCTCTCCTCTTCATCAATGTCAACATTTTATTAATCTCCGTGAAAGTCAAAGCGAGAACTTTAATTTCGGACGGAGGGAGTATCGATAATAAGATAAATTAAAAATGTCAAACATTTCAATACAACAATAAACCCAGCAAAATCCTCCAAGTGGGGTCTGGGTGGTGGGGGTGGTTGGTGTACCTCTAGGAACAGTAGAGAAGACTCTTCCCCAAGTATTTCAATATTACTTACTAATTTATCTTGATTAATGTACATTTTAAATGATACTGTACTAAAGGCAGGTTATCCATGCCTCCATGGTTAATTAATGATTAGCTTTCAATAATTACACCGTATAAAACCTAAAGGTGCTCATTTACTCAACAACCCTCCCCGACAGACTTTAGTTTGACAGCTCAAGTTTTTTCATTTCTTTCGCCTGGGACATTTTTTTTTAGCTTGCATCGTGTAGATTCATTCTCTGCTATTACTTCCCATTCTTTTTTAAACTTCTTTTTCCTTTGATCTTGTTTTTTATGCACGTGTGTTTTCTATTTTGGTATCAATAAAGCAGTGAATGCATACACTAAGATAGTTATTTTGTGCAGAGGAAATGATTAGAGGGCTGACTCAAGTCCCATGGGAGCGCATTGATGTTAGCTTCCAAAAAAGCAGTCAAAGATATGTAGCTCATAATACCATACAGGTGATTTTTCTTGTCTTCCCCTATTTCACTTCCACAAATCCACACTCCAGTAAACTTCATGAAAGCTGGGTAGTTACTGTTATTACCACAAGGTTTCACATATCTGTGACCACTTCCACTCCCATCTGGAGCTGTCTATTCACTACTATCTCAGTAATTGGGCCCATGAGTTAGTATCGGTTGTACGTATCCCTCGTGAAAAATGAAAGATGTCTACCATATGTCTATCTTTTCTTGTGCAATTGTTTTACACTTTTACCCTTTTAACCATGGAATATATGATTGTTCATAACCCTGTTAGGATATTAATTCAATATTTCCAAAGATTTATGAGAGGGAAGATTCTAGAGAATTCTAGAGGTTTATGGAGATGTGTAGAATTCTCTAGAGTGTTATGGAATTTTCTAGAGAAGTGTAGAAGTCTCTAGAAATGTGTAGAATAGTGTAGAAGTTTCTAGAATATCCTAGAGCTTTCTAGAGAAGTTTGGAAGTCTCTAGAAGCGTGTGGAAGAATGTATTGTTCTCTAGAATATTCTAGAACTATGTGGAGTTCTCTAGATTCTTCTAGAACATTATGGAAGCATGTGGAGGAAGAAGAGAGTGAAGAACCAAGAAGGCTTCTTGAGAGTGCTTGTGAGTGAGGTGTTCCTAACACAAAGAGTGAAGTGTGCTACCCGTGTAATTGTAATCTCTCTTGTACATTTTCTCTATATAATACAAAGTCATTTTCTAAAGTCGTGTCTTTGTATTATTGAGTGTGTGTGAGTGTACAAGAGTTTGGTTGTGTGGATCGGGGAAAGAGGTTGAGACTTACATCAATTCCCTAACAGTGGTATCAGAGCCTGGTTCACAGAGGTAGAGATACGGGTAGAGTGTGCTTGAAAGATCTCGTGTTGGAGTGATGGCAACAGGAGTGCCGAAGATGTTCGAGATTCCACTCTTTGATGGGAAAACAAACTTTACATTGTGGCAGAGTACGATTCAAGACCTATTAGTGCAGCAAGGTCTTGATCAAGCACTAGAGGAGGAGAAGCCTACCTCCATGAGTGAGAGCGAGTGGAGTAAAATTCAGAGAAGAGCTGTTAGTACAATCCGGTTGGCACTTGCTCCCGAGATTAAGTTTAGCGTGTTGAAGGAGACCACACCAAAGGCATTGTGGGATAAGCTCGAGAGCATCTATGCGTCAAAGTCGCTGACGAACCGGTTGTGTTTGAAGATGGAGTTGTACTCGCTCAAGATGGAAGAAGGATGTAATCTTCATGACCACATCAACATGTTTAATCAACTAGTATGTCAGTTGATGAATGCCGACGATAAGATTAAAGACGAGGAGCAAGCATTGTTGTTGTTAGCGTCATTACCGAAGTCCTACAAGCCATTGGTGCAGACGTTACTTGTAGGAAGAACAACTCTCACGGTTGATGAGGTCACTGCTGCTTTACGTGAGAGTGAGAGGATGATGAGGAATGACACTAACAACACAGGAGGTGATCACATACTAGTTGCAAGAGAGCGTGGTCTTGGGAGGAACTCACTGAGGAGGCATGATGATCCTAGAGAGAGATCAAAGTCAAAGGTGCGTCGAGATCTAAGTGATGTGGAATGCTACTATTGTAGAGAGAAGGGTCACATGCAAGTAAGATGTCCTCAAATGAGGGAGGACTTGAAGATGTTGAAGGATACGTCACAAAGGAAGGGTGATGGTGACTCCCACACAAATGTGGTCAGTGACGCTGATGATGGAGATTTGTACTTGGCAATGGGAGAAGAGGTTGCTAAGTCTGAGTGGGTGATGGATAGTGCTGCCTCGATGCATATATGCCGAGATCAAGGCTTGTTCGACACCTTGAAGATTGATGGAGAATTTGGTCACTTCAACTTGGCTAATGGTGAGAAGTTGAAGGTCGAAGGTACCGGAAGTGTGAGGATGAAGCTTCACAATGGTGCAAGCCACATTCTTCATAATGTGAGGTATGTGCCTACTAGCAATACTAATGTCATATCATTGGGTGCAATGACATTAGAAGGGTGTAAGTTCTTTGGCACGAGCAAATGGTGCAAGGTGTTCAAGGGGAGACGTTTGATCATGAGAGGATGCAAAAATGAGAAGAACGTTTGCATCTTGGATGGAAGAGTCGTGCAGGGAAAGAGTAGCGGCANGTGAGGATGAAGCTTCACAATGGTGCAAGCCACATTCTTCATAATGTGAGGTATGTGCCTACTAGCAATACTAATGTCATATCATTGGGTGCAATGACATTAGAAGGGTGTAAGTTCTTTGGCACGAGCAAATGGTGCAAGGTGTTCAAGGGGAGACGTTTGATCATGAGAGGATGCAAAAATGAGAAGAACGTTTGCATCTTGGATGGAAGAGTCGTGCAGGGAAAGAGTAGCGGCACTACACCGAAGAAAGTGAGGTTTTCGAAGGATGTGAAGGTCTTTGGAAATATGAATTAAAGGAGGAAATGTTAGGATATTAATTCAATATTTCCAAAGATTTATGAGAGGGAAGATTCTAGAGAATTCTAGAGGTTTATGGAGATGTGTAGAATTCTCTAGAGTGTTATGGAATTTTCTAGAGAAGTGTAGAAGTCTCTAGAAATGTGTAGAATAGTGTAGAAGTTTCTAGAATATCCTAGAGCTTTCTAGAGAAGTTTGGAAGTCTCTAGAAGCGTGTGGAAGAATGTATTGTTCTCTAGAATATTCTAGAACTATGTGGAGTTCTCTAGATTCTTCTAGAACATTATGGAAGCATGTGGAGGAAGAAGAGAGTGAAGAACCAAGAAGGCTTCTTGAGAGTGCTTGTGAGTGAGGTGTTCCTAACACAAAGAGTGAAGTGTGCTACCCGTGTAATTGTAATCTCTCTTGTACATTTTCTCTATATAATACAAAGTCATTTTCTAAAGTCGTGTCTTTGTATTATTGAGTGTGTGTGAGTGTACAAGAGTTTGGTTGTGTGGATCGGGGAAAGAGGTTGAGACTTACATCAATTCCCTAACAAACCCACACGCTCCGAGACCCCACTTGGGGGGACCTTGTTGTGTCGCGAATGTTGAAAGCATTCTACCATGTTTTACATTTCTGCAACCATGTATTCAGCATGAAGTAATATTGATGCTCATGCTATGTATGGCAGGTGAAAACCTATTGGTTGAATTCTGATGGTGCCGATGTGATTCGTCATCTCATTGACAATTTCCTCTAGTTTTTGCATCCCAAAGGACGCGCTCGCTTCACTGCCTGCGGGCCCCACGAATGGCTTAGAACCCATAATTTTTTTTATCATACTACAGTAGATATTTATATGTACCGAAGATGACGGGTGGGTGGGTGGGTGGGGTGAGCATTTGTCAAAATGTAACATGAGCCGCGGGCATATGATGTTTTCAATTGTGCAAAACAATGGTTAGATTTATAGATTACGCCTTTGTTTCGAGTTAGCTTAACAACTACTCCGTATAAATTATTTATGGTCTCTAAATGATATACACACTTAGTATTCAAAAATCGCGGGAACGTTTGTGTATTTGGGCGTTTTCATTGACTATTTGATGAAATTAATAAAATATTCTTATCAGTTGTCACATCTTGTTTTGAAAAATTTTTGATGTACTTTTTAAATATACAAATTTTAATTTAATTTATTTACCAATCTTTAAATAATATGAATTGAAAAAATTTAAAATTTTTCTTCACTTTGTGTAAAGAGTAAATGATTTAGGAATGGACGGAGTACTACGTAGTTTATTATCATTCCAAAACGTGAAAATGTGACTTTCTTCATTTTTAAAAGTTCTGGTGCATCAAATGGGTTTACTTCCTAAATTATTTTAACTTCAATGGTTTGAGTCAACTTTATAGTCAATTATTGATTTTTTAACAGTCTATGAATTTTTGAAATATATACTCTCTCCGTCCCAAATCTGATTATAAGTTAGGAGTTACAAGGCAAAATTTATTGTCTTTTGAAATCATTTTATCTACAAATTGGTATATCAATAAGAAATAAAAATTATATATTAAAAAGGGAAAAAACTTAAATTAAGAGTAAAACATTAAAAATATATCACAACAAGAGTTTTATGTTTTTATTCTCGAAATATGATTTAAAATGTATTTACTTTACCAATCACGATCATGCATATTATCAAAAAATATACTAATATGCACATGTATTGTGTCATATTATAACAGCGCAAACTTCTATTTAGAAAATAAAAATATGATATTTCTATTTTAGTACTTTTTTTATGTTTTATTCCTATTTAAGGTGATTTCTCTATTCAAAAGTTCTAGAAAATAAAAGGTAGCAAGAATATTTTATTTTATCAAATATATAATGAAAGTATACAAATAAACAGAAGTTATGGAGAAGAGAAAAAAATTAGTCTATTTTGGGACGGAGAGAGTACAAACTTTGATAGTAAAATATCCGTGCATTAAAATTTATCCAGGTCCATGTATAATTAAAATAATGTTTAAATATTACAAAATCTATTTTTCTTAGTGCTCCCATACCCATCAGAATATGCTTTGCAAAATTTAATAAGTTTAAAAATATAACATAATCTTTTAGAATTTGAATTGAATATAATCTCGTTAAAAAAGAAAAAGAAAAGAGATGAAATAGAAATACTCTCTCCCTCCCAATTTATATTAACTGTTTGGGTTTACGATATTTGACTGAAATTATTTTTAAATTATTTTTTCTGAAAATGAGTGCAGAATAAAGAAAAATTATTCCCTTCATCGTAGGATGATCTTCTCTGTTCAGTCAATGAAGTTTGACTAAAATTACTTTCAATTCAATTTATTTGATTATAGGTGTAAAATTAAGAATTAAAAATTATATACTCCGTATTTTAGAAGTACATCAAAAGTTCTATAAAACAAGATGTGACATAACTATATTATTTTATTAAATAACTAATGAAAATAGGTAAAGAAAGTGATCAAAATTGGACCATGTAAATAATAGCTAAAAAGATCGTTTTTAGGACGGAGATGATATTCAATTTCACTTATGATATCCAAATAATCATAAGTTATCAAAGTATAATAATACTACTCCCTCCGTCCCAAATTATAATGCTTGTTCACTATTCATAGGGTCAAACTTTATTCACTTTCTTTCTCTATTTTCATTAGCAAATTGATAAAATAAAATATTGTTGTCACTACTAGTTTTGTAGATCTTTTAATGTAGTATTTTGATATGTAATTTTTATTTTCTAATTCTATACCATTTGTCATATAAAATGATTTAAAAATAACTTCAGTCAAACATCATAAACCGAAACAGGCGTTATAAAATGGGACGGAGGAAGTAAGAGAGAAGTTTATGGTTGAAGTACTCCGTATAAGATATGGACAGATATTAATATAAAATTACGGATACGGAATTAAGGGCCACGTCAAATTCGAGTCATCTCTATCTATTTCAAACGATTTCCATTACTTTAGCATTCTCTTCTTCTTCCGGTAACATCCGAAACGCGACTGTATATAACCAACAATAATCCCTCTTCTGCTCCCTACTTTTGTTTCTTCAATCCTTATTCGTAAGAATCTCACTCTCTCTATAGATTATTTTGTTTCTGGGATTCTTTAGTTCTTAAATTTAAAGCTTATCTTTCTGAAAATGGAGATTTACATGAACTAAAATGGTTTTGAAATGGAGCTGATGATTATTTCTGGGAATGTAAGTGATGGGTTGATGGGGATTTGTTAAGTAAATATCTCTGTGTGATTAGCTGGGCTAGTGATTAAAGATTGATTTTTGGTTAGTGATTAATGGCTGATTTTAATTTAATGTATTTGCTTTACTGTGTGATTGTTTCCTTGTTTCTCATTGTAATGTAATTTTCTTGTTGCAGTGATCAAAATAGACATGATGGGTGTGACTGGGAAGTTGATGTTTCTCTACGTTTTCTTGAATGTGGTTTCATATATAGTGGTAAAGCTACATATCTTTTCTTCTCTTTCATTATAATTTCAGAAATTTTTTTAAACAAACTCAATTTTTATCTCTATTCAAATTTTTATTTACGGAGAACCGTTTGGGAACAACATTTCTAATCAGCATTGGCTATATTTGGATTGGATGTCCTTTTTCTGAAAGGCCAAAGCTAAATGATGAATGCAATGGCAAACAGATTCTTCATCTGGTTCATCTTTTATGCAGATAGCTGGAAGTCCGCCAACATGTCCTGCCGCAGATATTTCTAGTGACTGTAAGAGTGATTCTGGGGAATGGGATGGTGAATTCTTCCCCGGAATTTCCAAGATCAAATATGAGGTGAAAATGTACTTTTTAACCTTTTTTTGGTTATTATTAAAGAAGAAAGTTGGTTACAAAGATTGAACTATGGGAATTTTATGAAGGTGACACCTTTGGCCTAAGAAAGCTTTGTTTAAGCTACTCTTGAGATTCCCAGAGAGTTAAGGGGTTGTTTGGTACGTGGAGAAGGCTAGGGGAAGAAACCAAGGAAAACACAAACTTGCTTAATTTCATTATTCCAATTTCAGATATTCTTTGAAACCTTGTGTTTTAAATCTATTATATCAAGACTGAAGTTTCTACATGCATTGAAAGTTACATGTTTTGATAAAATATGAATCTCATCCGTGCTTTCAAGGTAAAATCTAATATCAAAATCATTTTACGCATTACGTAAATGATTTCCTTTCCCTACCATTTTTCATGTTCCAAACGGATTACTTATAATTGAAGGAAAGCAACAACGCTTGAGTTTCTATACATCTTTTGTTTTGACCACTATGGGGTCTCGCAATTGCAATGACTGATGGATTTTATGTGCTTTCTTATTCATTTCTATAGGGTCCTTCTAGTAAGAACTCATTGTCATTTAAATGGTACAATGCCAACGAGGAAATTTTGGGTAAAAAGATGAAGGTTGGTAACTGCGATTAAGTATTTTAGTGTTGTTTTAGTTCATCACTGTTCTTATACCACTAATACATTTTATTCTGCTTTCTTTTAAAAAAATAAATATAGGACTGGTTTAGATTTAGTGTTGCGTTTTGGCACACATTCCGTGGCACAGGTGGCGATCCGTTTGGCTCAGCTACAAAATTTTGGCCATGGGAAGATGGCACTAATTCACTTGCCATGGCAAAGAGGAGGAGTAAGATATGACATTCAACTCAGCCATTTTTAGTTAAACGAAAATAACTTTCCGTAAACAATACTTTATTTTCTAGTGCAAAACATAGGAAAATGTTTTCCTTCTAAACAAATGGATCCTAAAGTTAACCAGTTGAGTGTAGATGTATAGTAATGACTAAGTTCTCTCTACTTCAATTGTTGATTACAGTGAGAGCTAACTTTGAGTTCATAGAAAAGATTGGAGTCGACAGGTGGTGCTTTCATGACCGAGACATTGCTCCAGATGGTAAAACACTAGAGGTAGATGCTGTAAACATTTTTTTACTTGTTATGTACGAAGTATATGCTATATATAGTCATGTGTTAAGGTGTTTGTTCTAACTGTTTAATGTTTATAGATTCCTGAAATCATTTTTTTGTTGACTGACACTATACAAATCACAATTCACAGGAGTCGAATGCAAACCTGGATGAAGTGGTGGCTCTTGCTAAGGAACTTCAGGTTTTAAGAGACATTCATGAAAACAAAAACATAACTTTTCCGATTATGACACCGTTTATAAAATATTTAGAGTTTTTCAAATAATCTTATGTTTGTAATACGTAGTAACAAATAATAGAAAATGTATAAACAAAACGGATGATCCAAACCTATGTTCTATACGAGCTATTTTAGACTTTTGAAAACAAAACATAACAAAATGAAAACCAAAATTTTAAAACCCGAAAACATCAAATAACTATTTTTTCCCTTCCAAAAGCCTCCCAAGTAGACATTTTAAGTAAACCAATTTTTATGGTCATATATTTTTCACCCTTTTCTTTTTTATAAACAAGAAATATTTGAAACTTTGTAGGGTTCAAAGATCCGACCTTTATGGGGTACCGCTCAGCTGTTTGTGCATCCGCGATATATGCATGGTGCTGCAACTAGGTTCGTTTTGGCTTGTTTGAACTGGTAATTTGATTGACATGCACTTTAAAAATCTTGTGCTCAATTTCCTTAATTAAATCTGCAGCTCTGAATTGGGAGTATATGCATATGCTGCAGCCCAAGTCAAAAAAGCTATGGAGGTTTTCACTACAGCTCTTTTTCTTATGTATACATGTCAAAATATAAATTTCCGTGATGATAATAATTGAAGATTGAAGATTTGTTATAAGATGGATTATTACATTGCATGTCATGATATAACAGCTGTAAATGTTCTGCTTCGTGTGAATTTCAGGTTACACATTATCTTGGTGGTGAGAATTATGTATTCTGGGGTGGCCGTGAGGGTTATCAGAGTCTTTTGAACACAGACATGGAAAGAGAACTAAATCATTTGGTAAGACGAGCAATTAAATTTGTAGAATGGATTATCAAATGATGATGATGATGATGATGATGAATGACTTGTATATGGATTTATTAATTATTTTTTTCCATCTCTGTTGACAGGCCAGGTTCATGGAAGCTGCTGTTGCTTACAAGAAAAAGATTGGGTTTAATGGTATTTTGCCTCTCATTAATTTTCTGCTAATTAATATCATAGCTACAAATTACGACTGATTGGTTATAAATTTATAATTTTACCTATTATCTTCTTTTGCTCAGGGACATTGTTCATTGAGCCTAAGCCTCAGGAGCCTACGAAGCATCAGTACGTTTTGATCTTATAAGATTATCTAGGCAGTTAGTTATTCCATGTTCACTTCATATCACAATATATCTTGATGCTCATAGGTATGATTGGGATGCTGCTACTGCTGCTAATTTTCTAAGGAAATATGGCCTTATAGGTATGATATATCTATCTATCAATCAATCATCTATTACATCATCATCATCATCATTTTTCTTCTTGAACCTGCACACCAGAGCTGTTTTTGTTCTTCATAGCATCAAAATGATACATGAATTATGGATTCCTTATTTTAAATGTCATTAGAGTATAATACCTCAACAACAACAAAACCTTATCGTCCTAAAATATTTTTATGATATTTGCTGTTGATGTTTGACAGATGAGTTCAAATTGAATATCGAATGCAACCATGCCACTTTGTCTGGACATAGGTTTGTGCCATTGTGTCTTTTTTTACTTTGCTAAACTAGATCACAGTCATATACTAACCAAAACCATTGGGATAAAGATGTTCATAGAAACCTAACCTTTGTAAGAAAAAAAATTAGATATGTGGTTTTGTCACGACCCTTGCATTTACTACCCAAAACTTCATTAAAAATAAGAAGCAAATGGAGCTTAAACTTCAATTCTTAGATTACATGAAACTAAAACATTGCCAATAACTCCCAAGAAAAGCTTAGCATCTATACAAGATTAATTGGGGTTAAGCATTGGGAGATTTTTACTGCATTAACCTTCTTCGCGTATTTCATTTGCATTTCAGTTGTCATCATGAAGTGGAGACAGCAAGAATCAATGGATTGCTTGGAAACATTGACGCAAATAGTGGCGATCCGCAAACTGGTAACTTATCTGATCAGAAGTTATATGGAACTACACTTTTGCTTGCCACTTTGTTCTCTGCTCAATAGAACTTTTCATGGCATTCTAGGGTGGGACACCGATCAATTCCCCATGGACGTAGCTGAAGCAACTCTAGTTATGCTCTCTGTTATCAAGAATGTACGTTTATGTTGTTTTTGTTCATTTTCTCTCTCACTTTACTTTTTTTGGACGTTCCAAATAATTTTCCGTTCCTTTTAATGGCAGAATTTTGTTGTTCATATTCTTTCTTTTTCCTCTATATAAACTTTTTATCATACTATTTTACTTTTCTTAAATCCCGTGCCGATTTCAGATGGGAATTTGTTTTTGGGACGGAGGGTTGTCATCATTATCATCATCATCATCATCATCATCATCATTATCATTATCATTATCATTATTATTATTATTATTATTATTATTATTATTATTATTATTATTATTATTATTATTCTTTTTAAGTACATATTTGCAGAATCGTGAGAAGAAATATACATGATTAATGTTGTTTTTCTTTTCTTCTTTAATCATCATTGTGTGTGTTTCCGATCAAACCTCAGGGGGGAATAGCACCAGGAGGATTCAACTTTGATGCCAAATTGTTAGTTCGCTATCCCATTTTAGTCTTTACTATGTCACAGTCATGTTAAATACGCTGTCTTTACAACAATGTTCTTGTTTGATCTTCTGTCAGGCGGAGGGAGAGTACGGAAGTTGAGGATATATTCATTGCACATATTGCGGGTATGGATACCCTGGCCCGTGGCCTCCGAAGTGCTGCAAAGTTGATTGAGGTAAAATGACTAATTTGCCCTCGCGTAGTCTTTAATCTTTTTTTTTTTCATTTTTTTGTACCAAACTTATTGGCCTATGTGATGAAAATAGGATGGTTCTCTGAATGAACTTGTTCGAAAGAGGTACCAAAGTTTTGATTCTGAGGTTGGCCAAGCCATTGAGGTATTGTTCTTTAACATTTATCTTCTAATTGGAATTTTCTACTTTTGGTGAAAAGGACAATCTTGTCATTTTCACTTTTGGTCTCAAACCTTAATTTCCACCTCCCCAATCTTGGTTCTTGTAGCAACTGAGCAATAGTGCAATACAATCTCAACTTTGGGCTTGTTTGGGAATAGCTTTAGCGTTTTGAAAAACTATCTACGGTCAGCGTTTAGCGATAGCGTTTCCAAAGTAATCTACACCGTTAAAATTTTATCTAAAACGCTAACGCTAATCTCTAACGCTATTCCCAAACAGGCCNGGGGTCAAGATGTACACAACTTTACCATTTAAAAAATTGTAGAAAGCCACGTAATTAACATAAATTACGTTTTACGTTTTGCTGCTATGTTTTTCAGGCAGGAAAGGGTGATTTTGAAATGCTTGAGAAGAAAGCTTTTGAATGGGGCGAACCGAAAGTCCCTTCTGCTAAACAGGTAAAATAAAAATTAGAGTATGTTAATGGTTGAATGATAGACATGCCGATACGTCCCGGGTTATTTCAGGCTTTGGGTCAAGAAATGTTTGTTCATGACCTAGAGAATTCGGGTCCGAATGGACGTGATGGGTGGACATTAATTTTAAGTTTTTTTTTTTGGATTTTATTCATGAAACTTAACAAAGTGTGAAAATTGTGTAGGAACTTGCCGAGATGATTCTCCAAGGCGCAATATAGATGCAAATCTTGACAGTCCTTGCAAAATACATCATTAGTGTTGTCTTCTTCATCAAGGAAGATTCTTGACTGTGTGTGAATTGGTCTCTCTTTTTATGCATTTGAAAGATTTGTTATGTTCTTGAATTTCAGCATTGAGAGGAGGGAGTAGAGATTGTTAGAAATGCAGGTCATGTTCATTTTCTGCTAAACCTTGTAAACATTATACTTCCTTGACTTGGCAAAAATATGTTTCGAATAATCTATATTCCGAATTCCAAGAAATTCGATTGCCAAACGGTTGTTTAAACTATCTCTTTTTATTTTTTTAATTTTTTTAAATCCCATTGGGTAAACCACCAAAATCGGTGGGGGTATGCAATAAGTATTTTTTTGGCTTTCTCACTCAAAACTTTGTTAGAAGAATCTTCATCTTCTTCGAAATGTGGGCACATTTATCCTTTTGTCTGAGAAGAAGACATTGTTTTCCAAGGGGGGTTTATTTGTCATTTTGTCATGTGCGTGATTTGTTTTGTACTTTGCAGATTTATACTGATGCTATTTTGGACAAAATGAAATTGATTGAGAACACAAAGTAATCTCGGGCATACATACAAAGTTGAAGTATTGTTATTTGATTACTGTTTGTGTACAATTTTTTTTTCTATCCCTATCCCTTCATTCCCCACCATTCATCATCATCACTCAAAATTTCTAAATTTTTAAGCCACGTAGTTAACATAAATTGTTCGAAATATTCTAGTTTAAATGTATTTAAAAAGATAATAATCATGAATTTCAAATTTTATATACCAAGGTTAAAAAGTACTCTCATCCCAACGCCAAACACCGCTCACTCTCCATTTCCATTAATCATTTGAAAAAATAATATAATTATTTCTCCACTAATTTTATGAATCTTTTGATATATAGTTTTAAAAATATGTGTGCAAATTATATTGTACAACCGGCTGTACCTTATTTTCGGTACAGCCGGCAATTAAATTGAGGGAAGAGAGTTGCGCCAACGCCTATTGCTTCGAAGTAGTCACCTAAAATTCCCGTCGGAGCACGCAGTGGGTGAAATTGGCGATTGCCAAGGAAGAGAAGCGATCTGGAGATTGCGGCGAACTCGTCAGATCAGATCCGAATCCACATCTGCGTGAGTTGCGCAGAGAGTAATCTGCATCAGCAGCTGATCTGGGGAGAAGCAATTGGGAGGATAGAGGAGATGCACATAGGAGCAGCAGGGCCCGATAGATTTATATTTTCTAAATCTGAACCTAATGAAAGGTAAGTTACTTGAGAATGAGCATTACCTTGTTCGAGAATGAGCATTACTTTGTTTAAGAATGAATATGATATTTTTCATAAATAAATATTATATTTATATTGAACAAAAGTATAAAAATGAATATTATGTTATCTCAGAATGAGTACTACGTTATTTTAGAATGAGTATTATGCTATTTTGAATTGAATAGTTATATTTGTGCTAGAATGAGTACTACTCTACTTCAGAATGAGTACTATCTGGATGTACCTATTTCTAGGTACATCTAGTTGTACCATATACCTTCTCAAATATGTGTACTATTTAAAAGTAGCTTTAAACAAATCAAAATCATTCAAGTAATATAAATTTGAGGAGAGGGAGCATGTGCTAAAAATGAAAGAATGAACTTTATGCCGAAGGGACTTTGAGAATTCAGAAAGAAGAATAGATTGGAACAATAATGATTAACAGAGGTATAATTTTGAAACAAAAAGTAAAACAAAACATTGGACAAAGTTTATCCGAACATGCAACAAGGGCATAATCTTAGAACCAAAGTACAACAAATCAAGGGAGGATGTTCAGGGGCATAAATTCAAGACCAAAAGTAAAATAACATAAGCTTTAGTCCAACAAGGGACAGTCATCACAAGAACCAATTAGGATACTGGGTTCATACTAATCTACTACCAATTACAACACCAATTAGTAGTTAAATAACAAAAATAGTGATATAATCCAACAAGGGACAATCATCATAAGAACCAATTAGGATATTGGGTTTATACTAATCTACTACCAATTACAACATCAATTAAATAACAAAAATATTGAAGTCTGGATCCAGACATATCAAGCCCTTTGTGCCTTCCAAGCCTTAATCTCCTCCTCAACAGTCTTTTGGAGAGCTCCTCCTAGCTTAGCAGCCTGGCGTGCCAAATCATCAAAATCAACCCGGCATAACAACCCAAGGCTCTCTCCCAAAGACTGGCAACATCCAATTTTGCCTTTCTCCAATAGTATATTATGCCCTGCAACATCAAAATGTTACCCCCTAGTGGCACCATACAAGAGTACAAGCCCTGGACAAATCCTCCCAATTTTTAATCAAACCTTCAAGAGAAGCAAATGTATCCACCCCATCATAGATGTTAACCACAGCTGCAAGAAACATAAGATTACTCACCTCACCCCTTTTATCCTCATCAGATGCCGTTAGAAACCAAGGACACGGGTCAGGGTGGTCGGGAATGGGAAGAAGACCACCTTCAGCAGCAAGATCACCCATCATGACACTCTTGAATCCGCGGCAAACTTGATGTTCAATGGGCTTAAACTGCACCGCTTCGCAGATATGAACAAAGAGCACTTCACAAGAGCGCTTCCGGATGCATGAAGCAGGAAGCCCTCTATAGCTTTGGTCAATGCCTTCGCACCCAATGTCGTGGTGTACGGAAATCTATACCGGATACTTTCAACACTCTCTTCCGCAATGTCAATCACAAAGTCTATACCCTTAAACTTGATCCACTTCCCTAAATACTTATACGCTACCAAATAGACATCAATTTCTAATATAAGGACGCTTGTAGTTAACCCAACATGTCTTAACTCTACTTCCATTAGAGGGCAATCCTTACTTTGTTTTATTATACCAACAATCCAAAATGCCTTTTACAACACACCCCCTAGCACAATTTGTTCTTAGCATTTTGATCAACGCAGTAAAGCTCTGCCCAGTATACCAATTTTTTGAGTCAATTTTCAAAACCAATTTTTGGTTTTCTACAATATCAGCATATTTCACATATCTATACAAAAGAAACACCCAAAAAAATTGTAATTAATCATTGCATACAAAAAATAAAACAAAATTCACAAACCATCAACTCTAATAAACAATTTCTTAGAGTTTACAAAATAACCCAATAAAATTCCTTTGGTTTTCTATAATATCAGCATATTGACAAAATAATTTTTTATGGGTTTATTTTCAAAGTTGATGGTTTGTGAATTTTGTTTTATTTTTTGTATGTAATGACTAATTACAATTTTTTGGGTGTTTCTTTTGTATAGATATGTGAAATATGCTGATATTGTAGAAAACCGAAAATTTGTTTTGGAAATTGACTCAAAAAATTGGTATCCTGGGCGGAGTTTTACTGCGTTGATCCAAATGCTAAGAACAAATTGTGCTAGGGGGTGTGTTGTAAAAGGTATTCTGGAATGTTGGTTTAATAAACAAAGTAAGGACTGCCCTCTAATGGAAGTAGAGTTAAGATATGTCAGATTAAATACAAGCATCCTTATATCAAAAATTGATGTGTATTTGGTAGCGTATAAGTATTTAGGGAAATGAATCAGTTTTAAGGGTATAGACTTTGAGATTGACATTGCGGAAGAGGGTATTAAAAGTATCCGATATAGGTTTCCGTACACCACGACATTGGGTGCGAAGACATTGACCAAAGCTATAGAGGGCATGCAGGATCCTGATTCATCCATTCGAAAGCGCTCTTGTGAAGTGCTCTTTGTTCATATCTGCGAAGCAGTGCGGTTTAAGCCTATTGAACATCAAGTTTGCCGCGGATTCAAGAGTTTCATGATGGGTGATCTTGCTGCCGAAGGTGGTCTTCTTCCCATTCCCGACCTCCCTGACCAGTGTTCTAGTTTCTAAGGGCATCTGATGAGGATAAAAGGAGTGAGATGAGTAATCTTATGTCCCTTGCAGCTGTGGTTAACATCTATTATGTCCCTTGCAGTTGTGGTTAACATCTATGATGGGGTGGATACATTTGCTTCTCTTGAAGGTTTGATTAAAAACTGTGAGGATTTGTCCAAGGCTTGGTCTTGTATGGTGCTACTAGGGGGCAACATTTTGATGTTGCAGGGCATAATATACTGTTGGAGAATGGCAAAATTGGATTTGCTTCTCTTTATCAGGATTGTTAGTTGTGTGAATAGTGGATTTTTTTGATTGGCGAAAAGCCATTTCAGTGAAAAAAAGAATAAAATGAGCCTGAAAAGAAATAAAACAAGAATTAAATATTACAATTTAAAAAGAGAAGAGGAAAATAATGCTTAACAATGAAGATGAAGCAAATCTGAATGTAGGAGACCAGAAGTTCTAGGTGTCGAGTTATATGGATGTATTTTAACTAATTGTGTGCGTAATGTGAAATTAATTTGACCCCATAGAGGCCGGCTAATCTTAGCCTCTTGGGTTAATTTTAAGAACCGATTGTATTAAAGCCTTCCTAATCCTCTTCATTAATGTCTCCTACGCTCAAGATTAAACTCACTCATGAGAGAATAAACAAAATTTATAAACAAAATTTTACCTGAGCAATTTGGATCTCCTTCTAACAAATGATGCGGCGGCAGAGGAGGAGGAGGTAACCGGAGCTACAGCGGCGATTGTGGCTGGTGCTTCTCTCCAGGAAGAATGTAGAACACAAAGGGTTTAGGGCTTTACAAAAGGTTATTTACATATTGGGTTTTTTTATTTCTTCATAATTCTTCTAATAAATCAATTTAAATAAAATCATTAAATATATAAATAAATTCTATATGTCCATTGGGTAAAAACCTCTTTAAGCAGAAAAACCGAGTTCAACATATACTCGAGTACATAGGCACTAGGCAGACTAGACCCAAATACCCAAAAAAAACTTGAAAAAATACCTGTCATTATGTCATTCAAAAAAAAATTCTACTTCGGATTTTTTTTAATAATTCAATGAATTAATATGAAATATTCCAACCATTAACAATATAAGATATAAATAAATCTAATCAAAATTCAATCAAAAATTTATCAGTCAAAAACTGAATCTAAAATTAAATCACTTAACAATGTAAAGTGATCATCGGTCCAAGACCGGACCGAAACGGACCGGACCGAAGACCGAAATGAGAAAAAAGAAAGACCGAAGACCGGACCTATAAGAAATCGGTCTTGGACCGGTCCGGACCGAAATTCTTTGGACCAAATCGGTAGGACCGAAAAGACCGAATTTTTTAAAAGTTTTTATGGTTAAATATTTAAATATTGTAGAAGGAAAACACCACGGTTGACAAATATGCATGGAATCAGAAAACTAAGCAAAGATGCATCAAAAAAAAAGAAATTTGCAGCATCCATGTCAAATATGCATTACAAAAAAAAGTAATTTGCATCAAAAAAATGAAACCACAGAACTTGAAGCAAATAAAAAGTACTCCGTAATTTGCTGCATCCATTCACAGAACTTGTAGCAAAAATACCACAAATGTAAATGCACCCAGAAAAAAAGTAATTTGAATCCATCCATTTACAAAAAAAAAAGCAATTTGCAGCATCAATGACAAATTTAGAGAGCTAGGATATGGGGACTTCATTCATCAAGGACTCCATAGTCCAATTTGCAACTAAAAACAGTGGACACTGGACATCACTAAGTTTGTGTTCAACACAGTTACACAGAGGCTCATCCTATTCGGCCATTCCCATCAAATTAAATCCATTCCAAACAAGCATGATTCCATAATTGTGAACCTGAACATACTATACTGTAGTTATAAAGCAGGTAATGGAATTGGAAAATTTACCCTTTCGAGAAGCCTCAACACTCCACTCCAGATCTCCAGCAATTTATAACTTCCAAATTTCTTAGAAATTTCCACAATTTAGTTGACAATCGGACAGAAAGAGAAATACAAAACCGTGTGTCCGTGCGATTGTGACCAGGCTTGGAATCTTTAGTCGGAGAAGATGACGGAGAACATGGGGTTGATTTTAGAGGTAGAGGGAGTGGGCGACTTCGATTTCAGAGGGGAGAAGACGATGATGTGCGAGAAGATAGAGGTCTTTACAATTTACATCGATGGATTTGTGAGAATCGGATAAGGGCATAAGGCCCTGAGGGTAATTTATAGGTGTTTCTCTCCAGACCAAAATTTATTCGGGTATAAACCGGACCGGACTGATACCCGAAATTAAAAATTATCCGGACTGAAGACCGACCCGATATGATATCTGTCCGGGTTCGGCCTGGACCTAACGATCCAATTCGATCGGTTTTTTCGGTCCAGACCGAAACTTGAACACCCCTACTTAACATACCATTAAATCTGGTACTCCCTCCGTCCCATAAAGTGTTACCTATTTTGACTAAAGTTGAAATTAAAGGATGGATAATTTTGTGTTGACTTTCCAAAAATACCCTTAATGTGATGGGTAAAAGTATGATGTGATGTGTCGATTATTAGGAAAAAGGTATGATGTGATAGGTAAGGTTTGAAAAAGTGAAGTATATAAGTGGTTTTTTAATAGAAATGGGTAAGGAATTGTGGGACGCAATTTTTTTGAAACGTATAAATCTTTTTGGGACGGAGGAAACATTAAATTAACATACAACATCAAACAAAAGGTAGCTTCAAAATACAATATTCCCAAGTAAATATTTACTGCATACTCCGTATAATCTTAAATGAAACTTAATAAAAATTTGAAATACAACCATACAAATAAAGTTAAATTAAAAATAAAATAAATTCTTGAATAACTTTTGTTTATCAAAAATTTTATCTACTATTTAAGGCATGTTTTGACTATATTAAAAAATATTGGTATATAAATAAAAAATAAAATTTACATATCAAAAACGTACATGAAAAGTTTTTCAAAATAAGATGTGTCAAAAATATTTAATTTTATCAAATAACCAATGAAAACGTAGAAATAAAAAAAAGTTCCCACGATGGATGAAAAAACAAATGTTGTAAATATTTTGGGACAGAGGAAGTATAAAAAAACCCAATCAAATCCTCTTTCTAAATCTAACGGTGCAATTTCAATTTCACATGTAATCCAACGGTTCAATTTCAAAGTGGCAATTGATGGACAATTATAACTCCCATTAGACGGCGTTTTCTCCGCCCCTTCTAATTCGGTTCTGTGAACGCAAACGGCGTACTGTGCCACCTCCCCTCCCTTCGTGCTTCAGATGGAGTCCATCGTCGTTTCCTTCATCGTCTTTTGGACGTTCATCAGCACTTCGACTCCGTCCATCCGTGCATAGAGCCGACGGAAAACAACGCCCTCAACTCATGATTTCAATTTCAGACTCAATCGAGGTGAGGCGTTTTCATATGTCTATTCGTAGATTAGAATCATAATCAAATGAGTTGTGTAATTGATTGTAGAATTATATATTTGTTCTCTGATTGGGGTTGTGAAAGCAGGAAATAAAATGTACGGATCATGTTGTTCAAGAAGTGTCAGCCCCAAGATGCATATCAGGTAAACTTTTAGCATCAGTTTCCAAAACAATGCTCTGTATTAGAATAGTCATTGATATAGCTCCACATTCAAATTTGTTTTTACATCTCCTTTTAGGGGATGTTGCCAGCTGACCCTTTTCTCTACATATTTCTTATATTTTTATCAAAACTATTTACATACTCTATAATTTATATGCCTTTTTGTCTCTACTTTTATTTTATTTTAATACAACTGTGAAGCATAATGGGCACATTTTGCCTATTTTCCTCTCAGGTGATACTTATTTTCTATTGGGGGTATTTTTATTCCTCTTATGTTATTGTATTTTTCAAAGAAAATAGTTCATCAAGCTTCGTTTTCAATCGAGATTGAGTCAATAGTTGAGTTTCGAGGACTCTTTAAGGTATCCGTGAAAATAGTTCAATTAGTAAATCAATAAGGTGTGTTGTCCTTAATCAAAGACAAACGTACATTGGCATTGTACGACACATTGAAGACCAAAGATGATGAATGAAAAAAATTGTAAAGATTTAGATGATGGCAATGAATCCATAAATGTGGTATAAAGAATTGCTTATTTTTCCTATCTATTGTAATGTGAGTTATTGCGGTTTTGCTTCCAATTTTCATTCCAAATGATACACACTTTTTTACTTTATTGTTCATCTTTATTAATTATTTTGTTCTTGGCTATGATTAACATCTCAATCTTCTTTTTCAAGTTTCTATTAAGTGTTTACACCAAAGTTTCATTTAAATGTTTTTGCCCATATGTTTCTGCTACAATCACACACACAGTAAAAAAAATTAATAAATTTTTCACAGAAAAAAGGGAAGAAAACAGATTAAAAAAGTTATTTCAAAAGTAAAAGAAGAAAATACTTTATGAAGAGAAAAAAACTTAAGCATCTTTCTGTCCAAATGTTAGGTGACTTTTTTATTTATGATGTATGTGTGTTTATGTAATTTTGAAATTATCTTAGTTGATTAAATATTTAACTTGCAACCTGAAGACAAACTACCTGCGTAAGAGCATCTCCAAGGGAGAAGTTAAATTTTGGGAAGATATATGCCATTTTAGCTTCCCAATAGTAATTTAGCAATTCATTATTTCACATCTTCTCCAACCATGTCATCTATTTTTTTAACTTTCTTTATCATTTAAATTAATTATTTCTTTTAAGAAAATCGGCAAGATCCCTTCATTCATCCTCTTCCGGAAAAAAAGAAGCAAGAAAGACCATGTAAATTGAGGTGTTGAACACAAGGTATAGTGTCGTGCCCGATTAGCTTTGCTTCCTTTGAAGACAATGTATAGACCTCGATTTGGTTGCGGCGGAGACTGTGAAGCGAGGGTGCATAAATATATTGCAGTCATTTCTCCGACCAGAACCAAATCGAGATCAAAGGCTTCCGGAAATGGTGTGGAAGGGTTAAAGCGAGGAGGAAACTGGCAGCCGGTGAAATAGATTATGCTACAGCGTCTTTTAATTATAGATGCTTGAACATTAAAACTAGATTGTGGTCTATTTTTAGAAGCTCCATTGGAGATCAAAGTAATGAATAGTAAAAGCTATTTCTTTCATATTTTATACTTTACTACATCTTAAAAGCTCCGTTGGACTTGCTCTAACTACTAATATTGTTTGCATAGAACTCTCACATTTTGTAAACAGTTCTGTTGCAAATTAAGTAGCCTCTTTTGTCAGATGCTTTTTGGAAAAAAAATCTGCACTGTTTTGGTTGAATACTCATGCTGATTCATGTTCCTTAAAGTTCTTATTTGTTTAGCAACTGAATCTGGAGGTAGAAAATGAGTTCTAAGGTCTGATCTGTGAGCATTGTGTATGAAATGTATTAAATGCTTGATATTGTCTGTTTTATATGCACAAACATTAGTGTTTTCTTTCCTGATTGAAGTTCACACTTTAGCCGTTTTCATTTGCAGAGATATTGAATATAAACCAGACCTACACAGACACTTCTATATGATGCTTTCTATATGCCCTGCAAGGTAAAATTTGTATAACTTCTTCATTTGTTACCTCTTTTTTTTCCTTGGTACAACTTCTTCTGCAAATTTTGGAGTCTTAGACATTAAAGCTAATTCCAGATAGGATCCTCTATAACTTTTTTGTATGATGCTAATATGGATAACTTAAGCTTCTACAGAAGATGATGTTTGGATGACATTGGCATTACTTTTCTAAAAGTTTACATGTTTCTAAAGTGTTCTTTTATTTTTAGTCTATGGTCGTCTGAGGTTAGAAGATGTAGTATAGCTATACTTTATTTTAAATTCTTTCATTTTATTAACTTCAATGTCTTAATCTAATGTGTTGACATCAATATGGCTTAGGTGGTTAGATAAGTAAATAAAAGCGGAAAGATTAAGAAACGCAAATATACATACAAGCCACCCTTAGAATATTGTATATACTCCCTCCGTTCTCAAAAAGAGTTCCAAAGGAAGTGTTAAATTGTACGGAGTAGTTGACTTCCAATTTTGCCCTTGATGTGATGGGTAAAAGTAAGATTTGATGTGATGGGTAAAAGTAAGATGTGATGGGTAGATTATTAGAGAAAAAGTATGATGTGATAGGTAGGGTATGAAAGAGTAATGGTAAAAGTGGTTTTTTAATATAAAGTGGAAGAGTTTTGTTGGAAGTGAAAAAAATGAAAGGGAAGTGTTTTTGAGAACGGAGGGGGTATGTGATACCATATTTATCTAGACCTGTCTGCAACATTTTGTTATGAGGTGTGTCCGTGTTTTTGGTTGGCATGATGTCTTGCTTGATTGCAGGCATGGATGACACATTTTTTATTTTTATTTTTTAAATTTGTTTCTTGATGAATTGGTGAATTTGGGTTCTGTGATAAAGCCACAGGTTTTGTTGCTTCTGTTGAGAATTTACTGGCTCAAAGGAATCCACGGTTTGGTTATTGAGACTTTTGGGGAGATTCTCAAGTATGGCTACACACCAAATACTTTTGCTAGGGAACATATTAATTGATGTGTTATTCAAGATTGGGCGTGGGAGTGTAGAACTTCAAGTTTTGAAGGAGACATTGTACCTGAATTTCTTAACCTTCACCATCGTTGTTGTGTGTAATATATGCACACTCAAAGATTTGGTTAATCTCCAATCTGTACTTAGGAGCATGTTGAGGAAAGGATATCAATCAATTAATCATCAATCTTATTCTTAAAAGCAGGAGAAATTTTGCCCAACATTATCCCGCCTAAACACAAAGCTTTGGCGGCCGTCCATCTTTAATCAATTATTGATCTCCGGCTAATTACATTATTAGAATTAAAGGAGGAAATCAATAAAAATGGTAAGAATTAAATAAGCCATCAATTACAAATGGTAAGAAAACAGACGGTAAGAATTAAAAAATAGTAAGAATTACTAAAGTATTACATTATTAAACTTAAAGGATGAAATTAATAAAAATGATACGAATGAAATAAGCCTTCAAATCTTCAATTGCAAATGATAAGAAACCATACGGTAAGAATTAAATTATAACATTATTAAAATTAATGGAGGAACTCAATTAAAACAACGAGAATTAAATAAGTCATCAATTGCCAATGGCAAAAAAAGCAGACGGCAATAATTTAAAAATGGTAAGAATTAAATAATCCTTCCATTGCCTATGGTAAGACAGTAAGAAACCAATCCCTAAGAATTAAAAAATAGTAAGAATTAAATTATTTCATTATTAAAATTAAAGAAGAAAATAAATAAAAATTGTAAGAATTAAATAAGCCTTCAATTACGACAGAGGAACCCACATAGCAAAATGAATATTCAAACAGTACATTTAAGTTTCCTTCCCGTTAGAGCTGGCAAATCGGCCAGTCGGGTCAGGTTTGATAAATTTGAGTTTGGGTTATTTCGGGCTTGGTCAATTCGAGTTAGGATTGAGAATTCTATGTTCATGATCTAGTGTCATCGGGTTCGGGTCAACCCAACGGATTATCACTTTAGTTTTTTAAATTTTTAAATTCCCCTTAACACTTACATTTTCTATTTAAAAAATTTAAAATATCAAAAAAAGTATTAAATCTATTAAATTATTTTATTTTAAATCCTAAATTAATTTTTAGATATATAAATCAAATAAGGAATTTAAAAAAGTAAGATAATTATGCAATATCATTAAAATTTTGTCTGAAAATATAAATTTATAAACTAAAAATTATTAGTGAAGTGTATGATTTTGAAAAATTCTTAGTTTAGCGGTTCAGTCAGGCGGTTTGACACTTATTAGTGAAGTGTATGATTTACTAAAATAGGATTTCCATGTTTTTATTCCTGAAACAAGACTTAAAATGCATTTACATTGTCAAGCATAGTCATAAACATTACCAAAAAGTATAGTAATATGCACATGTAAAATGTCACATTATTATAGTGCAAAGTACTAATTTGGAAAAAAAACTTTTGGTCGCAGGGTTTTTAAAACTATGGAGGGGTGGGGGTGTGGGGGGTTGCTCTAAGCTCTAAGAGCATCTCCAATCATCTTACTTTGGCTTGCTAAAAGTCATAATATAGCAAGTCAACCTATTTTTTTCTTCTCCAATGAGTGTGTTTAATTTTAGCAAGCTTGCCAAAAAATAACGTTAGCTTGTTAAATATAACAAGCTCTTCAAATTATAGGAAGCAAAGAGTTGTAGAATGGATTAGCAAGTTATGGTGAGAGAATGTAACAAAATATCACTTGTTAGGTCATTATTTAAAATACGGAGTATAAAAATAGCCAATATAGTACATGCTCTAACAACTTCAACGTTTAAACTGTAGCGGCAACAAAATCGTTTGGAGTTCCAAAAAAAATTCCATTAATGGCGATCGCCAGGCTTCGGGCATCCTCTTAACGTACACGGTGCACCCAAATCGCTGCTCAACGGCTCTCATCACCGTTCACGGCGGAATCTAGGGTTTAACGGTGGATCTCGTTTCCACTCTCACAGACATCCCTCGCTGCATTACACTGGGCTGGGGCCTGGGAGTTCTCCCGCATTATGTCTCGGGCATCTTCTATCTCTGCCTACCTCCGCCGTAGCCGCCGGGTTTTCTCTCCCATCGTCTATTTTCGCCACCACCGTCACGCCAGATTCTTCTCAGCGGACGTAGAGTATCCACTGACACACCCCATCTATACTGTCTGGGCCGCCAATACATCACTCGGCAAAACCCTGGTTTCTGCCGGCCTCTCCATTTCGTTCCTCTCAGGAGTTTCAGGGAGGAAATTCATCTACCTCAAGCCCGTCCAGACCGGGTTTCCTCAGGATTCTGACTCCCGCTTTGTTTACCACAAATTTTCCGAGTTTGTTTCGCTGCACCGTCCTGAGTCCTCGGTTGAAGCTTCTGATCATGTCCTCAGAGCCTCAGCTTTGGCATCTCAGGAACTCTTGGGCAAGAATTGTGGTAGTGGAATTGTGAATTTGGGTTGGCATGAGAAGAAATTGCTGGGGAGTGGCCATAAATCTGGCATCTCCGAGCTGGTTTGTAAGACATTGTATGCGTGGAGAGAGGCTTTGTCACCTCATGTGGTCGCCAAGAAGGAAGGAGCTCGGATTGAGGACGCTGAGTTTTTAGAAACGCTGAAAAGCTGTTTAGGAGCTAATTCAGAGACTTTTGTTCATGAATGTGGAGAAAATGCGGAGATGATGTGTGTGATTGAGACTGCTGGTGGTGTTGCTAGCCCCAGCCCCTCGGGTTCTCTCCAATGTGACTTGTACCGGTTTGTTATTGTTTGATGCTTCAAATTTTCTACCTTTAATTTGAACAGTTTTGGTATGAGGTGTGCACTTTCAGAATGAAACAAGTCTTACTATACTCGGAGTGGTTTTCATTTTTGTTATACATGCTTTTGCAGGCCGTTTCGTTTACCTGCAATTCTTGTTGGGGATGGAAAACTAGGTGGTATTTCTGCAACCATTTCTGCCTATGAGACACTAAAGCTTCGTGGTTATGATGTTGCTGCTGTTGTCCTTGAAGACCACGGCCTTCTAAATGAGGCTCCACTACTGTCCTACTTGCGGGAGAGGTAAACATCTTGTATACGAATCTCAATTCTGCACATATTAAGAAGCAGTTCCGCTCTTATGCTATAAGAGTACATTTCTGAATCACATTGCTAAGTAATAAGCCTTTTTTTGGGTATATTTAATATTCTCTCCCATCTCCATGCATCTATGTATTCATTGTTGTATATTTGACATTATGTGTGTGTTTGTGTGTGTGTGTATGTGCGCGCATGTGCATGCTTATGTGTGCATGCTAATAAAATTTGTTATCAACCCTTCACATTATGAGCCATAAAAGGAGAGCAAAATTGGGTAAATTTTAGATGCTAGATTGAAAGGCTGAATAGGATTTGTATTTTTACTTCCAGGATCCCCGTGCTCGTGCTTCCACCAATTCCACAAGAAATATCTAATGATCTTATGGAATGGTTTTATCAATCACAGGACGTTTTTGATCGTCTACAGAAAATAATGTGTTTAGCATCCCGTGCAAGAATAGAGCAATTACATTACATGACGAAGAAGGCACACGAAATTTTCTGGTGGCCTTTTACCCAGCATAAGCTTATATCTAAAGACCATGTCATGATGATTGATTCACGCTGTGGTGAGAACTTTGCAGTGCACAGTGTCAATAATTCTGTAAGTGTTTGTTGCAAAAAGATGTATATCAATGCTGCATTGTCTCTTCATTATATCTGAGAGAAGCCGTTATGATGAGTGGGTATATCTGTGATGAGGGCTTTTCCGTGCTAAAGGTTGATTATCTATTTGCATACATTGCAGAACTACTTTTCTTAATTTCCCAATCCCATTGTGTATATTGTTTTGAAGTTGCCAAAGCTCTTGATAACCTAAATACCTTAATCAAAGATATTGATTGTCGAAATGAGGTCAACACATGGCTGCAAATATGGAGGCTTAACTGAGTTGCTAACTTAATTTTCTTCGTCACTTCCTACACGGCTGCACCAGTGATTACTTTTCCTTGTAATGCGTTATGTTGAAAATATGGCATGGATGTAAAATGTGTCTGTATGTCACAATGTATTGGGGAAAGAGGGGTGGTCAACATAGGCAAATCACTTCTTTTTCTGCTAAAAAGTAAAATGTCATGATTTTGAAATTCAAAGCTTGGGAAACAATTATATTATTATGAATATTATTTTAGGGCAGATTGACACACCTAGCAAATTAAGTACACTGAGTAATGATTTACATTCTTGTACATGGTAGGATTTCATCTACCAAAAACTTTTTGAGCTCGTTGATGATGCTTTTTCTTCATAAAGTTGTTTTCCTGCCATGTAATGCTTATGGATTTATTTGGATTTCATGCAGATTAAGAACACGGATTCTATAATTCAACGGTTTGATGCTTGTGCTAGTTGGTGGACACAGGGACCTGATGCTAGTTTACAGGTCAGCATTGGAGATTCCGACCATTATCACCACCATCATAGTACCCACCACATCTTAATTCTGACTATGATGGGGTAGATGGCACGGAATTTACTCAATTTTTAGTGTCAATTAATTGTATAAAACTAGTTAACTCTATAAATTCACTCATGAACGTGTAGTGACAAAGCTTTGCATTGGATGCCCTTGTGGTCACTACCTTCTTATTACATCATAATAATGAACCAAGCTTCTAAAACCATTGCAAATATAGGTTTTTCCACTTGAATGGTTAATCGAATGAGATAGTGATGAGTTGAGGCTTGAGATAATTGCAAGTGTCGCATCCTATTACAAGACTGATAATGTAAATATAACATGCACAATTGCATATCTTTGAAATTCTAACCATTTTGCACCCACCTTAAAATAATTTGGAGAATTTGCAAACAATCATATAATAGCATCAAGAAACAGAAAGCAATGCATGGTAAGCACACCAATCAGAAGTTACTTTGATTTGGGTAACTGGAATTGATGTCTAAATATTGATGTTTAGTGAACTGTTTTTTCTTTTTGCGGGACTGCTTTTGTACGCATAATAAAATAGTTTTCTAGTATTATATCCTTAGAGTTTGACCCTTTTTTTCTAACTTTATTTCTACGACTTTTTTTAGCTGATTGTATTAAGGTGATTTCAGATTGAGCTTGCAAGAGACATGGGATATGCTACCTCTAGGTATGGGCATGTAATGTTTCCTGAGAATGTTCATGAGCCAGCTTTGAAATGTGCTGAACTTTTGCTTGAAGGTGTTGGAAAAGGTTTGCATTTTGTTCCTTGGGTTTTGGCCAAATTTGTTTACTTTCAAGGGAATTCAATTATAGCATGCGTTTGTGCTGCACATTTTTTTTGTAAAATCAGCTCACTTTCGTAATAAGGTTGAGTTCATAATTTGATTACACATTTCTATTTTTATTTGTCTTCTTGTCCCTTAGTTGTTGGACTTTAGATCTTGAACTACCATAAGAAGTTACAAACACCATAAAAGGTTGTACTGTCAAATGGTTTCACTTTGTTCAATTTTTAAAAAACCATTTTGTGTGTTTGTCTGTGGATCACTTGAGGCAAAAACTTATATTAGAAAAGTTCAGCCAATGCCTGTTATTCATTTTATAAGTTCATGGATCAGTCTGTTTTTTTTAAGAAACTCGTTTTCCTCTTGTTTTCAGCTGCATGTAATGCTTTTTACCAAATTTGTCAATCCACCTCATTTATCCACTCACCATCCTATCCATACATGATAAAACCCTTCCATCAAACAGTCACTTTAGTTGCATGGATTTTATTACAGACATTAGATTAACACTTGCATTTTAGAGTACTTGTGGAAATCGCATTTTATATCAAACAGTCACTTTAGTTGCATGCATTTTACCTGTGCACATCACAAACCCATATATTCATTCACACTCAACTTGATTACAAAATATTATAAGCTATGTCATCCCTAAAGTTTTTTATTGCATTTTAGTTTGCTCATCAAACAACATCACCTCGGGCCTTGCCCCATGCTTCTATGCTTCAGAATCTGCTATACTCCTGTTTTCCAATGTGTTCAATATATTCATTTGACTTCATTCTTCTCTTGGTTTATGCAGACAACCCAGATTAATTGGGATAAAGCTTTGGTGTTGTTGTTTCAATATATTCATTTGGCTTATGTTCTTTAGTTTCCTCCTAGCCACCACATGCAAGGCCAACACTTCAATTTATATTGAAAACATATTAAAACAAAAACTCAAAAAACCTTGACTAATTTATTGTGTGTGGGGCAGTGCTTATAAATGTGCATATTCTTGTTGTCTTGCTAAAATAGTTAGCATATCCTTAAATAAGTGAAAAATGATATTGTTTTTTCGGTTTGCTTGTGTGACTAACAAAGTCTTTAAGTCCACAATCCACATGTTATAGAAATAAAACCGGAGTTAAGGAATGGCAACCTAACAAGCTAAAACATTTTCCCATGTATATTGCAAATTATTAGATGTTTCCCCTTTTCATATATTTTGTATTTTTTTGGAAGTTTTAAATACTTTGGTTCTGAAAAGATTTTGCTTTTATAGGATGGGCTTCAAGGGTATACTTTTCAGATAATGGATCAACGGCAATTGAAATAGCTCTTAAAATGGCACTACGCAAATTTTTGTTTGACCATGGGTTTCTTTTTGAAAGTCCAAATGGTAATGATGTTGATAAATATATCAATTTAAAGGTTAGTGTGTGTGACTCCTAGTACTTTTATGTGGATAAATACTTAAGTTTTTCCTACAAATTATTGTTTTTACACTTCAAAGTATTCTTTTTATGTGATATTTTGTTGGTACACTCAAATCTCTCTATAAAAGCCTAATTTGTCTATTTTGTTTTGGATGTCATAGTGGATGAGTGTTATACACCTATAAAGAGTTAACGGCATGTTGTTATATGCATATAACATGTTATACGAATTTCTGTAAGTTCTGTTGAAGTGCAACTGCTTTTAAACCTAATGATATTCATGATTTTGTTCAACATAAAGGTTTTGGCTCTTAGAGGATCTTATCATGGCGATACATTGGGAGCTATGGAAGCGCAGGCACCTTCACCTTACACTGGATTCTACCAACAACCATGGTATGAATATGTATCTTGAAGGCTGTGTGCTGATGAAATGGTCTTATGGTTAAGGATACTTGTTTCTGCTGGTTCTATACATGTTGTCATCGTAATTTTAAGAATGAAGTTCCACTACAAATCCATTACTCTGTCATTCAAGATAGTTTTTAAAATGTTTTTAATACTTTGGGTGTACTTTGGCTTCTAGTTACTCTTTTGAAATGATTTTTTTAGTTTGTTTATATGCATATATACATGTATATGCCTTTAGGGCCCTCTCGTTTGTGATTTCTTGCATTGCATATCCAATACAAAGAGCCTGATGAAATTTAAATCTGTGCATGGTTTGACATTTGCTCAATTTTTCCTGCAGTTTTTTTCACAAGTCTGAGTTTTACTACATATTTTATATAAATATGCAATATCCAGATGTAATTAGCAAACATTTGGAATTTGAGATTCTGTTTTGCCATCATAACCCCATGCCCAACAAAAGTTGTGCTATATCCGGTTGAAAACATTCATGCCAATGCTCCGAGCCTCCTACAAATATGTCATTTTACAGAATAACATAAATACTCTGAGATTTCAAAGTAACACTTGCTACTACAAGAATTTAAACAAGTTGGAATTTCTGATTCTAATCTTATTTTGCTTTGTTGAAGTATCCCACATTGATAACTTTGAGAGAGAATAAATTGTTTATACTGCTATGAGTTGAACTAGATAATAGATTCAATCTTTTAATGTGGTTCAACCCATGTGCCTTATGGACCAATCTAGTGATGCCTACTGCATCCAAAATTCTATCATCATATCAAAGCACGTTTTGGACCACCTCGTTTGTCACGATGCCCGTGTAGAAGTTCAGTCCTAGCAGCCCGTGAGTCTTTAACACAGTTTTCTGTATGGAATCCAAACCCACGAGTCTTTGGCCCCTTTAACGTGATTGTTCGTCTAGAAGTCCATACCTAGCGACTCGTAGTCCTTTAGGTGTTGGCGCTGTATTTCAAAAGTTTGGGGGACGGGAAGTCATTTTCAAGTGGTCATGCGGTTAGATTCATAATGACCAGGTTGTCCACTTGAGGGGAGTGTTAAAGTATCCCAATAACTTTGAGAAACAATACAGGATTTATAAGGCTTTGACTTCTAAGCAATCCATTTGATTTAATCTTTTAATGTGGTTTAGCCCGAATGTCTTATGGCCCAAATGCCCAATCTAGTGATCCCTACCCCATTCTTAATTCTATCATGCTTATCTTGACGAATAACAAATCTTTAAAACTAGAACAGAGACCAGAAAAACTTGACTGGCATGTGTGTTTTTCTCCAAATAAACAAAAGTAAGATCCCAATTTAGTATTGACATGAACTTTTCCTATTTAATTTGAAGTTTGGATGTCCATGTTGTCTAATACTCTTTTTGATTAGTATGCCCTTTTAGCATATCTTGATATTTTGATTTATGATATCTAATTATTGTCGTAGGTATAAGGGAAGAGGGCATTTCTTAGACCCACCAAAAGTTTCCTTGTGCCAAGATGTTTGGAAACTTTTCATACCAAAGAAAATTCAACCTAACATAGCAAATGAAGAAGATTTGAGTAAGTGTAGCATGGGCATTCCAATTTTATGAGTTTTATTTATATTATTCTATTTTCTTGTTAATTTTTTAGTCCCCTATTTTCTTGTTAATTAAATGGGCTGATTTGCAGTTTTCAGCTCACGTGATGAAATCTTTCAAAAAGAACGGGATGTATCAGGTATTGCTGATGTGTATTCATCGTACATATCACAAGAGTTATTGGAGAATCTGGATCCTAGAGGATATATCTCTATTGGAGCATTGATTATTGAGCCAGGTAAAATTATGTCTTTTTTGGGTGTTGGTTACAAAGGTACCTTTATATCTAGAAGAATAGAAGGGTATTCCATTTCATCATCTGTGGTTTATTGGAATTATTGGCTTTTGGATTTGTTTTGATAGTCTAGGCAAATGCACTCACCCTCCAACTGAACATTTAAATCATAAACCAATTGAATGCCAACTATGCCTGTTTTACTTATAGTTATAGCGCATGAATAGTTTCTAAAGAGTATTGTCTAGCATTTTCACTTGTATGGGTGGTATTTTCCGGGATCCGGATCATGTCACTGGACAATGAATGACAGCATCTCTTTTCTCAGATTTTCCTAATTTTTGGGAAACAAATTTTAATTTAATTTTTCACTGGTTCCTTTGATACCTTGAACAATACTTTTTAACTTAAAGTTGCAATTATACATCATTTCAATCAACAAATAAAGTTTCAGTATACATTTGCAATACCATAGCCTATATGCCATGGTAGTGACACGCGAGCCTCTCCCCTATTACATTTCCTTACAAAATCCCGGCATTATTTTGTTTCTGTCATGGATTCTTCATGCATGCCAGGTAAGCATAAGGTAAGAGTGCACGATAATATTTCCAACCCATTCAACCTGATCAATCCAGTACAGTCTGAATCATATTGGATTTAAAATGTGTTAGCAGAACCCTTTTCGGATTGAATAGAGTTTGGTCACTGTGAATTGAATCAACCCAAGCCACCCAACAATGTTCAACTACAGTATTAAAACCCGTAAAGTCTCATTGCTTAATCTAATAGAAGTATAACACCAATATGCCGTTCTGCAGCTGCATCTCTTAGTATAAATCAATAAAGAGTAACCAATAACTACAGTCTGTGTTTAGTATTATCAAAAGGGCTAAACTTTGAACAACTCACTCTCTGTTTCCTTGCTTGAAGTACTTGTATTTAAATTGCTTGATAGTGATCCAAGGTGCTGGTGGAATGGAAATGATTGATCCTTTATTTCAAAGGATACTCACAAGAGAATGCCACAGACGGAAGATTCCTGTCATATTTGATGAGGTTTTTACTGGATTTTGGCGCCTTGGAGCAGAGGTTTGAGTGCCTGTGTTATGAATCAAGCCATTTCTATACCGTAAGGTTTTACAACTTTCTTTTAAGTGTGTACTTGTCCTTTTAGTCTGCAGCGGAGTTGCTTTCCTGCCAACCAGATATTGCCTGCTTCGCAAAATTAATGACTGGTGGAGTTGTACCCTTAGCCGCTACACTTGCCTCAGAAGAAGTTTTTGAAGCTTTTATTGACGATTCAAAGGCAAGCCATACACCATACTGTTTATTTTCTTCACTTGAAGATTAAACGTGGATGAGTTCTTTCTTTTGTTGAAATCTTGGATTTAAAGTTGTCTAGCATGTGGAAAATAACCGCACTCGTTACTCGTTAGTAGGGGGTACGCATATAAATTGTCCAAAGAGTAGTGCATATTGCATTTTAGTCTCTCATAGAGATAAAAATCTTTCAATAGGAATATAACCATAATGGGTTTTAGCTACGCCGGGATTTCTAAAAAGAAGATAATCTGGTTTTTACACACTTACACTATGTTTTCAAGGAATTTCAAAGAGAAGAAAAGAAAATGAGAGGGAAAACAATTTTTCTTGTTTGGTTAGGGTCCATTTTCTTTGGTTCTTCCATTTTCTTTTCCTTCCACTTTTCTTTGTCTTTTCCTCCCTAACTTAGGGAGGAAAAGACAACGAAAAGTGGAAGGAAAAGAAAATGGAAGATGTGAACTAAAGAGAAGGAAAACAGTATTCCTTACATTTTGGTAAGGAAAATGGGAGAAAACTTCTTCCTTTTCTTTTCCTCTGAAATTTCACGAACCAAACATAGGGTAAAAGAATTGTTGGTGAAAAGTCTGCTATCATGCTCATCATCAGGACCTCGATCAATCCAGCCTATACCTTTTCACTGTAATTACACTGAACAAACTGGTAGCTATTGTAGGTAATGAACACTATTTTGCATGGGTTAAAAGAAATGTGGGAAACTTTTTCTCATGTTCATGTGTTTATTTATTTTGAATAATTGTAAATTATAGTTTGGCTGTTTAATTGGTGTTTCACGTAGTTGTATGTACCAAGACATGGAATGAAGTTTCTATCCAGAATTAGAAATTCACAGCAGTAATTGCTGTATATTTGGCACACCCCCCCCCCCTGTGTATGTTTATATTTGTGCACTCACAAAAACACAAACACACACAAATGCGCACACACTCAAACACATTACCCACACACCGCCCCAATGCGTTTGTCTTGTTTGACTTTTTGGAGGCAGTTGTAAAATATGATCATTATTTAATTACAAAAATATATTGAATGATAATAAGATAATGATTTCATTGAGTTGTCTTTCAACATACTTTTTAAAATTATTTTATAAATTTTCTCTAATCTATATTTTATTAGTGTTTTAGATAGAAACCGTCAAGCATGCACCTTGGAGAGTGAAAACAACATGCACAAACACTTGAGCAAGATGGAGTATTTATATTTATAAATGTTCATTAATAAACAAAGCTGAATGAGTCACTTTGAAAAATAATAGGCTCAACTTAAAGGGTACATTAAACCTTCATTGAAGCTTTGGGCAGTAAATGCAGATATCCATCAAGGGTATAACAGCCAACAATCTCTTGTTTTTTACATGTGAAGTTGCGTAAATCGTGACCCCTCTTGCTATGATATTACTGGGCTTGTTGTTGTAGTTAAAGAATATCGCGAATATCTGGCACGAGAGGAAGAGATTAAGGTAATACGTGAGAGTGGATTATTTTTACCTTTAGATCTCAACCTGAAGGTGTTGGATTTTTTATTGAAAAATATGCACACACTTGGGCCTAGCATTGGCCATACTAAACCCCATATGCTGGGATGTAAGATTTGTTCAAGTGTGTGCAACTTTGCACATTGGATTGATAGTTATGGACTTATGGTTAGTTGATGTTTGTGAATATAATCCAATTTTGTTGCTTACCCCTTATGTGTTCATTTGCCTTTTTTCAGCTCAAAGCTCTTTTACATGGTCACTCGTATACTGCTCATGCTCTGGGCTGTACAGCTGCTGTTAAATCAATTAAATGGTTTAAAGACTGCAAAACAAATTCTAATTTGACACATGGAGGGAGACTGCTAAAGGAGGTTTGTGAATGTGCCAAATACTTAGAAGTATATGATTTACTATAAACTCTAATATCGATGCAAAAATTGTGTGAAGATTTTTCAGGCATTCTGAATATTTCAGTGGTTTGCCTTTTGTAATTTTTCCCATATGAAGCATTTCAGTTATTACAAGGATAAAAGATCACTTCCATGTCTGTGATCTTATTTATCCATCTGTATTATGATGGGATCAGCACTGAGAAGACATCGTTCGTCTATTCATCACATCATAACAAGATGGTCATTAACCTATTTCGTACAATGAAGATTTTAAAATTTGAATTATGCAATCTATTTTGATAAATTAACTGTCTTCTAGTGCTCCAACTAATGCTTACAGAGTTAGAGTAGTTAACACCTGTTTTTGCTGTTAGCCAATGGAATAAATTCACACTAATCAAAGGCTTAATTGCTTAAATGAAATGCGCCCATAACCTGTTAGGTAGAACTAGATCTGGCAATCGGGTCAATAGGTTTTGATCAGTATTGTCTAATGAATTTCATCAATATTGTCTCTAATCAGTTTTGGGTCAAACCGGTTTTGGGTCTAATCGGTTCTGAGTTTAATCGGTTCCGGTTCAACCAGATTCGGATCTGAATCGGGTCTGAATACATTCGGTTCGGTTTGGATCATTTCGAGTATTCGGGTTTAATTCAGTTTTTCAGTTTTCAGGTTATTTCAGGTTTGGTTTCGGGTTATTCGGTTCGGGTTATCAGTTTTCGGGTCTGTTTTGCTAGGTCTTGGTAGAACATTATCAGAAGTAGTTTTTGTGCTAGAGTATTGCCTTCCTTAGAAGCCATAACTGTATCTTACCGAGGTGTGTAGCTTAGATGGCAAAGAACTAAGAAGGGGTGTGAAATGGTGTAATGCCCGTGTTTGACTCCTAATAACGGTAATTAAGAGTTATCATGCGTAACATGGAGTCCTTGCACGTTCCGGCCTACCAAGGACAGATTCCACTCCATATTTGTAAGACAAAGATTATTGTTCAATTTACCTCTTCCAAGATAACTGATTGGCCAGTCTTGGGGACCCTAGGGGTGAGGTTCATCTGATAAGTAGAATATCTTTTTTTAATACTGATAAGTAGAATATCTTAGAAATTAGAAATGCTGACAAAATCTTAAAGCAATAAACACTTTGGTCTAAGTGACTAAATCATGGTTAATTTAGTAATTTTAAGGTGTCAGCTGATTTCCTTAAACCATAATGTGTTCCCTATCATTCACCCTTTCTAACTATTCATTTAATTTTGTCTTTGTTTTACTATGACTGGGCTATCAGCGGTGTTCAAATGTTCACCATCATCCTTCTTGATAGGTCATGTCATTTCTGTTTTCTCCATTAATGATTTTTTCTATGGAACTTTTGTAGATGTGGGATGAGAACCTAGTTCGACATATCTCTCTACTCCCAGCCGTTGATAGGGTGGTTGCTTTAGGGACTCTATGCGCGATTGAACTTCAAGTAGAAGGTTCCAATGCAGGGTATGCTCGAGTAATTAGATGTGCTAAATACTTCTGCTCAAATTGCTTAGTATTTAAATTTGTGTTTTAAAAAGAATCAAAGATTTGTCATGTATTGAGTATTGACTCAATGGCCCTTCATTTTTCATTCATTCCCTCAAAGAGGGTCTGCATTTTCAATTGTTTTTTATATATATCTGTGATCTTTTAACATGATTCGTCTTTTGTCCCAATGGCTTTGGGCAGGTATGCATCACTCTGTGCTTTAAACCTTCTTCACAAGCTCCGAGGTGATGGCATTTACATGAGGCCTCTCGGCAACGTCATTTACCTCATGTGTGGGCCCTGCACCTCGCCCGATGTTTGCCGCACCGTGTTGGAAAAGGTTTTGAGGAGACTGGAGGAGGTGAGCCAGGCCAAGATTGTTGAACCACTTTGTTCAAACTGTTGAAGAAGCCTAGAGTTATGCACTTGAAAAGGTTTCATTTCTCACTTCTCACTTGGTGGCAATTGGATATGCTCTCTTTCCCAAGTCCAGTTGTGGTAGACTTGATGCTCCTCTTCCAAATTAAAGGTATTTAGTTTTACTTTTGTAGTCAAATGTCATCAAATGTGGCCGTTAAAGGTGTGTTTTCGCTGATCGTTTAATGAAATAAAATATTCTTGTTATATATTATTGAGAAATTAATCTATATAGTACTAAAACATAATGAATTTTTGATGTAGTACTATATGTTTTTTACTCCTTATTTTACACCGTTTTACTTCTAAAATATTTTTGGGATGGTAGGAGTATTTTTTTTAAAAAACTACTCCACTACTACTGCTACTCGTTTCATTATATCTTTTTTTACGCGAGTATATGGAGTACTTCCTCCGTCTTAGTTTTTAACTTATGGTCCAGCGGTATCACGGTGACTCACAAATGGGAGGTCATAGGTTTGACCCTTTGAGGTGAGTAATTTTACGTGTTTGATGAATCAAGAATCTATGAATAGATATTACAGTATACTCTCTCCGTCCCACTGTATTTGTCCACTTACCTTTTGGCACACCATCCAATGCACTTCTTTAAACCATTTTATCTTGTAATTTGTATATTAAAAAATTATACAAATTATATATTAATAATCTATATGTTAATACGAATCAAACAAGTTCACACATGACTATTTTTAGGCTTACACATTAAGAAAATTTGATGAGTCAAAGTGCTTAGATGAACAGTTCCAAAAGTCAAAAGTGGACAAAGACATTGGGACGGAGGTAGTATCCTGTAATTGCGTTATTAGTCTTCAAAAAAATATTATATCATTTAGTCAATAAACATCGACACAAATAAACACTCACGTAGAGAATCTGAGAATTTTTTAACTACATACTCCCTCCGTCCCTACAGAGATTTCAATTTTTTTCTTCTTTCCTCTCGATAACTTTTGTTTGTTTACGCGATTTCATTAAGTATTTGGTAAAATAAAATATTCTTGTCACCTCTTGTTTTGTAGAATTTTTGACGTAGTTTTTTAATATGTAATTTTTATATCTTATTGATATACTCCCTCCGTCCTAAAACTTTCTTCCCGGTTCGCAAAACGAAGAAAAATCCCAAGTTTTTTCAATCTATTTTATTTAAATATTGGTATAGAAATAAAAAATAAAATATACATATTTAAAAACTACATCAAAAGTTCAACAAAACAAGTGGTGACAAGAATATTTTATTTTATCATATAGGCCACGAAAAAACACAAATAAATATAAATTCCCGTGAAGTTGGAATAGTGCTCTGGGAAGAAAGTTTTAGGACGGAGGGAGTACCAATTTGTAAATAAAATGATTTCAAAAAGTAAGAAATTTTACTCCGTAACCCGCAATTTCTAATCAAATTGGGGATGGAGGGAGTATATAAAGTGGATACCGACAATATAGCAAAAAGTGAAGATTTTTGCTAGAGGAAGTAGTATCTTAATTAGAAAAACCTAGAGACAAATAAAAATGATATAAAATTCACAAACTTGTCATTTTGTAACGCGACCAAAACTGAAAAATGGTCTTGAGTACTCTATCTATCGTATACGGAGTAATAAGTATCTTAGATAGATAGTTAGCATTCTGGTTTATCGATATATATTTATGCATTTTAATTGATTATTTGATAAAATAAATATTTTTGTCACATCTTGTTTTTTAAACTTTTGATATTATTTTCAAATATGTAATTTGTACACTTTGTTCCTACGGAGTATTTGATTGCAAATTAAATAATTTAAAAGAAAAAAGATGATTGTTTAGGTTAGTAGAAGTGAGGCAATCATTTTGAAATAGAGAAAGTAGCTCTAAAAAATTAAATTAATAGTGACTCAGTTGTGAATTTTCTGACATTTTATTCATGATTTTATTCATGATTCTAGCATTTGTGATCTTAAAAATGGACAAACAAATGTCCGTCATGAGTTACGGGGTAGCATTTGTTCTTTCTATTTTTTTTTATTTCATTTATCCCTACGTCAACTTTTATATTGAAGTTGGCCGTATATAAATTATTCCCAATTTTTGAATCTTATAGTAATGTTGTTACATGTAGTTTTTAAGATAATGCTTTTAAAGGTGATTTATTTTGGCATTGTATATAAGCCACATATTTAGAGGGGGTGAAAAGGGGTCAAGAGTGGGGTGTCGAGTGTTATCCGTTAACACTCGCATCGTTGACACTTGATGCTAGTGCCAACGAAACATTGTCGTTATAGGAGTGTAATTTATCAACACTCCTAATAAACAAGTACGGAGTACTATGTATGTGGAAAAAAATATTTAGCGTGTATTTGGTTGAGAGAAAAATATTTTCTTGAAAAATTTTGATATCGTTTCCTCTATTTAGTAACATAAGTGGTAAGAAAATATTTTTCAAGAAAAAACATTTTCTCCCAATCTAGAGGAAAATACTTTCGTTTGCTTTAGAAGAAAAATTCGTATCCGGTCTATGCCTCAGCTAATACTCATTATTTAAATATATTTTTAAATATCAAATTTTAAATTTCAACAATTAAAAATGTTTTGAAAAATTAATTATTTTTACCTACTAAACAATAAAAAAAATATAGGGGGAAATCATTTTCTTTGAAAATTAATTTCTTTTGAAAATGTCTTTTCTCAAAAAAATATTTTCCCAAACCAAACGCGCCACTTGTGCTTCCGACAGGTAAAAGGTCGGAAAAATCTTCTTCTGCAATTAATGTACCGCCGGAGTACTTTACTTTCTAAAGTACTCCGTAGTTTTTAAAAGTTAAAGTTGCATATGGAAGTATTTATTTAGAGAATTTCCAGGAGTAATAATAATTAAAAGACTCATTTCGACCTTTATTAATTACTGTTGTCACATGAGGACCTGGTGCATTTAATGCTCTAATTAATTATTATAGGTGTATCTTTGAAAAGCATATTAATGTCTCATCAACTTGATCGTTTAAACAAATTTAATATTCAATTTATTATGATGGAGATAATTACTTAGAAATGAAATTATGCAACTTGATCGTTTAAACAAATTTAATATTCAATTTATTTTAATGAAGATAATTACTTAGAAATGAAATTATGCAATTTAAATGTTGTATAAATCTTTTTTAAATAAGTGATGACGAGATTATTCTATCATAATAAGTAATTAAAGTAAATAGGTTAAGAAATATGTTAAATCATGTGAAAAGTAACTCTAAATGTATTTAGAAATAGAGAGTTCATTACACCGATTACTCCTGTAATTTAGTAGAAATGCACCATTGCTTATTTACTTTTAGAACTTAATTTTGTTCTCGTTTCTAGTCTTGAAATATTACATTGATGCCCCATCTAAATGGCTTAATACTTATTCTTTAATATAGTTAAGTGAAAATTTTGAATAATATAATGCCATGTAATCTAAATCATTATTAACAATCATTTAATGTGCCTAAAATGTACATAAAATTATTCAAGTTTCTCGTAAGAACGCTCAGGTCTCACATTATACGGAGTATAAAATATTTCGGAGTACCCTAGATTTTTCAGTAAAAGACTCACAGGTCCCACATTATGTAAAATATACTCCGGGAGTCTTTAAAATTTATGGCAATAAACTCTGAGGGTACATTCCATCATTTTGACCATTAAGATTGAAAGTTTGGTTAGGATTAAATGTGCTGTTACTCTGACAAATCATTCTCCTAATACAATAATGATTATAAATTGAAGGATTTTGTTAAAATTTGACTACGGCCAAATGGACAGAATATATCCTTGAAATACATTACCACAAATTTTAAGGATCCTCGAAGTATATATTTCAAATAATGTAAGACCTAAAAATTTTTACCAGAAAATTGAGGATACTCCAAAATATAATTTAGATAATGTGGGACCTACGAGTTCTTACCAGAAAAATTGAAAGTATAATTTTCTGCTGAAATGTAAGTGAAACCAATATCATAAAATGGGAGAAGTATTAGAATGTCACAAAAGTAAGTTTTATTTGTTGTGAAGTTTTTTTTTGTTCGGATAACAAAGTGTTCATCCATGTTTGTTGGTTGTTGGGCGAATGAAGTACGTAATTTTCTTCTTTGGTCCTTTCTTTTTTACCAGTAACCTTTTTGATAGATAAATCATAAAAGGGGTAATATGGAAATAAAGAAGAAAAAAATAAAGAAGAAAAAGATCTTCCTCACCCCCACGATTTTGTCTAATAAGAGTTCTGTTTTTGTGGTCAGCCCCACAAATTAGTAGGTTAAATTAAACCACTACAAAATATGTAATCAAGAAATATTAATATTAAGATAAGAGTAAAAATAAAGAACAGAGATAAAATAAAATTTTCATGTTTTTTTATATAATGTGATATTAAGAAACAATTTGATTTGCCAAACATATATTGTCAAATGATTTAACTAGTGCGTGCAACACTCATCAATTTTTTCATGTTTATAACAAAAAATGATGATATACAAGAGATGTAAAACATAAATAAAGCAATGACGAAATAAATATTGTAAAAAGTGAGGCAAAAATAGAGTGGTGTAACAAGTTGTGATTCTCATATTTGTGTTTTTACCTTTTAAGGCAATGCATATCAATTTTTTTTTAATTTAGATCTCTGGTCGTACTTTTGGTTGCAAAATACTCTGTATATACTTATAGAGTATTCCAGGTAGATTTGTTATATAATAAAACTTTGATAATTCAAACATCTTAAAAGAACTTAATTACATTAAAAGTAAAATATGGAGTATATAAAACACTTTTTTCATAATTTATTGTCAAATTAACAAAAAACTCAAATGATAATTTTGGGAGGACGAAAAAAGAAGAGAAAAAGAATAAGAAAAAGAAAAGGGAAAAAACAGCAAATCAACAATGAAAGCGAAAATCCAAAAAGATCTGAAACACAATACTCCGTATTGATTCAACTCCCATCATCTCATCTCCTCACACTGTTAGCTTATGAGAGCTCTTTTAATACAGTAAGTCGTCGAGCCCCACGCGCCACCCTCACGCGCTCCGACACCTCCACCGGGCCGCCCCAATAAAGCCCTCCGCTAAACCCCGCAGGCCGAAGTCTTTCAGCGCAATCGGGTTCTGTTCCGCGCACATGCTGTATGCCCC